CATAAATTGTCACTATCTTCTTTTTTAAGCCACGTTTCGGAAATTCCTATAATTGTGTTTTCGCCCATATCATCAAGAAATTTTTTCAATTGCATCCGTTTTCTAATAATACTTTGAAAATTCAAATGAACAAATTTAAGATTTGCACAATTTTTTGAGCAGATACCGTAGACTGTTTCAATGGTTTCGATAGGACCAGGGTTTTTTTCAACATCCCCACTTTGGGTCAGTAACAACGCGAAAAGGAAAAGATGAGTCAGTGTGGTAGCTCTCCGCTCATTTATCCCACATTTCGTTGATAATATCTTTTGCTGGCAGCTTAGATAGCCCCAGTAAACAATAGTTTTTTCTTTAGTTTCCATCTGAGCCTTGGAAATTAGAAAAATTGCACAAAACAACCAGAATTTAATATTCAGCATAATAGGTTAAATAAATTAAATAATCGCCAAAGTTTGCACCAAGAAAAAATGCGAAACTAGTATTTCCTAAAAAATTTTGCACCGTTTTGGAAAAATTGTAACATTTCTGCCGTTTTTGGATCTAAATTTGATGATTGTTGGGTTTGCTTCATTCTGGGGCGGGTTGTAATCTCACATGTGTTTGCATTAATATCAGAACCCCTAAAAGAATCTCTAAAACTTTGCACCAAAATTTCAACACCCCCATCAGAAGGATGCAAACCATCCGAGCTAAGAGCATCTGTATTTTGACTAAAAATTTTGTTTATGTCTAAAATATCCAATTTTACTTCGCCCAAGTCTTTTACATTCCGTACTAAATTAAGAATTTGCTTGTTTAGCTTCTGTACATTTGGATTAAAATCTTTTCTAAAAGCGCCTAAGGGAGTTACAGTACATAGTGAAATTGTTTCTGGGGAGAATTTATGATTTATGAGATAAATTAGTTTTTCTAAGCTACTCACGGCTTCCTTCGCGTCGAAATCACTTGAGAGGCAGTCATTTATTCCAATTAGCGTAGTTACATGTTTAAAATGTCGCGATTTACTGTTTCTCACGCGTTCCAGCAATGCAGAAATTTTGTGCCCACCAAATCCTCTCGCCAACACATTTTCCGATATTTGTTCCCCATTGATTCTGTTAACAATTGAGTCTCCCAGTAATAGGCCAGAATATTCTCCTTCTCGTGGTAAAAATAAATGTTTTCGTTGCTGGTCGAATTTTTCTTCTTGAATATTGGTTGCTTGTATTTTGATTTCTTGGTTATTCTTGCTTTCTTGGTTATTTTCGCTTCGTTTGTTCTGATTTCTGCTCCGAGTTCCAATCTTGCTCCATTCGTTTTCAAATTTGTTTTCTGTAATTTTCGAATTGCCCGTGTTTTTAAAATTTTCTAGATCAAAAAATTTGTTTCCTCTTTCTTCCTCTTTCGTTGATACAGTTAAGTTTTCGATAATTCGTTTAAAATAAGTAACATTTTCGACTAAGTCTTTATACAGCTCGTATTTCAATTCGTCGTTCAGATTTCGGAAAGTTTCGAGGTCAAACATGTTGGCGATTAAAAGCGAAATTAAAAATAAGACATTAAAATGAACCGACTGATCGCTAGAAATTTAATTTGGTTGTGAATGACGATCATCGCTCCCCATGTGTTATGTAATTATACCAACTTGGGTTTTGATTAAGTTTTTTTGTTCCGATCAATGAAATTGGGGAGGAATTTTGTATTCGGGTGTTTTAGTTATTTTCAACGCAAAATTAGGTACCACAATTAATTGTCGGATTAGGTCGAGTGATATGTAATTTTGAAGCCCCTTCAGTCTTGATTAGAACGGAACGGAACGACTTTAACAATGTGTGGAAAAATTGCCCTGGGAGGAAAGGGTTTAAAAGTTTTGAGATTTAGTTTAATTTTGAGCGAGTAACGCGATCGAGTAACGTTCATCTTATGAAATAATAAAATTTAGTGGAAATAGTTTAGTTTTAATTAAGCCAGTTTTTGTTTTTAGGTTTGAGCAATTTTGTTTGAAATCGTTTCAAGTTGATGGTTACCAATGATAGGTTACCAGAATGATAGGTTACCAGAATTTTTTTTGCAAATTTGACTGCGGGATCCAGGAGTGTAGAGATTGGCTGAGATTTTTCAAAAAACAAAAGACTTCGTGTTTTTAATTTTCCTTTCCGGCGTCTTTCTTGATGTAGTTTTTTTGTTTTTGTGATCCAGCGAGCTCTCTTACTGTTGCATATAATTTTCAAATTTGACAAGATTGATGGAATTGGTTATATTTTTGAGTTTTTTTAGATTTTCTGCAAGTTCTTTTTTGGGGCAATGGTTGTAATTTTTGCATGCTCTTTTTAACTTTTGTTTTTCAATTTTTTTCTTTCATTTTGATCTGATTTTATAGCAAATAGCGTATAGAGACTTTTATACGCGATTGTTTCTGTTCGATATGCAGTTTGTTTCATTGCAAGATTTAATGAACAATTTTCGAGTTCATTGAGGATTTTTTGCGTCCCAATTTTTTGACCGATGTTTATCTTATCGTTTCCATATATTAGTTATGAGAGACAAATGGATGTATGTAGTGAAGCCCGAAGCCTTCTTTTGTTTCTGCTAATTATATTCTATAATAGTTACAGTAACATTTTTCTTCACTTTTTAGCCTACGATTTCTTCAAAATTCATTCAAGTTTTTCACTTTTTGTTTGAAACACGTTATTTTTTGATATTTTGCGCTTTATTTTGTATCGTTAGTGGCGCAAAGCTCAACTTCGCTTCTGTGTTTTACAATTGTTCCCGCTGAAAATAGTTGTGACTTAGTGAACCTATTTTTTTATCGTTTGAATGTTAAAGTGTTTTTTTTTGTTTTCGACTCAGTGAGCGTCTACCTACGTGTTGTCGGCATTTTGACAAGACTGATGGAATTGGTTATATTTTTGAGTTTTTTAAGATTTTCTGAAGTTCTTTTTGTTTGTACTTTTGCATTCTTTATATTCCATCTCCATTAAATGGAGGTGGTATAGCTTCGCGGCCTGCGATGAACTTTGAACTTGAATTGCAATAATGAACATCTGAACTTCTCCCTCTCGTTTAGTTTTTTTTCAAGCTCATAGTCCGGATCAAACTTTTGCTACCCACGTGTTGTCGGCCTTTTGGCTGCTCTGTAAAGATTAAAGGATTTTTTAATGACAGTAATTGGGTTTCTTGACAGTTTTTCTGACATTAATTCTTTTCCTTAAAAATTCCCATTTTCCTTAAAAATTCCCCTTTTCCTTAAAAATTCCCAATTCCTTAAAAATTCCCTGTTTTTTCTTAGTTATTTACATCTCGTTTTCTTTTCAGTGGCTGGAAATGTGACTTAAAGCTTTGCTTAGCCATTTTTTAGTCATTTGACATCTTTTAAAATTGTAATCCTTTGGCTTCTTGAAAAATTTACACGTTTACAGTATCAAATTTTTCAATAAATTGCTCAGTAATTCAGGTATTAATTGTTAGTTAGTTTTAGTTCTTTGCTAACACCAATTTCCACGGTTTTTTATATTTTTGCATAAATTTGTTGTTCTGAATAGATTCGTCAATATTTTCTATGTTTTTGCCCTGTTTCTTTTCCGACTTTTCCTTCACAAGTCGCCTACTGCTCTCGTCTATGTTATTCACATTTTTAATGACCGTCTCGCAACTCGCATAAATATTGTTTCTCATTTTTTCTAAATCGGTGGTCGTTATTAGAGTTGCTCTGTTTCTTAGCTTATAGTTACGCAAGTATGTACTTTTGAGACGCTGTATAAGTGTTCGCATTTGGTTGACTGTCTCCAATTCTTTCTCTGACAAGATTTTTTTCGTTGGCGCTTTTCCGGATTGAAACCACGCTGTAACTCGATTGATACTAGGAACAACATTAAATGGAGGTGGTATAGCTTCGCGGCCTGCGATGAACTTGAATTGCAATATTGAACGTCTGAACTTGAAAACTTCTCCCTCTCGTCTAGTGGCTTCAAGTACAGCAAAAATTATCAACGAAATGAGAATATTTAGTCGTACTACAATCATCACAAACGCATATATAGCGTAAAGTAATGATGTCAGCCATTCTTGTGGGTTTTCATAAACAGGAAAGTTCTTCTGCATCTGCGTGTCTGCTTGAAACATAGAAAAAAAGAATGTTATCAACATTTGTCCAAATTCCTGGAAAGCGAGCATTTCTTCGTAATCAGCTGACCACCTCCGCACTTCACATGGAATTTTAACCAACGAGCCATTGTCGTGCTCGCAATTCTGCCAGTATTGGGAGAAGGTGGAGTGAATCATCCCATTTAGAGAAACAGTGAATGCTATCAGTGTGCAACAGAATAAAACCATAAAATTGAGGCTTGCACTGAAAGCTGCTGCCATCAGATGTTGAGGCAGTCCCACCACTGTCGTTATCCGTAGAGTCTTATAAAGCTTGAGAATCAATAACAGTGCAGCTGTTGCACGAAATGCGTCAGCAACATACAAAGGGTATCCGAAATAATCTTGTCCTATTTCGGGATAATCAAACGTACCATATTGGATAACATGCGTGTACTTGACTGATAGGTTCATAAAAAAGGAAAAATTCAGGCACATGTTCAGGAAATTGACCCAGTCGGAAATGTAATTGGAAAGACCGTCGGAAAAAATGTTCTGAAGCTCATTGTAGGCATTGCCAATAGTCCAAACAAAAACATACGAATCGACGAATATTAGGGCGTCGTTGTGTATCTCAGTTTCTTCATATATGAGCCCCACTTCTGTTAAAATAAAATAAAAGTATTCTGTAGTGTTTGTCCTAAATAGGTCAATCATTTCGGGTGTTAACGATTGTTTGAAAAGGCAATCAGGCCTCCCATCTTCTACGTATGAAAAACATACAACGTTGTTCGCAATTTCTGCAAACGTTTTAATGTCATGTGTGCCGAAATGGATGAGTGAATACAGTACCATCATGACAAGAATTATGTAAAAGACTAGCTGCACCACGTAGCGCATCAGAGGCATTTCCATCCAACTGCGGATCATTTTACCAGTGGGGGAAGTAGTTGCTGGCACGAAAAGGTAAAAGAAAATCCACGCAGGTGTCAGAAGAACTAGTACTAGAAGGTACGCCGCCTTCTTGGCAATGTTGGAGGATTCGAAGTCCTGCAGAGCAATGGGCCCTTCGTAGAATTTCTTTTTCATTAGTTTCTGGATGCTTCCATTTGCTACAAATTCTGTATGCTTGTTGGATATTGCGTACTTCAGCCGCTCCCAGGGTTCGCCAGGAGCCACAATGTTGTGGTCCAAAGTCGTCATTTGGTTCATTACCAACATGAGTTCATCAAATGTGGCAATGTTACTGATGAATTCGGCAGCAAATTTTTCACAGCTCTCCTTGACTATCTGCATGTCTGTTGCGGCAACGGTTAAGCTAGATGAGATTTGTTGACATCTTTCGGAGATTTTAAACGCAACCATTATCGGATCCTCATTCATGATACACAAATACATGGGGTTGGAGAGGGCAAGAAGAGTTTGACAGATAGCGTCGAATCTTATAATGTTTCTGGGCTCTCGCGGGTCGTAATTTGGAATGTCTAGGTGTTGTGCTCCTCGGGAGAACAAGAATTTTAACATCGTCTCGTTTTCTCGTAGTGCGGCCACCATAACAGGAGATAGCCCAGGGCGGTAGACCGTACCAGTCAACACTGGTCGGTCGACAAGTTCTGGGTCCACAGAGAGAAAAAATTCAATGGCTGCTCTGTAGTCAACGTCCACTGCAATAATAAGCTCTTCCTTAATGATGAATTGTCTTTTGAGCACCAGATATTGTATCACGGGAAGTGCGAATAATTTAACTGCATTTCCAAGTAGCGTGTAGCCGAATTTGTCCCGAAAATTGAGACTGAACATTTCCTGAAGGGGAATTGACTTCTGAATTAGTTTGTCTAAATTGTCAACTGGGTTTGGCAACGAAAGACTGGCTATCATATCTTGTCTCAGTTTTTTGGCGATTTCAGAGGGATCTATCTCCTGATTGTTTCCAGCTAACCTAAATTTAGTAGCAAATGAAGGCATTTTGAAAACGTGTTTATTTTATTGTTGAAAAATATTGAGCAGTTCTTGAGCTATAAGCAACGCAAGCTATAGTTTTTGATGTAGTTATTCTAATTTGAGATGAATGAGCCAGAAAATGCGTGCTAAAATGACATTTTTGATGGTTCATGTACATGATTGATTTTTCTTGGTTCAATGGTTAGAAGTTACGAGATAACTACATATAAAGCAATTCAACTGTATGGTGGTGTTGAGCCAGAGTTTGTTGTTTAAAAGACCAATCTGAACATTTAAGAGCTGAGAAAATGAGTTTGATGACATTATATGATGACGACGACACAGACACGCCCGAGAATAAGGTGACAAGTAAGAACGATGAAAATCTAGACAGTGTTGAATTGGAAACTACAGAAGACACTGCTTCTTCAGTGACCAAGCAAAAGAGAGCAGTACGCGTATCACCTCTGAGAAGATCTTCACGCTCAGTTAGATCTCGGGCAAGGTTAATGTACCCAACAAGGAGCAGACATAAGGTTAAAAGAAATTTGACCAACCGAAAGGGTTCCTATTTAGCCCGGAGAATTGCGAGAAGTGTTCCCCTGAGCAGTAAGCCCCGCAAAGGTCGAGATTGGACTCTTAAAGAGAAAGCTAAATTGCTGAAGGCGCTGCAGATTGTGGATGATCCTGAAGATTATGAAAGTGTGGCCTCGCATATTGTTTCCAGGTGCGACCTGTGTTGGCAAGTTAAACATCCTTGTTAATTGCCTTTTATACGGATGATCATACGGAAAAAGTTTGATGCAATAGTTTCAGAAAATTTTATTCAGCTTGGAAAAATAAACTTAGGAGATATTCGTATGATATTCGTATCTTTTTTAGAACAGCGGAAGAGGTGAAATTATTTGTACAAGGCAGAGAAAAGCACATGATGAGAAATAAGAGCTACTACTTGGAACTGTTCAACATGACTGAGCCGACAGCTCCCGCACCCCTCTCGCAATGGGCCAACATTTGCAGTCATAACTCATCCGAAAACATATCTAAAGCACTGCACGAGGTACTAAAATGTTAGTGATCTATTTAAGAACTTAATCTGTAATTTATAGACAGATAACTTACGAAAATAATTACACTATATATCGACACAGTTTTCTAAAATTGGGTGGACTTAAAAAAATGTTAATCATAAAATGTTCTTGATATTCTTTCTTGAGTTTTAAAATGAATATTTTTCTTAGCTCCCTTTAAGATCCGATCTTAGATGTTTTTGAGATGATGGCCAATTTGTAAAGATGGGAACGTTCTAGGCTACTAGTCTGAATTTACTGTTTTATGTTTTAACGTTCTTTAATCTATTTTTCTTTAGTTTTTGAAGCTTAGCTCTAGATCTCTTTATCTATCCAAAAAGCCGGCCAATTTGTTTGAAAATGCGTAAAAATTTTTAACGGCGTAATTTTTACAATTTTAGGCAATTATTTTTGTCGTCAGATCATTCGTGTCCTACTTGCGCAGCAATCAGCCCTTCTTGTTTGATTTTTGCTACGGAATTCTGTTTAAAGGACCAACCAATGTTTTTTTTTTCATTATTTTTTTAAAAAGTTTTGTTTTATGAGGCTGTTTGGCTATAGTTATGTAGGTATTTGCTCTGAATTTTATCACTTGAAATGGAGTTTCATAGGCGAAATGTTTGTATTTCAGTGGCCTCTTTCGAGCCTCGGTCTGTTAGTGAAATGAGACTGGATTTCTCTCTGATCTACAACTACCTGGCAAACGCAGTGGCAGACAAGGAACTGCCGGAACTGTCGCCTCTTGAGGCATGTATTCTGTGGGACACCATATCCGACATCAACTCCAGCTCAGCTGTTCAATCGAATCCGGAGTGTGTGAGTCACCTAAGACGACAGTTCAACGCACTAACCGCGCATTCAACCGAAGTCAAATTATCAGCTGGGTGCTATACCAATGTGAAAGAAATGCTGCACATTGACAAAGCGATTGCATATCAGAGCGCTTTGACTGAAAATATAATTAAAAGAATCGACGATTTGGGAAATTGTTCGATAAAAACGGGGAAATTCAAGGGAAGGAGGAAACCGCAACCTTCAGTGCTCGTTGCCGATACAGACGAGTTAGCTCAAGATTCTAGTTTTTACAGCGAAGAAATGTTACAAGAATTGAAAGAGTACTCAAAACTGAAAGACTGTATCAGCGAAATGACAGGTGTTCAGCTGATCTCTCCGCGAATAAGGGAAAGAAAGGTTGCAGATTTGGCTGCAGAAGCGAAAAAAGTTAGAGATCAACTCGACAAGCAATGTTACTCCGCGTTGAATCCTTTGTCGCTCCCAGCTACGTTTTTGTCGCACCAAAATCTGATCGTAGGGTCAACTCTTTCCTTACATGGTAATCTGAACCAGGGATCAAGCGGCAGTAATAATCAAGAGCAAACTGAGATCCAGTTCCATTATGACAACAATAACTCATCAATTACTAACGGTTCATAAATGTTAAATTTTTCTTTGAATTGATTTTGTTCTGAATGTTTTTTAACGATCGTGACGCACATAAAGCGTTTCATGCTTCAAGACTTCTTTCGTTTTCGATGGAAAAGAGCGTCCCCAGAGATTTTTCCGTCCTCGCCAATCGCTGTCAATTTAAATCGGAATGGTAAAAGCGGAATTTTAATGATTGTGCAGAACTGTTGTCCAAATGTAGAAATTCTATCTAATTTTTTTTCGACAATAATTTTCTCATAAACTAGTTTGAGATTGAACTAGTATCGGCTTTGTTTGCCTCGAAAGATTCAATAAAAAGTCTGAGACATCTGTGAAGTGACCTGTAGGTCCAATGGTTCTCCCCTAGGCAGTGAAATTGTCGACATGTTTTGTCAATTTATTTTATAACTACCCACAATGGATATCCCCGAAAACAGTTTATTATTATAATAAGTGATTGAAATAATCAAAGTTGCAATCGCAGATAATACAGCAAATGTGTACAAAAAATTGGTTATATTTGTCAAATGTGTGAAACACGTACCAGTTTGCAATTTTGCGCTAATTATTCAGGCGATTACCAATGCTTGTTTAACAACTTGTGTTATGGAAACATTCATCGGCTGTTGAAAGCTGCTCCCCAGTACGCGCCTGCAGGGTTTTTTCAATATGGTGTATATATGTGTGTGTGTGTGCAATTAAGCGTGTAGCATGTATATATACTGCAGCTGGAATTTTGAAAGGGGACCAAAATAAGTGGAGCATTTGAAATATTTCAAAAGTTTGAATAAAATTTTGCGAGTTACAATCACGGGACCCAGAAGTCGCAATTTTTGGTTTTCAACCGATTAAAGGTACAAAAGTTTTAAATCATTTGTCGTTTTGTCCCCTAATTTTTTCTGAGCCTAGCTTTAAAATTGTTTGCGACGAAAGATTTAATAAAATAGACGGCGAGGCCAGGGAAAGGTTTGTGATGATGTTCACGTATTCCTATCCTATGGGAGCCTAGTTTGATGATGGCAGTTTAGTGGGTAAAAGTAGATTCAATTATTTCGGCTTTGTTTGCGTCATCGAGAGCCTGACTGAATTCATCAGATAAGAGAGCTGTAATGGAGGCTTTAAAGATTTTGGGGCAGCTAGAGCGGAGAGGGATATACAAATTTGTGATTCCGAGATTTTGTTTGGTGGCCTTTACTTATACGCATTGCGCCTCCAAAGTCTTGTGTTCCACTATATCTAGTTCCTCATATAAAAGGGCATTGTGAATGGCAGTAAGGAGTCAATCTCGCTCTCGAGTACGGTCCTTTCTAATAATTGTATAGCTTGCGAGGGAGTGCGATTTTTCAAGTTTAACTTTGTTTCTTAAAAACAGAGTTGGTACCCGCATATTAAGGCTGCAATTTCGGTGCTTTCCCAGAGATGCCGTTACAATTTAGTTGCAGAATGTTCAGGGACTCGGCAGAGAGGGGGTTTGCTTGGTCAATGGGGGTAGGTGGTTCAATGCCGTAGGTATATTTGGGCCTTGACTCAAATTCAGAGTTTGATTGGCTTTAAGGGGAGGTCTGATCTTAGAGTGGGTTTTTGTGTTGATGGGGAATTGCTATGGGCTGACGAGTGAATTTAGTTTTATTAGTCAGGAGTGCTAGTATAAAAGAATCAGTACAAGAGGGCAATAATTTTTTTTGTCGTCTTTGAGCTCTTTAAGACCGCTACATTTAGAATTGATCCGAACGCACACGTGTAACCCCTGTATGGGGAGCGTGCGATAGTGCGGCTGAATAAACAGCGCGCCGGGTTCACTACTGGAGGGCGGCATATCTGGACTCAGCAGGTTTCGTCTTATTATCGGCATATTTACCCTAAGTGGTTGTTGTAGATTGACTGAACTAATGAAACTTATTTTCTAAAATTCACAAAAAACTTGCCAACCTTCGTTTATAAAAATTGAGCAAAAGTTCAATGTTTGAATGTTTGTTGTTGGAATTTTGAGTTTTTTGCCGGTTTCAGATGACATTCAGTGGGCTACTTTTTAAAAAAAATTAGGCAATTTTTTTATGAGGGATAAATTCAAATTTTCCAAAATTTTTTTTTGCTGGTTTTCTATGCAGCCCATTAAAGCTAGATGGTTCACTGAAGACTGTTTTTAGTGTGTTTTGCTTTTGATGGCAAGTTCTGAGTCTAGTCGTTAAAATTTTTGTGATTTTTCCGGAAGCTATTTTCCTACTGTCACAGAACTGATTTTTTTAAATGGTCACTTCCCAACACTTCTGCAGCCTTGAAGCAAGAGCGGCTTCGAATTGTGATGTCGAGTTTGGTTTGTTTTTCTATTTGCAAAAAACTGACCGTCTTATTTTCTTTCACCACTAGTCATATTTGAAATACTGAATCAAAAATACTTTTAGTCGGTATAGTTTTCTTTAACTTACCGCAGACTAATTTAAGTTTTCAAAGAAAAAACTTACTGTATTGATTATGATACTTCTATTTTAATCAGAATCTGGTGCAGTTTTTATTTCTTAATTTTAGGCAATCATTTTTGAGCTTTATTCTTTTTAGTTTTCGAGACATTAAAATTTTTTCTCACAAATCTGTAAGAATTTGATGTAGCGTTATAGTGAAGTTTCGTTATCGCCCAGGTTGATCTAGTGGTAAAATGCGTGCCTTGTGATCCTAATGTATGGAGATCTTGGTCGAACGTTATACGCTCGAAACTGAAGTTTTTGGGAAAGTTCGTATAGTCAGAATATATTTTTTGTCGGCTTACTTTCCGTAGCATAGAGTTTGCTGTTCTTTAGCTTTAGCAGGTCACGAAAACTCTTTGTTATATTCAAAACTTTTCCGCGAATCTTTTTTTGTGCCGCAAGTGGTGCGGAGCGCTTCGCATCTGTGTGAAGTTTATTATTTCTTCAAATACGAATTTTTTTTTGGGAGTGAGAGACTAAAAACTGACAAACTAGCAAAGACTTTTCGAATGAAGATTAGATTATATTTTGGAGTAATCTGAATCAATATGAAAAGCTATCTTCACTTTGAGGTTGTTGAAAAAGCTTTGAGGTTGTTGAGATTTTTTTTTCGAAAATTTCAAATAACCAACCCATCTGTCGTCTAATTGTGTAAACATAGTGGACAATAGCGCACATAACATGGCGGGTCCTTCTTAAATCTGGCTGCTGGGCCCAATTTTGTATATTATTCTCGAGGCGATTAACGTTGTATAAAATTCCATCCGCGCAGTAAAAACATAAGGCCCAGAAGAATGTATTTTTCGTTAATCTGAAAAAGAAATCAAAATGAATAAATATTGAGATGTAGTTTCTCATATTGAATAAATAAGCAGCGGTTGATTTTACTGACTTGCAACAAATCAAATTAAGTTTTACTTTCAGTTAGTAATGAATAAATTGAAACATTACTTGAACCATCTGTTCATCAGAAGTGCGGCCACTATATCTAGGACTCCCAAATATGCAGGTAGATCGTTGAGCTCAGAAGAATGGAACGAACTAGCTCAAAAATTGAAACCGAATTCTGAAAAGTTCCCTCTTATCGCTGTTCTTCACTATATTAAGAATGATAGGTATTTTTCCAGAGCGAAGCGAGAAAAAATTGATTTGCCGCTTTTTAAACCAAAATCATCCGAAAAATTTGTACTTGAAGCAAACGTTTCTCATAGTCTTCTTGACAGTCGTTTAAAATGGTTTGAGTCCATAAGGAGTCTCTATGAATTCGTGAACTTGACTTCTGATAGCGAATCGAAAGGTACTTTGTTGAAGTTCTATACTGAAGCAGCTTACCAAGCCAAGCAATGGAATATTGTCATTGATTGCTTTGAAGATGCTCAACAGTTTAGTGACCTTGTTTTTGGAATGGATGAGATAACGAGATACGCGGCTGTTGCATTTGGAAAAATTGGGAGGTAAGTCGATGCAGATGCATCAAGTTTTATTTGCGAAAAAATGTTTGTTTTTTCTAATTTCTAATGAGTGCATTTGGAGAAACGTATTGATTATAAACAAAATTTGGGATTGTTTATTGCTGCATTGGAGTTGCCTAACACGCTTCTGTTTGAAGTATCAAAGTCTGCCTCAGTCTAATTTCAGCTTATAGATGCTATTCCTTGACACTACGGGCCCAAACTTAGTGTTACCAAAAGTATTTTTTCATGGATTTTATGTATATTAGAAGTAGTCTAATGTGTCTAAAGTAGGCATTCTGATTTTTGATTTTTTCAACTTGTTTAAAAGAATCGCTGAATCACTTTGTCTATCATTTTCGCATTTCAAATATCCCTTTGGTTCACAATTTCTATTACCGCTTTGTTTAAAAGAATCACTGAATCACTTTGTCTTTCATGTTCGCATTTCAAATACCCCTTTCTGTTCACAATTTATATTTTATGATGGTTGTAAGTTTTTGAACTTTCATTTTGTTTGAGTACACAAGCGAGCTTTTCAATCTAAGTCGCAAATATTGGTGCCCTTTATAGGGCACTCTAAGGCATTTGGATAGCATGTGTTTTGGCATTCGATTAGTAAAAAATTAAAACAGTTGATGCATTTTAGTTCATCATTTGAAAAAAGCTATTTGTATCAAACAACAATACAATAATAAAACCTTTATTTCAGAAATTTTCCAACTCAATTTATCTGGCAATTTTTTTGAAATTTATAGTTTGTACATTATTTGGCTTCATGCTTTCCAATCTTCTACATGCAAACTTAGTAAAACAAATAGTGTGGATGCTTTTAGCTTATTATATTTCAAATGATCTAATGCAAAGTTTGGGTCTATTTATATCTGGTGCCACTTTTGCTGCATAGCATTTTATCTGCCTGCCAGCTTGCCATGATGTAATTGTAATGTATCATAAAAGGTGCGGAGCTCCGCTAATATAACTAAGTTTTCAAGGGCCAGTGGCGCAGATGCGAGGACGTGCGACTCAAAATTGTCTGGTCGTTAGTTCGAATCCGCCGCAGCAAATGTTTAAATTTTCAAGGCTTTTTTACAGTTTCTTTTCTTATTTCTGTTATATATCTAATTTTTGTCAGTTTCTAGCTTGTGTTTGCGATCGCGTCTGTTAATGTTGTTAGCCTAAAAAGTTTAAAGATTTTAGATTATTTGTGGTACCTGATTTTGCGCGGGTACAAAAGAAAAAATAACTAAACACACCCGAAGACAAAGTTTTCTCTGCTTTCTGTGAGCGGAACAACAAAATTGCTTGTAGCACAAAAGCCTTCAGACCATGTTTTTTTCGGCATTAAACTTTTCGAATTGTTTTTATTATTTTTTTCATGCATAGAACTAATTATTAGCGCTATTTTGTTTGAATTTAAGTTTTTAGTCTTTTTCTACTGGTATAAGATAACTAAGCTTGAATAGAGTGACTCTTGGCTCTCATTTTTTTGAAAAATGATTTCGTTTCTCAGTCCTTAGTTTCTTCACTTTTTGTGGTTGAAGAAGAATTTATTGTTCCCACCATTTGAAAAAGGGGAGGAACTTTGTTTTCGGGTGTTTGAGTTTTTTCCTTTGTTTTCCACGCAAAATTAGGTACCACAAGTAATGATTGGACTAGGTTGAGTGATATATCATATTAGAGCCCTTACAGTCGTGATTCGAACCACGTTAAATAAGTTTGCAAAGAGTTTTCCCAGTGTCGAGAAAAACCGATTGAATTTTTTTTAATCTAGCAAATATAGCAAGCGAGCAGGCTTACAGCATCAAATTATGCCTAATTTAAGACCTTAAAACTTAATTTTAAGCAAGTTAAATTTTCTTTTTGAAGTTTTTTTAGCTGCATTTTGGGATCCAAAAACTTCAAAAAATTCGAAAGTTTTTGAAAAAAAAAACGTTATTTTTTTTTGGTGTTTCTAGTCATTTTTCTACAAAATTTTAAACCTATTTTACTACGACTGTCTAACATGCTTAAGTTTCATTTTTACGTCAAATCCTTTCATCACACCGAGCAGAAAAAAAACACTAGTTTGGAAAAAACACTTTCTAAATTGTAGTTTTCTAAAGTCTATGGTCGGAACATTCTGTGCTACCTTCACAGTAACCGGCTATCCTTGTTTCTCATTATTAATGGTTGGAACAGCATGCGGCCTGCCTGGGTGCAGTTCGCTCGAAACATTCCGGCCTGAAAATGTTTAGAGCAAATTCTACCAACTAGATTTATTGAAATTTCATTTTTTCGTTTTTTTCTTTTCTTCAGCTTGTTTTCAGCCTGTATTATAAGCAAGTGGCTTTATATTGCTTCGTTTGATGAGCGAAAAAAGTTTGGAAAAAAAACGTTGTAAACCGTAATTTTCTAAAGTATATGGTCGGAGCATTCTGTGCTACCTGCACAGTAACAGGCTATCCTTGTTTCTCATTGTTAATGGTTGGAACAGCATGTGGCCTGTCTGTGTGCAATATACTTGAAGCATTCCGGCCTGAAAAAGTTAAGAGCAAAGTTTACCAACTAGGTTTGTTCAAATTTCATTTCTTTTCTTCGGCTTAATAGTTTTCAGCCTGTATTATAATCAAGTGGCCTCATATTGCTTCGTTTGATGAGCGAAAAAAGTTTTTGTAGGAGTGAGAGGGGGATTTAAAGTTTTTTCATTTAATTCATGTCTCTTGATTTTTTTTTCGGCTGAATGGATGTTTGCTCAGAAGTTTTTGGCTTTGCTACCTTTTGGTACGCTTTTTTCCTATGCTAGTTTCACACTCTTTTTTCTAGGCAGGTCTTTTTTTTAAATAAGCTTTATTCAATTTATTTGATCTAATTTTTTTTGATTTTTTTACTTGATACATTTTCTTAGTGGAAATGATGTTGTCAGCAATAATGTTCTCTTGCACTTTGCTGAAGCTGATGTTGATCGTCAATAATGGTCTATTCACCCAAAATTATGGTTTTATAAGATCTGATCATTTTTTGAACCGAAATAGCACTTTTCTGTGTTCGAATTCAACATCTGTGTATGGCTTATGTTCTACTAAACGATTTAACGCCATGTGTTTTATTACTATAATAAAACGTTTTTATTGCCGCCAGTAATTTCTGGTCAAGTATGTTAATGTATAGAAATCTAAGCATAAAAGCTATATGGTCTTTTAGATAATCAAAGGTATGGCCAAAATGCACGAGAAAGTGGTTTAAAACACAAGCCGGCAAGTAATAAGGCTTATTATTGTTTGTTATTTTTCATAATATTGGTTAAGTTTTTAGTGTTGAAGTATGTTTCTTGTTCCTCTGAAGTGCAGCTTTGCCCCTGTGTAAAAAAATAGTCTAATTCTTCGTTCCTCGCACGGGAAAAAAATTCAATTTGAATGCAGTTCATATCACGACTGAAAGGAAAATATTACTGGCATAGCTCGATAATATGTGACTTTCGATCTAGATATGTTAGGTTAAAAAACACCTATTACCTCTTATTATTTGGTCAGACTAAATAAGGTTTGTTTTCATCAGACAAAAAATCGTCAATTTAAATGACTGCATTTAGGTGAGATTTTACAGTAGTCATTGGTAAGAACGTTGAGAGAAATTTGTCAGGTTGGTTCATTTTATAAGTAACCTGGTTTATTTTATTGAAGTGTTTAGAAGCGACAGAATGATGGAGCTGTACTTCAGTGACCCCAAAATGATCCAAATCACGAGCCTAGTTGTTGCCTTGCATCCCATTGTGTCCGGAAGGAGTATGAATACCCTACATAGTCGAGTTATTTCATTCCTTACAACCCACAAATCAGATTTCAACAAGGTCATTGATTCTCTTTTTGACTCCGCAATATCTTTACTGTCTAACTCTAATTCGAGTGGTGAAAAGTTCATACAAGCTATGAACGTGCTTCTTCTGAGGACAAAACTGCACTCGTTGTATGGATTGTTCTACGAATACCCACTGGATTTTGTCAGGTTCTCCAGAATTATATTTTAAACACTGTGGTGTTCGTAGTTAAGGTAGTTAGCTTGCAAAAACAAGTACAGTCACCAAACATAAATATTCGTATAGCAGATTTATTGCGCTTTAGGCAAGTTTTGGTTTTTCGATAGAATGACTGTTTATCATTAAATTTGATGAGGAATTCAATGGTATAATTTGGTTTGTAGAATTTCCGAACCAAAACAATTTTGTAGAAATGGGCTTTTCAAGGTTTTGTTATTTTCATTTCAGATTTAATCGAAAGGGATGCAGAATTATTTGGATAAATTCTTATGTTATTTGCACGAACGTATAGTCAATAGGAAAACTAAATTAGGTATATTTGACATCAGTTTTCCTCGAAAAATGATTTGAAACAATATTGCTATTTTTTGGCAAAACTTTTGATTCAAAAAATTATAAGGATGTCGATAAGAAAAGAGAAACTTTGCAAACTAATTTTAATGGAGTAAAATTAATTTTTCAAGGACTAACTTGAATATCAAAAGTTATACAATCATAGATTTCAAACCGGTTTTTCTGGACTGAAGGAAAAATGTTGGAAATTTTCCAAAAAAAAATACTGGAAAAAAATTGACTGAAAGGGGTTTATTATTTTATATCACTCGGCCCAATGTGATGATTATTTGTGGCCCCTGAATTTGAGTTGAAAACACAAAAGAAAAAATAAGGATAGCTTGTTACTGTTCAAGGAGAACAGAATGCTCCAACCACATCATCCATAGAAAAAACTACCAGGAAAGGTTTTTTCAAGTTAGTGTCGTTTTTTTGTGCGTGATATGATGAGAAAACTAAGCGAACGCATAGAATGTTAGTGAATAAGGTACAATCAACAGGCAGCTGTATTTGAAATTAAATAGCAAAGAAAAATCAGAATTTTTTTTTTAATGTGTCTGGTTTTTTACAGAAAGTTTTCGATTTTTTCAAAAAACATTTTATTGACAAAGTCTCGCTAAATGAAGGTGCGAAAACTTATTTTCTGAAGTCAGACTGAGTTTTTCACTACTTAAACGAAAACGTTCAGGCTTTATAAGGCGTACTCGCTCGCTTTACTTGCTCGAATTTATTGGATAACAAAAGAAACCTAAACAGCTTTGCATGATGTATACTTAATTTGTTGGGAGAAACAAATCCTACGCCCTAGTTTTCCCAATCATTCTTGACGTGACCGGACTAAAGGTAATATATGCATCAGCGATCCAAATACATAAAAGTTTCAGAAACCTGTTGTTCCAGACAGGGCTTAGAATTTGGTCAATTCCAGCAGACGGTTTCAGAGTCCACTTACTACGACAACGCGTGCAGTATATGTTCTGGTAGCTTCCTGAAGTCGTTCTATCTCGCTGAAACTGAAGTGAAATCTCTGAGGGAGATGTTCTGGAAATTCCTGGACCAGAAGGCACAAAAAACAAACGTGCAATCCTTACTTGAAGAGCAGATATATGTCCTTCACCAGGTTTGCTTTTTAAGCTGTAAGATCCCGGAGTGTTGTTTTGTTTTCTGTTTGTTTTGCTCTGCACCTTTTTTTAAGTGTGCTGATAAGTATAATCTGAAAACAAAAAATTGACCTGCAATTAACTTGGATTCAAATATACAACCGGTTGCTTGTACATTTGTTTTGGTTTTTGTTAGACGATTCGAAGTATGGGTGGCTCTCTAGATGTTGTCATCGATGGTTTGAATGCAGCCCACAACAATGCAATAACGTCTATGAAGTTCGAGTTGTCGCAAGTTGTTCTCACCAAAGTGCATCAACTAGTGCATCGCCTCAAACTAAACAAAGTCCTCATTCTTGTCCCTGACTCAGTTGTGATCTCTAAACGACTATACAGGTAAGTGGGAGCTATCTAATTATCCAAGCAAAGCTTCTGTTATAGTATGAACTCTCTTTTTTTCCAACCTAAGTCGCAAATGTTAGTGTTTATTTTGAAAGTGATCTTTTAGTGCAGTATGTGCATAATGTCAATAACCATCTTTTAAAGAGCAGCCAATGTTAAGGATATTAATACAGACTATTATATTACAAATAGCACTTTAGCTTCAAGGTATCATGCATCTGTAGCGTGGAGGTAGAGAAAGAGATCCGCGACAAAATAAGAGGGTTAGAACCTGGGCAGGGTCGGATGTTTTTAATGAATTTTTTCGTATATTAGTGAAAATGTGTCCGCTCTAAAATTGAGGCATGTTAGTTGGTAAGTTTTTTTCATATTGAATGGTACTGCTAATGCCTCATAATTGGCTTGAGTCACTTGGCAATTATGTAGATACATAATTGGCGTGCTTCACTTAAGACATTATGTAGACTTAAAGTTTTACTCATTCAGTTCTTCGCAGGACTGTTATCGGTCATATTTTTGCTTGTATATGCGAAGTTTAACTTCGACTCTGTCTTTTAAACATGGGCTACAATAATCAAAAAGGTGTTCGTTTGGGGTTAATGTAGGACTTTCACGATGTGGTAGTGCCAGGAACGAAACTGTCCTTATTGATAATCAGAAAGAAGCCCAATTCTCTATCTGCAATGAGAACTGAGTCACAATAACTTTTGTTGACTCCTATAAGTTGCCCTATCTATATAATTTTTGCTGTATGAGCCATTATTATAAAACAAGTATTTCCTTTGAGCTGTAGAACAGAATTCTGAAACGGCAGAAAAGTAACGCCGATCTGATCAAGAACGATCAGAGCTCAATCTTAGTGTTATCATATGGCGACAGAGACAGTGGATTTTTTTTACAAAACTTTTCCGCTATTTAATTAAAGCTATTACAAAACTTGATGAACAGCTTTCAACCCAAGACAGACATGCAATAGAATACTTCTGTGTTATTTTTATCCTTTATGTTGCTAGAATGATGTTCATTTTGATTTACAATTTTTCTAATATTGAAGATATATACTTGGACTTGATAAAATAGTCGTTCCCTCTGCCATTCTAAATTTCAAACTTCTCGACAGTGTCCAAACTTAAATTTCAATTACAATCAAAACTGAAAACATATTCTCATCTTCGTCGACAACCGTTTAAACCTCACAACAGTGCGAATTTCTCGAACTAATTTGCGTGCTCTCGAAAATTGATTGCATCATAAGGTATCAGTCGTTATAGAATATCAGTTCTTAAATTACTCAGTGTATTACTTTTCAAATGAAACAGTATAAAGAGTAAAAAAATAGAAGCAGTGACCCTTTCGAAGTTGGACTACCATTTTTTTAAGAAGTTGGACTACCATTTTATACAAATAGAAGTTGGACTACCATTTTATACCAAATATTGATTGACTTACGATGATCTCAATTTCATAAACCAATTCTTTCAAAAAATATTTTTCCGAAATTGATTATATTCTTATTCCGAAATGTTTCTGGTATTCTTCAGGCACTGTTCTTTTCATTTACCATGTACGCTTTAGCCCGGTGTTCATACTCAGAAAAAAATTGAAATCCATACTTGATTTACTTCCTGGGTAGTGGCACGGAATTTCTACTTCTAGTTTTTGGTTGCCTTTTGCCATGGGACAATCTGGATTAGCAAGCATTTCCTCCTAACAGCCCAATGAAAATGTCAAATTTCGTATTAGTAAATTAATTTTTCTTTACTTTTTTCTTGCATCCTCGCCCACGTTCCGTTCAAAATTAAACTAGATAATGTTTTTTGAACTCGATGTAAGAAACATCGCGAAAACTTTCTCTAAGTATTATAATATCTGCTTTGAAATATTAAAATATCCGATTTCATCACTGCTTCTTGTAAAACAGGTCAAACTGAAATTGATAGTTAATCAATCAACGGAACCCGAGAACTAGTGGATTCCTTTTGCTAAGATGCAAATTACATCCCTTAAGGATCTAGTCGGACAAAAAGTCCATTAGCCTATTCTCGGTCTCGTCCCAACCTCCTTATCCATTCCTGTCAAAAAGCCTTCACCTAAATTATGTCCCTTCGGGAAATCAAAGCTATAATTACTAAGCCTTTCTTCAATATACGAGACAATGACCTCTTGCCAACTCTATTACCCGAACACAATAAGATGAAATTTCACTTGGAGTAGCATGAAAAATAACTTACTCAGAAGATCACGATGAAAAATCGCTTTTTCATTTCTATTTCGCACTTATATTTCACGAAATTTGTTCGAAAAAAGTTTTCATGGCGTAAACCTGATTAACCATTAACACTAAATTACCTTCAGAAAAGGTTTAAAATGCCAGAATTGCAAGAAATTTTTTTTGTCAACAATTGTCTTCATGTTAGGTGTCGTGTTAACTGTCACCAAAGGTGCGCATCTTCTACTTAGAATCCAGCGGTTTTTTCCAGCAAGTAGCTTCGTTTTCTGTTTTTTACCGATTGCTGAAAAATATCAGTCTCTTTTCCGGCAAATTGCTGATTGGAGTTATCGCAAGTTTTTGGAAAAAATTTTGTCCTTTTCAAACTAATCTGACTAAAAAATAAAAAAACTGAGCTCTACCAATACGAAGCTGGTGATACGAGAGAAAATCTCGAATCAAAGTTTCAAACTTTCATATACAACAGCCTACTCGAGTGTTTCGGGGTAAAATTTTTTCCCAAATAATTATATTCGAGCGGGCGAGCCACTTAGCTTAACTTAGTTCGTGCTTTTTTGTCAATTTTAATTCAAGCGACTGGTGTAGCTCTCTCTTACCTTCCCGATCTAAAGTGGATTCAATTAGAACTTTTTGCTCCCTTTGTATCATCTCATTTTGCTTCCCCTAATTTCACTTGCGATCAGCGTATTGAGCCTTTTTTTCTAAACTAACTCGCAAATAAAAATTTCATTGAAAGCATTCACCTATTTAAAACATTCACTGTAGCTTTGGAAATTGCATGGAATCTGTTCTCTGCTTTTTTGTGGCTAGTGTTTGTTACCTATTCAGCGTTCGTGGTTGAGTGGTTAGTGTTTGAGACTCTTAATTTCTAGATCGCAGGTTCCATTCCGAGGCGCAGACGAATTTGTTTTAATTCGAGACTTATTTCAATTTTTTCTTAATTGCTCTTTATAGAGCTGTTTTTGTCGTATTTTCGCTGGTGTTTGCGAAGCCTCGCTTCTTTGTCAAGCCTGCTGCTAGTCTTTTTTTCTATTAGCAGTCATTCAACCAGTTTTCCTTGTTATGGAAAGATGTACAATACAAGAAATAACCGTTCTAAATAAATAACCGTTCTAACCAAACTAATCAGAAAGAAGACCCAATTCTCTGTCTGTTATGATAATTCAGTAACTGCAACGATTTCTGACTGATATAAAATGCTTCAACTATATACTATTTTAGCTGTAGTCAACATTTTTATCTTTTGACTGAAGAACAGAAGATTGAATTTAACATTTTAAGACAGTTGATATAAAACAAAGCAGAATCAGAGCGCAAAGCGAACCAAAAAAAGATAAATTAAAGGTTGTCATGGGTAGATTTTCACAACAGTTTTTTTTCCAGCTGGTAGTAGAAAATTCACATTTCAACCATGTCTTTGCTTCAGGCAAATCTTTGGGAAAAGGTGCTTAAAAAGTTAATATCTAGTGGCTTGGCGATGATTTCGTCCAAAAAATGCGCGTTTTTGTCCAAAACGTGCTTGGTGCTTTTGTTCCCCTCCCTTTTAACCATTCACTGATCGCAGCAAAATTCGTTTGTGGTATGAAAAAAATCAGATCTAATGAAAAATGAGTTTTTTTTGCCTTAACTTATGCTGATATTGCTTCAACTATTTCCTATAAATTTAGATTCGACGCAATGGAGCGAGAGATAAAACGTCTCTATGGGTCGAGTGTAGTTCTCCACAGAGTTAACAAGGAGTTTCTGGATGACTGTTTTGTCATCTATGCCGCCCTAGTCTCCAACTCGTTCGTTCTGTCCAACGACCTCTATCGAGATCACGTAGGAATGGCTATGGCTCTGTATCCACAAGCAGCTTCTTTGCTTCCCAGGTTTGACTCAAAATCAAAATTGATGCTCACTGGCCAAATTGTAGGCAAATTGACGGGAAATACTGTGGAACCACTCTTTGATTTTATTATCTGATTTGGTAGTCCTAAATTGAACGAAATTGTTGTGCTTGGTTTATTTCAAAAACATTGAAGAACGCTGGTTTAGTACATTTTTCGTGATGATTTTGCCCAGGGTTGGCATGTTATTTAACATTGTTATTTAACATTGAATTTAACTTACAGTATTATTTATAATTTCTAACAGTGATGATAGCTATTTCTTAGAAATATGAATAATTCGTAGAAAAACACAACGCAACTATACTGAATGCTTGTTCCGAAACGATTGTAGCGAATCCCGAACGGATGAAAAAAAAAATTCAAACCAATTGCAGTTTCAAACCAATTGCTCACTGGCCAAATTGTAGGCAAATTGACGGGGAATACTGTGGAACCACTCTTTGATTTTATTATCTGATTTGGTAGTCCTAAATTGAACGAAATTGTTTTGCTTGGTTAATTTCAAAAACATTGAAGAACGCTGGTTTAGTACATTTTTCGTGATGATTTTTTTTGCCTAGTTTGTCTTACCACTGCAAAGTTAGGCGGGAATTTGATTTGGATCCGTTTTTTTTTCACGCTTAATTGGGTATCACAGTAAACTTCAGATGGGTATAATGCTGTATTATTTAGGAGTAATGAACGTAGTCTTGCTGTTTTTTTTCAGCTTTTTTTTCAGGAAAAAGTCTTAAAATTGTTCACGCTCAATTTTGATTTTTCGCGGTTTGAGCTGTGATTTTTAAGTTCATTCATTTGTATTGTTAAAAGGAAGGCAAACTCCGCTATCGGACAGCAAAATTGTAAAGGTCACGAAAAACCTGATCGACTTCTATTTCGACAATGGAAATTAATTATCAGATTTCCCAGCGAAATAAAAGTTCTACCTGTTGATCCAGTTCTCTCAAATTTGGTTAATTTTAACATAAAAGTGTCTATCATAATTTGTTCTACAAATTCAAAGAGCTTTATTTAAGGCCATCTATTTTTTTCTTTGAACTTCAAAAAGTGAAGATTTTTGAAAAAAAATTAGTAGTTTTTTTTCAGTTTTGCATTCTTAACTTTTTTCCCACTGTGAGTTGGCTATGTTATAATTTTATACTATTAAATGCTTATTTTGTTTTCCATTTTTAAAAAAAGGTTTTAAATTTTTTCAGATCTTACTTTTATCTTAGAATTTCTTAAGTTATGCATTAAGAGGGGTAATTGAATTGTTCCGACCATTGGAATTCGGGAAGAACTTAGTATTCGGGTGTTTCAGTTTTTTGCTTTTCGCGCAAAATTTGGTACCACAAAAAGTTATCGGTTTGAGTCGATTGATGTATTATATTAAAGCCCCTCAAGTCGTGATTCGAACGACACCAAGAAATTTCAAAAAAGTTGTCCCAGTGTCAACAAAAACCGGTTAGAAAGTTTCGATTGTCAATCTAATTTTGAGCGAATAGAGCGCGAGAGCAGATTTATAATAGGCTTTTTTTATCGAAGAAGGATAAATCGTGAAACTTTTATTCAGTCACTGGAGATTTATGTCAATTCCAATACAATCAGTTTTTGAATTTTTTTTTGTCAAAAATAATTGAATAGATAATCATACAGTTCATTGAGTTCTGACTTGATTATCTTCTGATCCTTTCTTTTAAAAGAGCAGTGTCGTCAGCGTAAATAAATGGGGTCTGTTCGTTACTCGACTATCTCAAGTCGTTAATGTATGAAATTTTAAGCAATGGGCCTAATTTTTTTATTGCTGTGGAATTCCCAAGTTTTTTGATGGAAGTGATTTTTATTGTTTATTACAACAAAGCGTAATGTAATATTATGAAGATCTGTTTTCTAACCTAAGTCGGAAATGAAAGTGCTCATTTGACAGCCCTTTTTTGCAGCATATTTCAATTTAAATCATATTTAAGCGTATTTAATCATATTTAAGCTTACATAAACATTTTAATGGCCTATGTTGCTGCTTTATTTTTGGCTAGTGTTAGGTCCTGTATGAAAAAAAACATGTCTTTTGAACATATGGGATTTTTTGTTTCTTTTTTGTGACTTTTTGGAAATTTTTTGCACTATTCGCAGAAACTACTGTGCCGATTTTTTTAATGGTACCAGTGTCGTCAGCGTAAATAAATGAAAAATGGTGCAAAGAGCAGTGTCGTCAGTGTAAATAAATGGGGTCGGGTGGTTATTGGACGAACTCAATTCGTTAACGTATGAAATGTTAAGCAATGAACATAATGATTATCGCTGCGGAATTGCAAATTTTTTGATGCAAGCGATTTTTAGGTTTCATTACAACGAAGTGTAATGTAATCTTACGAAGAATGTTTTTCTAACTAAGTTGCAAATAAAAGTGCTCATTTGGTAGCTCTTTTGGCATATTTCAATTTAATCATGTTTAAGCTTACATAAACTTTTTAATGGCATATTTTGCTGCTTTATTTTTGGCTAGTGTTAGGTCCTGTTCGAAAAAAAATTTAATGTGAAAACGTATGGGATTTGTTGTTTGTCTTGTTTTTTTGCTACGCCTTGGAAAATTTTTGCACTATTCGCAGAATTTTCATTTTTTTTCTCAAAAACTACTGTACCTGTTTTATCAAAAATGATACCAATGAAAACCGGCTGCTCTTTCATATGCCTGCATATTTCGCTAGTTTTGTTTCGTTCAACCTCACGTTTTACGGCCTTCAAAAGTTTCAGTAGGGGTATTTTTGGCCTTTTTGTTTTATTTTCTCAAGTATTAAAGAGGTATTCCTATGCTTTAGTTGAGAAAATTTTATTGATTTAGGAAAAGGTGAATAAGCGTGCATGGCGTGCATAACTTAAGAAATTTTTTAGACTCAAAGTTTTTTTCATTCAGTTTTTCCCAGAAGCGTTATCGGTCAAACTTTTGCTTGTGTATGCGAAATGCAACTTCGCCTCTGTGTTAAAATATTAGAACAGGTAGATTCAGGATTAGCTGGGCCGCTAGTTTGCTCCCAAGCGACTGTAGCGCAGATGCGAGGATGTGAGACTCCTAATCAACAGGTCGGATATTCAAATCCGGAACAGTTAAATAGTTTTTTTTGGTCAATTTTTGCTGCATAACATTGGCAATTTGGTAGAAACTGTAGCTGCTTTAATGGTGGCTAGTGTTAGAGTAAAGTTACAAGTGGTCGTAGAGCAGATGTGAGAACGTGATACTCCTAATCTCAACAAAACATTTTTTACTGGGTGTTTCTTTTAAATCTTTTCCGTATTTCACTTTGTTTTGAGGTCTGTTTAGAGGTCTTTTTTACATTATAATTGCTTGTGTTTGTGAAGCGCAGCCTCGCCTCTGCGTCACAAGTGGTGCGGAGCTCTATTTTGTCTCGGTGTAAATTTTTGATTGTTTAACGACAGCCAAACAAATGAAAACAAAACTCAGGTTTTCAGAAAGTTAGTCATTGTCAGTGTGTATTTTTTTAGGTTTTAAATTTAATCTGAAAATTGTAAAATTGTACCCCAACCGTTCGTAAATGCACCTCGTTTGTAGCAATTGATTTTCGAATGTAACGGGATTCTTGCGACGGAATAAATCAAATTAAATTATATTTCTTAAATTAAATTGAATTATAATTCTAATCTATGAGATGTTTCAGCTTTATTATGAGCAGGCGCATCAAAACATCAGGAACTGTCTCGGCGCGAAATTTGACCGACCGAAACTCAATTAGTGTCTACAAGCCTCCTTCTTTTTCTTACGTCCCTCAATTCAGCATCAAAAAGTTAAACGCGCCCGGAGTCTCTTGGGATCTCATTTTGCACGAACCAGTTGACCTGAATAAAAATCAAGATAACCTGAAACTGAGAAGCCGAAAACCTATTCAGTGGATTTGTGCTAAACGCAACTTTACCGGGTTTTGTGAAAAGGATAATGATCTCATTGATGAATGGGTAGAAGAAAATTTGTAGCATATTTAAAGTTGTGATAGTATTTTTGTCTTTTTTCATTTAGTTGAGATGAGAGAAAAGGAAAAAAGATTAATATAAGTTCTCTAAATCATAAATTCGGAGTAGTAATTACCTATTAAAATTGCGTGCAATTTATTTTAAAGGGAAGAATTATTAAAAGAAGGCAGTTGATGAATTATAGACCACTTCGACTATTTGTTGTGGCGCTTAGCCAAAATAAATCAATGACAGTCCTTTTCCTTTGCCCTCATAATATAGGAATTAAAAATTTAGAAACCCGAAAGAATTTCACTCCAGCGAATTACTCGACAAGTTTTCTTGGGACAAATTTGTGATTTTTGGACTCACGATTGAGCCAACTTTGTTTTTGTATCGCTAATTGTTTTTCTCTTCTTTTCTGACCCAATATTTATTTCTCTTGTTGCCAGTAAGAGTATTGGAACTGCATACTGCGCGTTTTTCACATTTAGAGAGACTTATTACTAAGAAACGCTTGTGGCATATCACGATTTTCTAACTTAAGTCGTACATTTTTTTTCAATTTTGGTGGGGTTAAGCAGGTTTATTGGGTGAGGCGCGAGGGGTGCATTATTTGCTTGAGTTTTTCATTAGCTAGATGGTTGAAGTTTATCCTTAATTTTGCTTGAGCTTGCGAGTTGGAACTTGTGTAGCAGGGCCTTTGTGTAAAAATTTAGATTTATTACAAGGAATTTATGTATCGGCTCCAGTTATTTCGGCTTTGAAGCAGCTTTTGACAATTTGACATTTTTTCTTTAAACAAAATTGGAATCAAAAGTACAAATAAAATAAATTGTGTCATGAGCCACAAAATTTAAAAATAGTTCTAGCTTAGGAAAATTTAATTCTAGGAATCTATCATTCCGCAATTGAGGTAAATATTATTTCACTTGCGAGAGCACGTGACTTTTAATCGGGAACTAGACAGTTTTTCCGGTAAACATTTTTTCTTACACATTTCTGCTTCATATCTGCTGACATGCTCAATTTATTGAAAATTCAAATAAAACTACTTCTTAGCTCATTTAAGGAAATTCTTAAATTTTTTAAATAGGTATTGAAAGTATGTTATTATTTTTTAAAATTTGTACGTTTCGTCTCGATTTCTGTTGTCTGTTTTTTTTTCAGGTGAAATTTTTATCTGGTACGCTTTTCAACCAGTTTTTTTCAAAGTGAGGGTTTTTGTACACAAGCATAGCTTGTGTTATAGTATGAACTATCTTTTTTTCCAAACTAAGTCGCAAATATCTACAGCCTTCGAAAAAGTGTGTGGGGAGAATTTTTGACCCGTTTTTGGATTTCTTTTCTCGAAAACATCAATGTGCAGAACAGGTTGAGGGAAGCTCCCCTGCATAAACAGCTACGCCCAATCTTTTTACACAAAATGTTATGGCCCTCAAAATTGTAAATTTTTCGATTTTTTATCCATGGTTTGAAACTTTTACACTTTTCTCAAAAACTACTCTCCCAAATTCGAGATTTTAGTTTCAATCGATCGGACGGGTTGTGGGGAGCTCCTCTGCGTTAGCGGTTACGCTCAAATTTTGTCACACAAAAAATTATGCCCTCAGAAAAGTCAAACTTACGATTTTTCTTACCGTTTTTTGAAACTTTTCGGTTTTTCTCAAAAACTACCCTCCCAAATATGAGGTTTTGGTTTCAATGAGTAGAATGGGTTACGGGAAGCCCCGCTGCTTAAATGATTACGCCTATTTTTTTACACAAAAAATTATGACCCTCTGAATAGTCGAATTTTCGATTTTTTGACCGTTTTTTCAAACTTTTTGACTTTTCCCGAAAAGTACGCTCCCAAATCTGAGATTTTGGTTTCGATTGGTGCAATGTGTTGTGGGAAACTCTCCTGCATAAACCGTTACGCCCATCTTTTTTTACACTAAAATTAATGACCCTCGGACCTCGGAAAAATTGAATTTTTGACTGTTGTTTGAACATTTTTGACTTTTCTCTAAAAGTAACCTTCCGAATCCGAGATATTGGCTTCCATGAAAAGATAAAGGGCTCTCATGTTCAATTTTTTTTATTACAAAAAGAAACTTTTGGCCTTCAGAAATATCAATGTCTTGATTTCTTGTCCGTTTTAAACTTTTGACTTCTCGAAAACAACTCAATCTGATATCAAAGGTTTAATCATGGCAACAGGTTGTAAGAAGCCTCCGTGCATAAACAGCTACGTATTAGAGTTTGAGCAAGAAACATGATTTTGGGAAAATTCCAGAATTACAAAATTTTTCAATCCTTTTTTAATAGAGCAACAACCAAGGTTTTGGGTGAAGCTCAATGCATAATTTTCTATATAACCTACTTCATCCCGCATCAGTACAACAATATCAAAAAATATCAAACAGGTACCTCCAGCTTTAGCTGGGCCTCTAGTAGCTTTTAAGCTTCAAGGTATCATGGATCTGTTGTGTAGAGGTAGGGAAGGAGACCCGCAACAAAATAAGAGGATGCGAACCTTGGCAGGGTCGGATGTTTTTATGAACTTTTTCGTATACCAGTTAAAATTATGCGCTCTATAAAATAAGGCATCGTAGTTGGTAAATTTCTTTTTTTCCAAACTCACTGGTACTGCTAATGCGTCATAATTGGCGTGCGTCACTTGAGAAATTTTGTAGACTCAAAGCTTTACTCATTCAGGTTTTCCCAGTGGCGTTATGGGTCTTGTTTTTGCTTGTGTATGCGAAGTGCAACTTCGCCTCTGTGTCAATTTTTGATTTGAACCGGGTGATAAAATTAACTATTATGAAAATTCATGGGATTTAATTTTGAAACTTTTTTGAAAACATGGACAATTTTTTCATGTTTTCTCAAAAACTACTGAAAGGAAGCTCGAAAAAGTGGTTCCTTTAAAAAGACCACGCACTCTCCTGTCTGCCTGCATAACGTTAAGTTTTTTTCTACCTCATCCCATTTTCTACAGCATTCGAAAAATTGTGTGGGAAGAATTTTTGACACAATTTTGGAATTTTTCGTTTTCTCGATAACTACCCGTCCAAATCTGAAGTTTTGGACCAAGAGAAAGCAGAGATCCCAGGTTGTGGGAAGCTCCCCTATATACGCGGCCACGCTCAAGTTTGTTCTCTGAAAGTTATGCTACTTGGAAAAGTCATTTTTTAAAGTTTTTTGAAACTGTGTTTTGTCTCGAAAATTACTTGTCTAAAGAAAGTATAAGTGGATTTTTTCCTTATGTTTTTCAGATAAGTTTTATGACTTTTTGAAAGACTTTCGAAAGTTTTTGGAAACTTTGAATTTTTTCAAAAACTACCCTGCCAATCTCAGATAAATGGTTCTATCGAACAAACATATTGTGTGTGCTTGTTCGCTGCACAAGCCGGTACGCCCTATTTCTTGTACAAAAAACTATAACACTCACAAAACTCAAATTTGATTATTTTTGTGACAGTTTGTTTGACTTCTCAAAAGCTACCGCACCACTTATGAGATAAAGGATTAAACCGAACAAAATGGTTGTGAAAATTTTTCCTTTAGAAGCGTCGAGTCTTTTTTTTGTGTAACAAAAGATGTTACGTGCACATTCTGAAGTTCTCGCCGTTTTTCAAAATTTTTCACTTCTTAAACTACCCTGACAAATCTGAGATTTAGAGCTCAATCGAAATTACAGTTGATTGTAATCGTTTCGGTATTACTGGTTCTGCTGTCACGACTTCGATTAAATGAACAGGTTGCACTACCTGCCTAATTTCATTTGAGTTCATTTGATAGAACGTGTAATAGGTAAGAACGTGTAAGAACGCCTACAATTGCGGCTAATCACTCATGGTTGTAGAGAATCAACTAAGGTTTTGGGCTTTGAAAATAACGCATTTCATCCCACATCAGTAAAACATATTTTGAAGCTGTAGCTTGTCCCCTAGCTTTAACTAAAATTGAAGGTTGTTATGTAGTTTAACTCTGAATTTTAGAAATTTTATTTATTTAAATGAAATGGGTTTGGTTTATTTTTTATCGGCTTAGCCAATTGATCTTGCGTATCTCACGCGTGAATTTTAATTGTTTTTGGTGTATTCAGGAGGGATGGATCTTAAGAAATTTGATTTCAAAAATTTTATAGCTTGGAACTTTTTTGATTGCAGTTTGATGTTCGGCTCTATGTGGGTCGAATCAAGTTTTTTCGCTGACACTAAAAGACTGTTTACGAAGATCATCCAAACCAAAGATATGAAACTTTCGTACATACAGTTTTTTTGACTAGTTTTTTCAGCTTAATTTTTCTTGACTTTTTCTTTGAAGTATTTATTTTGGGTGTCTTTAGTGTTGCTAAGCTCCACTTTGCATCTGTGTACGTAATTTGGCCTACTAATCGGGTGATTTACTGACAATTAGGTTTTTTAATTGAACCTCCTCGGTTCAAACACAATTTAATTTCCCAAAAGTAAAGCTAAAATTTTATTAAAATAAATCAACAGCTCATCAGCATCATGTGCATTTAACAATCACAATTTAGCAATCATTCCGTGATCAGTTGAACTGGACATTTTTTTTAGTTGATAAGAACAGAGCGATCGATTTTTCATGTACCATTTTCTGTGAACTCAATTATCAAACTTGGCTTTCAATCTTTCAATTTTGTACTGAAATTGTTCGCTTTGACTAAATAAACCTTCATTTTATGAAGTTCAACGTTAGAGCTTTATTTGAATACGATTGTTTTTGAAATCTTCAACCAATGTAGCGGTACAACACGAAATTGTAAAGTATCGAAAAGCTAACAAATGACAGAATTGTCACAATCAGTGCAGCTCCCGCAGGCTTTGAGACTTTGGCGTTTTGCTTCAACTGCTGGGTATCTTTTTTGCCCTTGGGTAAAATCGGGAGCAAAAATATAATACACGCGTTGAGTAGGTATATGATCGCGTAGTTTGCGGCCACTATGTTTCTGTCGTTTGTGTTGTCTCGAGTGTATTTGCCGTGTTCGCTGACGTGAAACATGTACACGGCAAAGTTTCCGATAAGAGAGCCGATGGACATGCTGGCGTTGCTTGTTGTCGTCATCAGCGCATAAGCGATACCTGAAAACAAATGAAGATAAATGGTAAACATAAATCACAAAACGGTGAGTTGCTTGTCAGCTGGACAGCAAAAATTGAAGTTATGACTTCAGCGAAAACAGTAGAACAAAGTAATTACCCTTGCGATCGGGTACTAGACTTTTTCTCCATGAACAATTTTGTCCACAGAATTCAGCATGCATGTAGTATGTGCGTATATTTTCACTCTCACTGTGCATACCTATTCGTGTTTTTCCATTAAATTCGCAGTTTAAGTTTTTTTAATGATATTTCTTTGGATGTTTTTTAAATTTTCGACTTGTAGTTTTCGGTTTATTTTTTGTTGGCTTAGTTTCCGGTTTTTACCATCTACCTAAATCGCTCATATGAATTTAAGTTTGTTTTTAAACATCATTGTTGCTTTTAGAGTTCTGATTTACCTCTGCTGTTTGAAATATTCCGTCTTTCGATGAGCGAAAAATGTTTGTAAGTATGTGTTTGTGTTTTGAGGGCGAGGGTGCTTAATAACTTCTTATTAGTCTCAACTTTTTTGATTTTTTTTTCGTTTTTTTTATGTTCCTTTCTTTTGTGCTTAATAGGTTTTGGGCTTTATTATTATATGAAGTATTTTAAGCACCATCTTTGGAATTTACGTCCCTATTGCATTGACACTTGAAAACTGTATACCAAAAATGAACCGCGCTGTGCGAAAAGCGGACCCGAGCCAGACTGTTCTAACTTTGATTGGGCAGGTTATTTTTGATTGGGACGGTAATTTATTGGCATCTGTGAAGGGACCGTGGCGAGGATGTGTGACTCTTAATCGACAGGTCGGTGGTTCGATTCCGGCTCACAGCAAAGGTTCTTCATTCTTCATGGCATATTTTAAACCTTTTCAAGGATTTTTGGGGCTAGTATTTGCCTTCTGTCAAGTTGCCACGTCGCAGATGCGAGGATGTCAGACGCCTAATCTACAGGTCGCTGGTTCGATTCCGGATCATAGCAATTGTTTTTTTTTATTTTTCAAGTTTCCTATTGAATCTTTTCAAGGCTTTATTGTGGGGCTAGTATTGCCTATTGTCAAGTTACCGCTTAGCAGATGCGAGGAACTGAGACGCCTAATCTACAGGCTAGCGGTTCGATTACGGTAGCAAGCATAAGTTATATGTTTCAATGTTTATTTCAAATTTTTTCGCTTAATTAGTTTTTGCCTTTTAGAGCTATTTTCTGCTGTTTTCTCGCTTCTGTTAGCAAAGCAGCTTTGCCTCTGCTTTAAACACTAAAGTGAACTAGGATGGTTATCTCAAAAGAAACTTGAGTTTTGATTCTTTCTGGTAGAGTAAGTTAACAAACCTTCAGTGTCCGATTCAGACAATTCAATGAAGAGTAGCAGCCCACAAATGTAATTGGCACCCACGAAGAACTCAGTGGTAAGTTCATCTGACAGATAGAAGTACTGGTTCCTTATGACGTCATAGATGACAATGTATGTCAATGAAGCATTCATCACGAGAACTAGGTAAGAGAAGTACATACTTTTATTCACAAAACATTATCATCGTTTTGTCAATAATTAAAAGTAATTGATTATAAACTGTTTTTTTTTCTCATTTTGGCTATTAAAGGTTTTAAGCTTCCGATGGGTGTTAGAAATACTGAAGACCAAAAGTATACTAATCAACTAAATATTAAAACTAAATTGTCAGTAACAATGGTTTTTGGTTTGGAAATCTTGTAAATCAAACAGTTTTTTTTATTTTAAAGTGACTAATTACCAATCTTATTGACAAAATTGGTGGTTGGCATGAAATATCAATGCTTGAAAGCATACCTATCACGGCGGTCGATCCGAAGATCTTCTTCCAGTTGAAGTCTATCAGGAATTTGGCAAAAATAGTGGATCCGAGCGAAAAAGTAAGTTGACCGAATACTCCAACCAGAATGTTTTTGGTGAGATTGTCAACTCCAACCCAGTAAATTTGGATCATGGAGTCGGCGGGTGATGAAATCGACATTACAATCGAAGATCCTATAATGAAGATGTTGTTTACAAATACAGGAGCTATTCTCGTAAATGTTTCAGAAAAAGAAAGCGAGAATGCCCAAATGTTTTCTTGTAAAAGTGAGAGTTACTTGAGAAATAATTCAACATAGTTGGCTCTTTATGTTAGCATTAAGTAGTTTCTCATTACGGTATTTGAAAAACACTTCTGCGGGATGTCTGAATTAAAAATCCTAAACATCTTGATAATTTACTATGAAAACATCAATGCATAACCAACTTAGCCTCCTGTTTTTTGGCAGGCTTGAGCAGAATGTTCACGTTCTATTTTATCTTTCAGCAAAAAAGATGTCATTCGAGGACAATAAAAGGTCAAAAAATAATCTTGACACCTTCAGATTGTGTTATCGATGAGTAGACTGTTTGTAACCTATTTGGAAGACGAGCACTTGCTGAACTGCTGTGTTCTGAAGGAGGGCCCACACTTTAGACATGATGTGTTTGATGCTCTTCGACTCGGACACTGTGTCTTCGGTGGTCATGAGGATGGTGACTGGGATGGCACAGCAGCTAGTGGCAGCCACTATGAGGAAGATGACGCTCACTTCTATGCCCTCGCACCAGGGCCCACTGTACTCGTACCAGTTCAGACCCACCCCCTTCAGAATAGCACCGACACTCATACCTGCGAGGAAAAAAAACCTTCAAATGACTTTGTTACAAATAGTTATATTAAGGCAATTGAGAGTTTTTCTACTTCTACTATTGGATTTATCTAATATTCATTGATGCCTACATGATTGCTAAATAGGATAGCCTAATTATTAATTTAACGTATTTTTCATGTTTTCCTTTTTTCAAATGACATCTTTTTTTGCAAAATTTAGGAAGTGAAATCTGAATAAAAGTACTATCAAACTTGAACTGGCGTTGCAAACTAGCTATTTCAATATGACTTTATTCGAAAGAAAAAATACTCCTAGAAAAATAGAGAGGCAATAGCTCCGTCCTTTTGAAGAACCTCTCAAAGAGGCAAAGCTTTCAGAAGAAATCGCGTTTACCTATTGATCGAGTGACATAGATCATGGTCTGGGCTTTGCCTCGTTTGTTCATGGGCTCTTTGCGGGCATACTGCACCATGAGTCCATCCATGGCCACGTCTGTCAGTACCAGGAAGACATTAAACGTCGCCAACAGCGTCATGAACTTAAGCGACTCATCCTTGTACTCTGGAATAAAGAAACGTGTTGAAGTATAGACATCCGAAGTTTTAACCACAAACAAGGGAAAGTTTATGGGGTGGGGGCTTTTCCCCTCTTCGCCAGGAGTGCAGCCCCTTCGCCGCCCTTTCTTTTTTTTGGGGGGGGGGGGCATTCCCCTCTTTGTCAGGAGTTCAACCCCTTCGCCACCGCTTCGTTAGAAATATTTATTTTATAGATTACACATTTCCGGCCGATTAACTCTAAAATTATTCTTAAGGCGACAGTGGCGCTAATTCATAAAAAACCTTTGAGGGGAGCGCGCACGCTGCAAGGTGAGTTAATGCTCGAAAGCTCCCAGCAAAGTCGCAAAAATGCGGTATAACATAAGCTGACCTGATTAGCTAAATTTAAGAAGGGCGAATTGTGTGTGAGGCAAAATGTGCCACATTCGTCGAGAAAAGTTTTATTGGCGTAGTTTTTGCTGCGGAATGCTTATTTCGACGCTAATATAAATTATCCAGACGAAATGAACAAAACTTGAATTTTCAAACGCGTTTTTCTCAAATTGGGTTAAGATTAGACAAAAAGTGAAGAGGACAAAAGTTGCTTAGAATTTCACCAGAATTGATACGGTGCCATTTTTTCTCCGAAATTCTCAACAAAAATTTTACCCCAAAAATGTGTCATTTTGGCTTTTTTCAATTAATCAAAAATTACGCTGAAACTACTTTGTTAATTGATATGAAAATTATATCACAGGAAGCCTCTTACGCAGCTCAACAAAGTTTAAGAAGGGTTAAATATCCAAAAACCAGTATAAATGAAAAAAATTTCATTTGATAGTCAATAAATGTGATTTTTACTATATAAAACCCAGAATCTCTGTTTAAAAATAAATTTAAAACAATTTGCGCAAATTTTTGGAGATTTTATCCTTCTTAAACTTTGTTGAGCTGCGTAAGAGGCTTCCTGTGATATAATTTTCATATCAATTAACAAAGTAATTTCAGCGTAATTTTTGATTAATTGAAAAAAGCCAAAATGACACATTTTTGGGGTAAAATTTTTGGTGAGAATGTTGGAGAAAAAATGGCACCGTATTAATTCTGGTGAAATTCTAAGCAACTTTTGTCCTCTTTACTTTTTGTCTTATCTTACCCAATTTAAGAAAAACGCGTTTGAAAATTCAACTTTTGTTAGTTTTGTCCGGATAATTTAAATCAGCACTGTAGCACTGACAGTTGTCTTTCATGTTATGTTTTGTTGTCAAAATCAACTTCCTCTCTAAGACAAATGAAGACCATTGTATGAAAGCAGATATAGTTTTTTTGACATTTTGTTTTGCTCAATCATTGCTTATCTCACCTTCCGTCGGCTAGTGGTGTTGTATCGTAAGTCCTCGAAGCTTGGCTCCGCATCTGATTGAAAGAGCTTTCAAATAATTTTGTTTCAAACTACGATTTTTAGACCAAAGTAAAAGTTGCTCGTCAAGTGTTTCCAAAAACACGCATCCATAAAATAAAAAGCAAAACCGGAAAACTAGTACACCGAACAAGAGTCTTTAACCATATTCCCTTTCTTTTGAAAGGGAACAGCGGATAGGAAAAAAATTGGTGTTTTTGGAAAGACGTTGGTCAAGGCTTCCTTTGCCACTCGTTATGCAACTACTCGATGTCAAAAGGCGTCAAGTCTTCTGAAAGTTCGAAAGTTCCTGGCTTCGAAAGCAACTTCGGTTCTTCATTCGAGTTCGAACCCTGTTAAAGGTTGATCCGCTTTTCCCAAAAAATGCATCGTGCTGCTGCTGGATCTGTTTTAAGTGTAGCGGTATCCAATGCATCCAACATTGCCTCAAAAAACTTCTACTGACCAATCTCTTTGCACTGAATGAAACGTATAACAATACATATTTATCACAAAATATGCAATCTCTCCTTTAGACTCCCTTACGACTAATAATTAATTAAACCGCCCTCTTGAGAGTGCTATACAGAGAGGAGGCGCCGACTCCAGCACAAAGATGCTATTACTGGAAAAGGTGGTTGCTCTTCTACATCGGTTTTGCCGCTAGAGACCCTTAGGGAACTGCAGTGAGAGATTATACAAGACGACCAACAGAACATCCTCAACTCTCTCTCTCTCTCTCTCTCTCTCTCTCTCTCTGTCTCTCAATCAGAATAGTTCTCCCCAATTCAATCAGAAGTTCGGAACCGAAATCAGTGTAGCTACAACACCAATAATAACTAATACTTAACCACCCGTACTCGAAACTTCTTTCGGAAACACAACCACGACAAACGTCTGCAGGATCAAAGAACCAAGCCATTTAACCGCAAAACTATAAGTCAAATAGTCTCCACCTAATACAAGTTGTAACGGCATCGGAGGTAAAGCAACCGAACTCGCCCTCTACCTTGTAGCAAGCAAAATCTGTAATGCCGTCAAAATTGATATTGGTGCTTACAAACCAAGGTGGTACCAACCCTAAGCTTCTCTCTTATGTGCCTATATTTTTTGCTACTCTCTTTCCATCAAACTCCTCCTTCTACGGGCTTCGAAAGCTATAGTAGGGGGATTTCGAAAGTTCCAGTAGGGGGATTTCTTACCTATTTGTTTTGAGTTTTCTCGTTTTCTCAAAAACTAACTGCTTAAATCTGATTTCAATCAAATTTACAAATCCTGGCAATCTCCCTTTCATAAGCGGTTCTTCCTTAATTATAGTAGAAAAAAAGATTTGTGACCTCAAGCAAGAGCTTTTTTGACATTTTGGTTAATGTTTTCACAAGCAATGCTTGTTTGGTAGTATGAACTCTTTTTTTCCAACATAAAACGCAAATTTTAGTGTTCATTTTGAAAGTGTTCATTTTTTGCAGTGTGTGCATAAAATCAATAACGAGCTATTAAGTACAGCCAATGCTAAGGATAATAACACAGACTATTATAATACAAATAGCATGTTAGCTACTAGGTAACATGGATCTGTAGCGTAGAGGTAGGGAAGGAGACCAGCTACAAATCACGAGGGTTCGAACCTGGGCAGGGTGGGATGTTTTAAATGAATTTTTCGTGTATTAGGTGGAATTCGTCCGCTCTGTAAATTGAGGCATGTTAGTTGGTAAATTTCTTTTAAGAGTAATGAAGACTCTTATATAGGTCTTGCTGATTTTTTTGTTTTTTTTTGAAAGAAAATTTTTTAAAATATTGATGCCCTTGGGTATAATGCACTTTTTGAGTTCAATTGAAATTCATCTGCTGAAATTGAGTTAAACAGCACTCTCCAAATTCGAACGTAGAAATGGCGCGAAAAAACGTGAGTGATCTAACTCAGATAGCCATATTAACTCAGATAGCCGTATTTGATTCAGTTCCGGCGCTTTTTTGCTTTACTTACTTCAAAATTACTTTCCGTTCCAAATTAAATCAGAGTAATCATAACAAGCACTCGCAGTGTTTGATAAATCAGCAAATTCACTTTCTGTAATTAATCAAATATTTTTTTGGTTTTTACGAATGCTTCATCTGTAAGAGGTCATACTGAGATTGTCAGATAATCAATCAACGCAACCCGAAGCTAATGGATTGCGTTTACGTTTGTTCAGGTGCAACTTAAATTCGCTTTAAGGCCCTAATTGGACAAACATGCCGTTTGCATACTCTCCTTCTTTCACCTATTATCGATTTCTATCGCAAAGCTATCCCCTAATTATGTCCCCTCAAGAACATAATGCAATTAACCCCAAGATGCAATCACTAAGCTTCCCCCTAATTCATTTTTCTTTACAAAAACGTCGTAAAAAGTTTTCTCTCACGGCACAGTGACCTCTATCCATCTCTGTTATCCGCAGAAACGAGGATGAAAATTTAACTTAAAATAACCTGCGAAAAATATATCACCTGGAAGATTTGGGTGCTATTTTTTATTTATATCCCATCGTAATTACAAACAGCAGAGCTTACCTCAATAAAATCGTTTCCCTATTACTTTTTACGATAAATTTTTCGTCCTCGAATGTTTTCCCTCGTTCGTTTAGGTTCTAACTCCCCAAGCCTTTTTACCGATCAAATTATTTAACTTCACAAAAAACTTAAAATTGCCCGAAATGCAAAAAAAATTTCATTTTTCATCTTTTTTTCTTATCAGTTGTCGGAGTAACTATCACCAAAGGCATGCTTCTTCTTCCTTGAACCAAAAAACTGTATATGGTTTGTAATTTAAGCCTTTTAAGAAGTACTACAAAAGGACATGTCTTTTATGGTGGCAATATGCTGGTCCTGTCATTCGCCAGAATTTTGTTTGATGTTTAACCCCTTTAGCCAATTTCTATAACATTCTTGTCCTTTTCGAACTAAAATTAGAAAAAATCAAAAAAGTAGGCCAAGCTGGATTGTACTAAAACGAAGCAAGAAAAACGAGAAAACATTTATCAAATTTTCAATATGAAACTTTTGTGCACAACGATCTACTCAAAGGCTCGAGAAAAAAATCATCTAATCGACACCTGGAAAAAAGGGCTTATTCAGCCTATCAAAATTCTTGAACATTTGTTTATTTTTAACTTATTTGGCGGTTTTGCTCTCGTTTCACTGCCCCTGCTAATGTAAAATTCTATAAGCACTCTTTACTCCTTTTTATCAGTTTTGGTTCCTATTATGCAGCCTGCTGCTAATTTAAAATTACCAAACACAATAACAACACTCACCGCTGCGGAAAATGAAACCGACAATAAATGGATAGTGAAAAGATAGACAAAAAATAACTGTTGCTACTTCTTTAGAAAAAAGCCCGCAGTGTCGGGAACGATACGTTCCTTTTGCTAACCAGAAAGATGACTCATTTACTTATCTGCAACTAGCTTTGGGTAACTGCAGCTAAAATTCTATTTATTGTTCTGACCTATAAGCTGTATACACCATAAGCATTTATATTCTTTTTTTTATTTAGCTGCAGAACAGAATATTCAATTTAATATTTGAAGCAGTCAGCAAAAAAAAAACGTAGAATCAGAGCGCGAGAAGAACCATAAAAATGAAATAGCTTAAGGTTATCATAGCGACTATCAACAAAATGTCGAGCAAATTTCAAAGAAAGCCTGCTGCTGTAATTTGGCGCAGAACTTTCCCCCATTACTTAGTTGTAAAAAATGAAATACTTCAAAAAAAATTCCAGTTTTCGGATTTTTCTCGACGTTTTTTTTCCAGAATTTTTTGGAAGAGGACCACTGCAACCTTCATTATAGTCAGTGTGACCTAGTACTCAATCACTATTATGTTTATTTATGGTAGCTCGATTTGCGCATCATAAACTACACGTATCCAAAAGTCCTCCACACCCCGGTGGTTGTAACAGTTAGCTATGCCACCCTTGAGATAGATATGGTCCATGATTTGGCATATATTTTGAAATTTTGGCAATCATTCTTACCTTCTTCGCTGTTCTCTTTTATTACTCCTTTGACGCTGCAGTTGCCATTTTCGATTGCCTCCTCTGGTCGTTCAAATCTAATCAACAATATCAAACTGACTGACTTGTAGCTAGCTTACTTGCATTAATAAATACTCTTTATTAATAAACTATTAATTTTTGTAATGGTTGTTTTTTGTTTTTGACGTTTACAGGTGTGTTTTTTGCAGAATTTTTTCTGTTTGACTGTCATCAAATTTATAAGTTATATCTTAAAATTTGTTACTTTTTGTGTTGCGCGGTAGCGTACTTCTCTAGGATTGTGTTTACGGCAATCGGCCTAATTTGTTCTTATTTTCAAATCCGAAGTTGGAAGCTGAAAGGAGTTTTTCATCCGAAGCAAGAGGAAGACCAACTGCGAAGTAAAAAACAGAAATAGTACCTGCTTCCTGGGAGTGGCTGAAACGTCAGCACGAGGGCCATAGCTGTGCAGCCAATCCATCCTAGTACCATATATGGCTTCCTTCTGTACCCCCTGAGAGGGAAGCAGTCATTGATGGCGCCATAAATTATCTAAAGGTAGCTCTTTTTTCTCGTTTTACCCCAAATAACATTATTTATGTGAGCAGTTTTGTCTTTGTTGGAAAGCTTGTGGATTGCATAAAAATTGATCAGATATTCACTTAGATTATGATAATTTTCTCGCTATTTGTCTTGTTTAATCTTTTAACTGTAGAAAGTTAAAGCTCAAGTCGGCAAATAAAGAACTTGAACGTTTCAGTTTTTTCCTCGCCATAGTGAATTAATGGCGTATAATATTGTTTTTTTTTCTAATTTTCCAGGAGAAAAAATTTACCTTGAGGCTCCAGGGAAGAGCGATGGCACTATGGGCGACATTGTAGAAGTTGCCACTCTGTCCCATATAGGACGTGAAGAACTCATAGTTGATACTGATGGTGCAAGAGTAGCAGATGCCGACGCAGAAGTACTGCAGGAACAGACCCACGTGTTGTAAGCTAAAGTAATTGATTGACTTCGCTACTTCCCCCGTCAGTGCTGAAACACAGACTCTACTCTCTAGACACACAAAAACCCATAATGTCTCTGACTCCAACAAAAAATCATAAATAATAAGAAATCCGAATGTATTTAACGGTAAATTTTCATCCTTCGCAAATTTTTATCGCATTGTTCAAACTCTGAAATAATTTTTTGTCGATAAACATTTTTAAAATTATGTAATAATTGTTTGTTGTGATTCAGGCATACCGCACTCGTCGATGGCTTGTTCCCCCGTCTTACGTTCCTTTCCGCTTTGACTGGCATCATGCAGCTCCAGATTGTTGTGCTTGGATGAAGAAGAAGCCCCCTTCTTTGTCGAACTCCGGCCTACCAGGGGGGATTTCTCCTTAGTCCCGTCACTCATGAAGGGAGAACTGGAATCGGTGGATTCGGCACAGGAACCCTCGGTGCCATATGATGTGTTTGCCATGTCAGTGACGTCTGCTTGATCCGACGTCACAGTCGCATCTAGGTCGGGGTCTCGGGAAGGGATTCGGAAAGTGACCTCCTGGTTCTCACTTAGGAATTTTACGCCTTCTGTAGTCACTGAAATTGTAAATTAAAATTTACTTTGAATTCAAGCTAAATAATTTAGGCTTTTCAAATAGCGCCAGATAACAATATTCCGACCAGGTTCGAAAGAGTGGGAAGGAAAAGTGGTCTAGGGTTTTTATCACGCAAAATCTGGTTCCTTAAAGAACACTTTTAGCACAACAACGTAGTAGTATAACTGGATCCATTTAGTCGTAATTTAGAATCCAAAAAATCGAAAAAAAATTGATTGTGTCGATTGAAACTGGTCTGATTATTTGTGCTATTCAGACTTTAAGTTAGCACAAATCTGATGAAAATGCGTACTCAATAACGGAACGAGTTTTTATCAAAAAAAAAGAAAAAATGTTTTAATTAGGACTCATAAGTGTTTTGGTTATCAACTTTTTAATTAAATTTTTTCAACTGCGCAAACTTCTCGGTTGGTCTTAAAACTTGTAATTTTAGTGAAATTTTTTCAAAAAGTTTGTTATAACATCGAAAATAGTATAATCTGTAAATCCCTGGTAATTAGAAAAGTTTTGATTTAAAAAGCGGTTGCAACATTACCTTGATTCAAAGAATAAACATTATAGAATATTTTAGCTGGAATACTATATTCGATGTCTTTGAGAGTTTCTACTTGCTTTTTCCTGTTCTGTAAATGAAGTATGCAGCTATATGCTGACACTTGCTGCTGATAGTGGCAGATGTTATTAAATTAAAAACGTAAGTTTTCAAACCAAAAATTGAAGTGCCTGTTGAAGATTTCCTAGCTATAACACTCGCAAAAATTATACTTCTTCAGCAGAAACTAAATTAAATTAAGAAACAAGGATAGCGGGTTGCTTTGTAAGTAGCACGGAATGTTCGGACCATATTCTTAAAACATACAAAACGTTCAAATTAGTTGTTTTTTTTTTGTGCGGGATTTGATGAAAGAATCTGATGAAAACATAAATTTAGGCATTTTTGTAAATAAGGTAAATCAGGCAGCGCTTTTGTCGAAAAATGACTGAAAAAAAGCGAAATCAAAGTTCAAAAAAGTTCTGATTTTTTTGCAGAAATTGTTTTGAATTTTTGAAGTTTTTATTCTAAAAAGGGCGCGAAGAATTTCAAAAATAGTTTTACTAGAGAAAAACTAAATGATTGTAGCTCATCCTTTTATAATAATCCTGCTTGCCTTCTTTACTCGCTCAAAATTTGGCTTAAAGTCAAAATTCTCAAACCGGTTTTTGTCGACAATGGGACATTTTTTTTAAAAAAATTTATTGCCGGTCGAATTATGATTGAAAGGTCGTTTATATGATAAATCAATCCAACCATTACGATGATCTCTTGGGGTAAATTTTCTTTGTTGAAAAATAAATTAAGCCTGCTCGTCCACCTTATTCGCTCTATATTAGACCGCAAATCAAAAATTTCAAACTGATATTTCTTGACACTGAGAAAAAGTTTTTGACGTTGTTTAATGTCATTCGAATCACAACTGAAAGGGCTTTGTTATGATATAGCTTTGTTCCGATGGCTATTTGTGGCACCTGATTTTGCGTGGGAAAAAAAATGAAACACCCGAATAAAAATGTCAGCCGAATGCAACACCCGAATGCAATGGTCAGAACAAAAACGTTTCGTTGTTCCAGCTATTCCATGTGCGATCTTGAACATGACGATTTAATACTTAAGAAACGTCTTTTTCAAAGCGTAGACTCTCACTGCAGCAGAATAAACCCTTGTTTTTTGAACTTGTAAGAGTTTTCTTGGAAATCTCAGAACTGTGTCTGTTTTATATGCACCACATTGAGCTACGTTAATTGAACATAGCATTTTCATTTTTTTTCAGTGAACTTTTGAACAGATCATTCCTGTTTTTATTGAAATTCTCTGCAATTATTTCAGGTAAAGGGTTGAAATTTTGACATAAACTAGATGCAATTATTTGGAAGGAGCTAGCCAGATCAAAATTTAAAAATCTTGTTTTGAACTCATAAAATAGCCAGTATACCATGAATAGTTTGAGAGGGGTTCTTGCTGTCGAATCAACGTCGCAAACAACGTACGGAATTCAGTTTGTGGTCTCAAATTAGATTTTTGAGACGCTGATGAGCTTGAACTACTCTTCGTGCCGCGGAAAAACGACAGACAAAATAATTTAAAAAACTACTTCGTCTGGTGTCAAAACGCGGTTCTATCTGTTTTGAAGAACTAGCATTAAAAGGACTGGGTGCTTGTACCAGAGAGTTGAACAAAAATTAGACATCAGAGTTACAACCGTTCTTTATTCCGGATGAACTAACTCTTTCAATTCTTTTTCTATCGTTTTTCCGCGACATAAAGAGTAAGTCAAGCTTACCAACTTTCCAAAAAATTAAGCCCGTAAGCTCGAATTCCTTATGCTGTTTGCAAACTTATTTCTTCAGAAAGAACACCTCTGAAACTAGTTATGATATGCTGGCTATTTTACGCGTCTTAAAAAAGATTTCGCAAATTTTGATCCGGGGAGCTCCTGTCAAATAATTCTATCTAGCATTTGTTAAAGTTTCAATCCTATATCTCAAGCAGTTTGCATAAAAACGAAAAAAACCTGAAGAAATTGGTTAATTTTCTCTTTGAAGTCAAACAGTTACAACTTTTGTCCCGTGGCTGTACTTGAGCTCAATTTTTTCTAATTTAATCAGAAAACCGAAAACAAATTCAGTCAAGTTTTTCTAAATTCTGAGACAATTGTTTTGATTATTTAACGAGTCCGAAAGACGACAAAAAGGGTTTTCATTATGATACCACATTTCAACCCGCGTACGGTTTTTCATTGAGGTAGCGTATATTGGCTGGAATATAACGGAACCTACGCTATTGTTACTTCCAGTCATTTTCAGTGAAAGTTCGGACAGTTTAGTCGCGCATTAACTAGCTCACCCTTGAAGGCTCTCTGCTCTTTAATTTTGAAATTAAATAACCGATTATATTCACCCAAGTATTGTCTTTATTATAGAATTAAAGTCTTTATGCTGTTGCTTCACATTTCGAGATTTCATTATCATAAGAATTCATGAGTGCATGAGTATCTATCATTGCAGCTAACAGAATATATTTATTGTACTTTTAAACAATTTTATCACTGTTACAAATAAACAAAAATGGTCAAAACTGGCATTTTCAAACCCAAGAATAACCGGAAATTTTTTCACCGACCATTTTCGATTTTTTCACACAAAAATAGATAATTGCTCTTGGATATTAAAATTGCCAAGGTCTTGGCATTGCAGTTTTGGCCGACGAATCCCATAAACTCTATGTTCACAGAGCCGAATCCCACAAATTCTATGTTCATAAGTTCTATGTTCCATGCTTAAGACGACAAAATTTTGAATTCGACCCCGGCTAAGGCTGTTTACTTTTGGTGATATTACAATAGGTGGTAGGTTCATTTTCAATAGATGGATCGCTTTCCGTTATGCTTCGCACATTAATTATAATTTGCTTTAAAAGCCAAATTTTTGGCAAAAGAATTGCAAAATTTGCATCTTTGAATAGCATTTCATTTGGCAGAGAAATGTAATTACAAAACTATCTTAAGAGTAATACAATTGATTGAAAACGAAATGACTAGGTTATGCATTATAGTTCTGAAATTTAATACATGCACCATGCTATAAACTACCACCTATTGTAACATATCACCAAAGTTTTCAGTTTTTTGGGGCTATTGTCTGTCTGTTTTTTATTGTCAACTTAGTTGCCGTAGCAGGGATTCTTTGGAAAGTTCAGCTTTCGTCTGACTCTACGAATGTAATTTCTGAAGACCTAATTGGGGAGATAATTGAGATACAAGACTTTTGTGGATTTCGGAAAGTCATGTTTTTGAACTTCGACCGTTTTTTAGAAAATTTTTGAATTCTCTGAAAAACTATCCCATCAAATTTGAGATGAAAGTTTTGTTCGAAAGAAGCGGTTGCTCGAATTTTTCCTGCAGAAGCGGCTACTCCTTTTTTTGTTGTAAAAGAGATGTTATATCTTTGGGAAAATTCCAAAATCTAAAAAATTTTCACGCATCTTACTTATTTTAGTAGACAAACAACTAAGGTTTTGGGCAAAGTCCAATTTTTCATGCATCAGTATAACAAATTCAAAAAATATCAAGTACCTCAAGCTTCAACTGGGCCCTAGTTGTCTTTCATCGATACATGCGACAATTTTGGTTCACCTAGTTTTTTCAACATTTTTCATTTTTTGTACTTGTTTTTTTTTGTGATTGTGTTGTATTGCAAGTGGTACGAAGCTCCTTTTGCCTCTGTGTTATTATTTCAGTTTTCCGTTTCTCGTGTATTCGGCCTCATATTGCGTTGTTTGGCGAGAGTGTTGCGTAGGGTAAGTACCATAGGGGTTCTTTTAAGTTGTTCGTTTTTAGTTTTACAAAAACCTTTGCACGTTTAGGCCTCTTGACTTTTAGTTGGTATACACGAATATCATATTTAATCAAAAGGAGTACTCACTTTTGACTCTTGATGCCATCGATTGGTAAAGCTTCGAGTAACGAAGTTTATTGGTTGAAACTATTTAAAACTAGAATATGTTCTGTTTAATGGCACTACGTAAAGTTTGCTTTCTAAAAATTTCAGACGGCACAACATCCCTGAATTGTATAACTAAGCTACGATATGCATGTCAAATATACTTTTGAATTTTGATCATGTAATCTATAATTAGAAGTCAAGTTTTATTGAGACAAATGAACGCTAACTTCTTTCCTCTTTATCAGACAACAAATACAAACTTCGAATGAAAGAACTGAAGACATTTCGAAAGTCTGAGAACAGGAAATTCAAACTTTTCTCTTTTGAAAATCTGTTCAAAGTCATTTAATATCAAAATTGGTTTTTTTGATCGCTTTCAGTGAACCCTCACTAAAGTTTCATGACAACAAACTGTGTTACGCGACGTTATTTTTGGCAGTTATTTGTGTGGTTTTGTGAATAACATGGAGTATGAGCCAATAAAATACGATGGGAATAATAAGTTCACAAAATGAAGTTATAAAAATGGCTGAAATGGTGTACGTTATTGAGTGCTCTTTTTATTCAGCGCGATTCTTATTTCTTTTCACGTTGAAGCACATCAGTTTATACTTTTTTTATTATGCAATGTTTTCAGACTACTTTTTAACATGCAGCCACTGAGAAGATATAGTCTAAATTTAAGGCAGTCTTAAAGGCAGAAAAAAATTATGAAAATAATCCCTCAGAAATCATATCCAATGATTTCAGTTTATAATTGGTTTGAAATAGGTTCGATTTGAGGTGAAATTTAATTGAATAATTATTTAGTCGCTGCCATTCGTGTAGCGTTTTTCTCATTTTTCTTTCTTTTTAGCGCTCTTTTGCCTAGCCTCAAGAATTCTGAATAAATTGTATATATTAATTGTTGCGTGTACTCTGAAGCGATTCGGGGTTAATATGCTATAAAGAAAAACTCTTCTTCTATTTTGCTTCTAACAGAAAATTGAATGCGAGGATTACGTTCTTGTTCTTCTAAAGACGTATATAGTAAGTCGGTGCTACGAAGCAAGTCTTTTACAAAGTTCAAGTGAAAGTTAATAGCTAGTTTTCATAGGTTTCACTCAGTGCTCATAAATCAGCGCGTTTTTGAAGCCCTGACGTCAATTTTAGAAGGTGCTATTTAATGGCACTGGAAATGATAGACTCAGTCTCAATTCCGCCTGAATGAATTAGTCTGTGTTTAGGCTTGAGTATATGTCGCCTTATGTCAGAAAAAATACTTCCTGTCTGCGTTAGAGCGTTAATTCGCAATTCACTGTATTTATGTTCTTGCACTCAGAATTAGGCACACAATATGAAGAGCGGATTGGGTCAAGTGATGTAACATATTAAAACCGTTTCGGTCGTTAGCAGATTTAAAATTAGTAGTTTTTGAAGAACTTTTCAACTAGCCAATTTTGACGGAGTTTTCGTGGGGCCTAGGAACTCATACGACAAGAAATTAGACGACCGTAAAGAAACAGAATTTACGGACAACCAGTATCTACTCAGCCAAAAGATAATTGTTCCGACTTTCGATTCGAAAGTAACGGAATATTTGTGCTCGGGGTGGGTTTTTTTTTCTTCAGACAAATTTCGACTTTTTAACTAGCCATTTTTGACAAACATTTTTTATATCATTCGAAAGCTATTGTTGTCCTGATATTAAATTTGAAAAGATATTTCACCTGTGACCATTTTTCGTAAAGTTATGGGGCTTTAAAGATTGCCATTTCGGCCAGATAACCAGGTCTTAGAAATCGTTCTAAATTGGTTGAAAGAAGCTTATTTGCCAAAATGGATTTGTTAAAAGGAGCGAAATCTATCCTTTTGTACTTAATATGGCGTGTGGGGGGATGTTTTTCATAAAAAAAATTCAAATTTTAGAAAAAAAAATGTTCATTTTGTTTTATTACGTTTAATTTTTTTTGTTATTACTACTCCATAAACCTCAAAAGGCAGTGTGAACATTCAAGGCTTCGCTCTGATACGAGCAGTCTTGTTTAAATCTGTAAACAAATTTCACGCAAGTTCATGTCTAAATTCCGTTATTTCCTGGTAGTCTAATTTGCTTGTCGTCTAATTTCCTAAGCCCCCAATTTTCTTATATCATTCAAAAAGTATTGTTGTCTTGAGCTTATTTGAAAAAATATTTTACCTGTGATTATTTTTCGTAAAGTTATGGGGTTTTGAAGATTCCATTTTGGCCAATTTGGGATAATTGACGCGCGATATATTTCGCGCTACTAACGCGTAAGCGGATTTTAATCCGTTTTAGAAATTTTTTCAAAATGGTTGGAGGAAGTTTATTTGCTTTAATTGATTTGTTACTAGGAGCGAAATCTATCACTTTGTGCTTTATATGGCAAGTGGGGGAATGGTTTCACAGAAAATTTTATTTTGTTATATTTAATTTTTTCGTGTTATTACTGCTCCGTAGAGCTTAAAACGCAGTCGGAACATTTTGGGCTTCGCCCTGATACGAGCAGTCTTGTTTGTTCTCAGATCGAATGGATCTGTTATCTCATAGAGTAGTTTAGGATCAAGTACACCATCTGTTAGTCACGCTATCTATCTTTGGCTGGGTAAGTTCGTGTAGCTCCTTTATCTAATATTGATCTTAATCTTACACTCTTATTTCCTGGTCTCAATAGTTTTTTGTAGATTAAACTTTCAACGCATTTACAAACTAATTTTTCTGAATTAGGAAATTTTACTTCCCCTCAAATTACCTAAAATTTTTGTTTCTTTTTCTGAAAGCTAAGCGAGTAAAGGCTTAAGTTACTGATCTAAATGTATTTAAAATGGATTTTGCGAGTCAATAATTTACAGGCCCCGGCTTTCAGTAAGTAAAATAACTATTTTGCGTAGTTAACTAACTTTTTCTGAGAAAATGTAGGAAATAAACTAATCAGAGATGCGCTTTATTTTGACAAGTTTTACGAAACAGTTGTTTTATGCAGCATTAACATCCAGTTTGAGCGAGAAGCAAGTGAATGGGTTAAACTTGATTTCATAATTGAAAATTACAATATAATTACGGTTAATTTAGATGATAATTTTTTCGGAAATTAACTAGCTCAGAAATTTGAGAACGATTACTAGCTCATCTTTGAGAAACACTGTCTGAAAATTCAATTTTATCTTTTTCAACTTTCGCAAACTTGCTTTTTTTCATTGGTCTAAAATGAATGTCTGCTAAGTCTCAACTCTGTTTCATGTCAAATTTATTGCAGATGCGGGTTTTTATGTTTTAATTCAAAAAAACTTACAAGCTAAAAAAACTTAACAAAATTACGAGTTTTGAGAATATAGATTTAGAAAACATCGATAAATTTTTAAAAAGACAAATTCGATTTGGCTCGAAACGCAGTCAAATTGACATTTTTTTTGGCAGATAAGACTCAGAAAGGAGCTAGAATACTTGAAGTTTGTTGAGAACATGATCGCTGAACTTTTGGTGCACGATGTTATATTCCGAAAAGTTTTGCTGTGGTCAAACACTTTTTTCGTGTGTTTGTCTCCTTTATAACTCTCAGCAGACTAAGATCAATGGTTTTTCTTCGCAAATCTGCCAGTTTTTAGCGAAAAAATGGGCGGATCCATTCCCCGGCCTTCTTACTAATCATATCGGGTCAATATGGGAAGAAACGGATAAGAAGCTGAAAGATAAGAATGGTGTATTTGATCTCTGGTTAACCGTTCATCCTGAAGAATTTAGGTGATTTTTGCTTAATGCTTTTTTGATTCTAAAATAACTTTTCTAGCTCACAATGTTGAATGTTAATAGTCATACTTTATCCAATTGAATTTGTCGATCGGAAACTTTGTTTGTTTTAATTTAGCACTTAGTTTGTCTGTTCAATTTTGTTCGAATGTGAAAATGGATATAAAATTTTATTTCGAAAAACTCCAAAACCAACAATAATTTTCAAGAATGCACATAAACTTTTTTCCTGGCTATGAAAATGAGGACTCAATACTTTTGAGAATATTTCACTAATTGACCAATAAAAAAGACCAATAAAAGTTGAAATTTAGAATCTATCAAATTGAAATAGGTTACGATAGATCTAGTGCTAACGCGGGGCTTGTGTGGGTTGTTTGAATTCAGGTTTGCATCTTGCTTAGATTCAAAGATCAGTTTTTGTTCTGAGTTATTCGCTATGATTCGCGAAGGTCTCATCTGTTTTTTTTTTGTTGATAAAATGGGACTTTTCATGAATGGGACCAAAATTGGCACTGTAAAAACGAAAACAGTTTCATTTGTCACCACTTAAATATTTTGTTGAGAAGAATAGGAACCAAATCTCAAGGGGATACCAACTTTTTGGAATCATATTGCAGACCGATTGTAATTGACACCCCTCCCTTCCTATTTATAGTCATCCAGTGGCCATGACTAAACGGGTTACGGATTCGTTACGGAAAATTTTTATGGGTTGCTATTTTGCTTGGTGAAGAATAAGATTTTAAAATCAATTTGTTCATTTCAGTTATGTCATAGAACTTCTTATAAATATTTTAGAAATTTATTGAAAAAAATCTTACCAGATCCTTGATTTTGTGCGAATTTTATTTCATTCAATGCTAATAACTCAATAAATGACCGAATAAATTAAACTGCAATTGAAAAATGTAAATCATATTGTGTTTAACTTTGGCGTGTTTTGGTATTTGGTAAATCTTTGGCACTATTTACCATCGAACATAATGTATTTGCAAACTGTGTTAAAGCATCTTTGTTTCACATTACGCATTAAACTGCATTGAGTAACTTCATTTTTCATATGCTATTTTTTAATTTTTGAAAACTGTTTTCAGTGTCTAGTTGAAACCAGTTTGAATTAAATTTAAAATCCACTCAGATTGTATTAATTCTTGTTTGTTTATATCAGGGCGGATTTAAGATTTTCTTGGGGGGGGGGGGGTCTGTTTCGCAAAATTTTGTCAATTTTGTTTAGGTCGAGCAAATTGATTTTGCGAACGCTCCAAGAACACTATAAACTATAAAGACCTCATTTTGATAAAATTTTCAGGTCTTTTCTTGGAAAATTTTGGTCAAAACATCGCGTTTTTTCTGCGCGCGCTCCCCTTCAAAATTGGTATAAATTGGGGCCGAAGGCGTCTTTAGAAAAATTTTATGGTTGGTTTTTTGAAAAAGAGTGTCCTGAAATAATACCAAAAGGGGAACCTTTGGTTCGTGAGGGGGTCGAATCCCTAGGGTTTTTTAAACTGCCCCCTGTTTGCCCACCCTGGATTATACTATTAAAAAGAAGCATTGGGTTTGATAAACTATATGAGGGTTGTTCTCCTAATTGAACGAAGCCCAAGTTATTGGGCGTTGAAGTATCCCCAATATCTATATCTTACAATGAGTGAAAAGGCGCTTACCATCATGACAAGATGTTCGCGTTGAGATCATCAGATCCAGTAACTGGTCCCTTGCAATTGCAATGATAGTGTGCTGGCTCTAATTTGACCTCAAGCTTCGATTTTTCCAAAACTCGGGCAAAATTTGGGGGCAATAATGATACTAAAATTAAATTCTAGACGCAAAAAAAAACTGGATCGAGTCTTTCGTTAAACAAAAAAGTATGCTAGACATGCTAGCAGTCTTTTCAATCTTCTTTGCGGTTCGTCGAGGTTGTAAAGTCTTGTCATTTTAATTTAAAGTTCGCAATAAATTGCGTTGGCCGATTCTAAATGTTGTACATCGATGCTATTGGGTGTGTGGGCCGGTCTTTGGTTTTAATTAGAGTGGACTCTCAACCTTATTGGTACACTTTTTTCGCATGATTTCAATTTCGTTTCACAATTATTGTTCCGACCACTGAAAGTGGAGTTGAACTTTGTTTTCAAGTTGATTTGAGTTTTTTGTTGTTTTTAATTTTTTCATCAGGTATCATCAGGTACCACAAAAAATTATCTGGAAGTTTCGAGTGATATATCTTTTTAAAACCCTGTAAGTCGTGATTCAAACGACATTAAAAATTTTCAGCAAAGGTTGTTTTGATGTCGAGAACAAACCGGTTTGAAATTGTAATTTCCAGCGAATAACGCGAGCGTGCAGGCTTATAATGGTTAACTCATTATTCTAGTTGTAAGCTGTGTAAACTTATTTTTACTCCAGTGTAATTACTTTTTTTCGAAATTAGTTTTAGCGTTTTCATTAGCGAATTTTTAAGGAAAAATTCTTCAAAAAATTTTAAAATTAAGTTCTTTATTTTGTTTTGTTTTTCTAATTGAATTTTGAGAAAAACTATTGTCCGATTTACTTAATTTACCTTTACTGTCGAAGTTCTAGAATTTCGTTTGGATCTCTCATCACATCTCGATTAAATAATGACGCATTTTGGAAAAAAAAAATTAAAGTTTTTTTTTGTGGCCAGAATTTCTGTGAATATCAATTTTCTTAGACTAATTGACTTATTTTCACGATATATAATGAACGATACACGTTCGCATTACGTGCTCGAAATTCAAATTAATGCTCTAGATATTTTTAGATGTCGTTTGAATCACGACTGAAATGGCATTTGTATCATATCCTTCACTCCAATCCGATTATTGTTTGTAGCACCTGATTTTGCTTGGAAAACTCACCCGAATACAAAGAACCCTCCCCCTCCCATTTTTAATGGTCTGAATTATAGTTCAGGCTCAAGTTTCTTGGTCAATTGCTGTTCGAATATCTCCAGATGAAACTGTATGGTTTAGTTTTTATCCTTGCGATAAGCAAGGGTATTGCAATTGGGTACTAGTTTTTGTCGATCTTGGTCTGGAAGTAACGAATACGCTTGAGACGGCAAAGGTCCTAGGTTCGAATTTTACAGGACCTGTTTTTTTAAACAGGGAATATTCAGTTTAAGAAATATTGGCTGATTTTTTGTCTGCTCATGTTTTGCCGGCTTAGTTGTCACATCGTTTGTCTTTTTTTTGCTGTGCGCAAGTTTCATTCTAGATGCTTTCGGCATGAGTTGTTTCATTTTGATGGATTCATTTTTTTCTACATTTTCGATTTTTTTCCGATTTTTTTCCGCTGTAGCGGTTTTCTAGTTTTGTATCGGTGTTTAATTTTTGGGCGCATATTATATGGAAAATAACTGAAATTAGTTTTGAATGACGGCTTTGCTTGTGGATTTACGGTAAACTTATACGGTAATTTTTTTTCAACCTTTTTAGTTGCTTAATACATTTCGATTAGCTTGGAGTTTGAGACATGATAAGATAGCCAGAACTTTCATTGTTTTGCCCTGATAAAAGCAATCTGTTCCAAGTTGTGGCATAATTATTGCTCAAACTAAACTTCATTGGAATATCCTGAGAATTGCTACATGGGTTTTTTTGAATGCTTACTATTATTAGCTCCTGTAAAACACCTTTGCAATTCGGCATTTTTGCAATTCGACTCTACAAAGTTTTTGCAATTCGGCGCTACAACTCATTGTATGCCCTTATCACCAAAGGTATATCAGAATATAGATGATCGATCCAATTCCTCGAGTTTAAATGCGACCTTTTTGAACTCAAGATGCGAAATCAAACAATTGACTGGCGTCAAAATTGTTGATGATTTTATCTGGATTTCATGCGCCTTTGTCTGTCAAAATTAAAACCACCTGTTAAGTTTCAAAACAGGTGAATTTTCCATCAGGTTTTGGCTTGACGTTATGATTCTGTTGTCCCACATTTTTTCAAGCATGAAAATCAGCTTCTTGATTCCAAATCAACAGAAATTTTCCTTGTAAAAATCAGGGAGCGAAAATTTTTTCCTGATATTAATCGATGGTATAAATAAAATCAATTCAAAGACTACCAATTTGGGATATACTCTTTGAAAAACACGCGGACATTTAGCATTTGAAGAATAAATTTGACGAAATACTAGATTTAGTTTTGATTATCATCAATGACAATTCGAGGGAAGTTTAAACTTTCCGTCCTTCTTTTCATCCTATTTAATGTAGTTGGTAAGTCTCCAGCTCTAAGCGATAATTTTTCCTTCATGGCTTAGATCAGATTTGAAAAATGATGAAATGTTTAATGATAAAATCAGTTGTTCACTTCTTCTTGAATTTTTTTAGAAGAAATCCTACCGAAAAAGAGTGATCATCAAAAAATTTATCGACGTTAAATTTGATCAAAATTAATTATATTTAGAACTCTTTGGAATATAAATAAACGGAAACAAAATTCAGCTTTCATTTACACTAACCAAAATACAAGTAATGCAGCAATAGTAGAACAGTTGTGTCATACTATACAAACTTACAAGTAATTGAGATAAACTTCGATTTATTTTTTTCTTCGATCTTTTTGGTACATTTTTAACTGGCTTGTTTTTGCCACTTAAAGCTGGCATCAGAAATGAGGGGGAGGGAAATGCTCAAGTCTGGCTGAATTGCCACGCGTTTTTTCAGATTTTTGAGTAGTAAGGTTATGATTGACTGATATAACTTTCGGCCGTTCGGTGGTCCTTCTGTCATGAGAGATTTCGACAACTGAGGGAATTTCAGATGGACAGACATCTGCGGAGGAGGACATTCGGTCATTCCGATGTCATAACATAGAGGACAGTCTGACTGACGTGAAGGTGTCCACCTATGTGGTCAACAATGGATACCCCGACTGCAATTCAGAACTGGACGAGACATTCTACGACGACGACGGTCAGTTTCTGTTTTTTTTTCCACCTGTAGCATGTGAAGCGACTGTTCGTAACGGGTCTTAGTTTTTTTAATTCATTTTTGCGACCTGTTCCAATTTTTTTGCGCTAACCAGTCACTTTAGAAATCAAATTCTATTCTCTCTATTTAATTTCCTGTTGAAAACCTTGATAAAAAACCTGAATTTCCTTGATAAAAAAGTGCCTTCAAAGTTTAATAGCACAGAATCAGCGGGGTCAACAGCTGTACTGCTTAATTGCAGAAAGATGGTTTTATGTGTTGCATCTCGTCGTATTGGAAGGACTTGAGTTTTATGCCGGTTATTGTGCTAGTAGCGCAGAATGTTCCGACCATAATCTTTACAAAAATATATAAACGTTTTTTCGAATTAGTGTCGTTTTTTCTGTGTAGTGTGATAAAAGGATCTGAACGAAAAATTAGAGCTTAAGCATCTTCGACAGTCATAGTAAAATAAGCAAATCGGACAACAAGTTTTTTAGAAAAATTACTAGAAAAACGGAAATAATTTTCAAAAAAATCCATTTTTTTAATTTTGCAATTTTTTTGAAGTTTTGATTTCAAAAAGGCTCTAAAATACTGAAAAAGCTAAGTTTACTCAAATAAAATTAAGTTTCTACGGCTTAAATTAAAGTCATTAAAATAAGCTATTGAAAGCCTGCCCGCTCGCTTATTAGCTCGAAATTAAACTAAAAATCAACAATTTCAAACCGGTTTCTCTTAACACTGGGTAAATTTTTTAATGTTCGAATCACGATTGAACGGGCTTCAATACGATATATCACTCAACCCAGTCCGATGATTGTTTGTGGTACCTGATTTTGCGTGGAAAACAAAAAAAAGAAAAAAACTAAAACACTCGAATACAAAGCTCATCCCCATTTTCAACGGTCGTAAGAAGAAATCAAACCTAAAGGTAGATTGCTTTTTCAAATACATATAGTATTCGTGCAAGTAGTATGTATCTCTGAAAAAAAAATTGTCATTATCCTTATATCAAACCTTACGATTAGTCAATCTATAAATATGAAAATTGTCAGTCACTCAATATACTTTTTGTCTTTGATTGACTTTTCATTCATTCTACAATACAATTTTTATTTTTATTGTAGCTTCGGTCAAACGACACGGAATGGTGAGTGGTGAAGTTGGATCCAGACAGGTGACTGCAATCGCGATGGCATGTATGTCAGAGGGCAACTCACTCGACACACTCTTCCCAGGTACTAAAAGGCATACAGATCAGTGAACAGAAAACGAAACCTGCGCTTGTCTTCTCGCAATGTCTTTCCTTTTCGCCATGCGTCATTTGAGCTCGTTGTACATATTTTCCTGCAGTATAATTTTGGTAGAACTGTGTGCAAAAATCACTATTGTTTTTTGGGAAAAGGAAATAAGACATTTTTCGGTAGTTTGGTACTAAATTTTAAATTTTTGAAAAAATAAACTAATAAAATTTTGAATTTTGGACTAGCGCAAGTAATGTTTTAACCATTTTTCAATTTTTAATCCAGTGAAGAAGCTGGCGTGTCCTGGCAACTACTCTGGCAGCTACTTCGACTGCACCAAACTGTGCGACGGGATCCTCGACTGCGAGAACGGATTGGATGAAGACGTCTGCTTCAGCTGTAAGTGCACAATTGGCGAATGAATAATTAAATGACGGTCTTTATTTGTAAAATGACTAGTAACCCAAAGGTGACTAATGAATTTCATGTTATAAAGTGGGTTACAAAAGGCAAGACGCCAAATATACTTAGATTTCAAGGACTAAATGACCTCGAGGTAGACTTAACTTGGTGATGAACGATATTTTTGGACGTTTTCCTTTCTCACAAATGTGGTCTTATTTTAACCTCAGTTGATATTTACACCAGCGTCAGCTTAGTGTGTTATTACGAACCATCTTTTTTCTAACCTAACTCGCACTTAAAAGTGTTCACTTATTTGGAAATTTCTCTATAGCATTGGAAATTTCATAGCATCTGTTCTCTGTTTTTTTTTGTGGCTAGTGTTTAATTTTCTATCTTCTATGTAATAATAATATTCCGTGGTTAGTGTCTGTGACTCTTAATCTCAAGGTCGCCGGTTCGAATCTAATTCTTCTACTTTTTCTTATTGTATTTTATAAAGCTGCTTTTTGTCGTCTTCTCGCTAGTGTTCTCGCCTCTGTATAAGTTTTTATATATCTCTTCTGTAGGAAAGATGAACCACGAACAAATCGCATAACGTCAATGTCAAGATAAGTTGCATATTCGGTTTTTTTTTGCTGTCAATTAATGTTATATGCTATATCACCTAAGCATTAGTTATAATTTCCCTACACAATTTTTCTTACACTTTCTGCTGCTCAGACATGCAAGTAGCGCAGTATGTGAATGGGTTCAATTAAATGAATGGGCTCTTGGAAGCTTCCTTGCATTTAATGGCTAAGCTCTAATCCGTTAAAAAAGTTATGCCCATCGAAAAAGTCATTTTTTTGGCCATTTTTGAAACTTTTTGAGTTTTCTCAAAAACTACCCTCCCAAATGAGAGATTTTTGGTTCATTCAAAAGAAAGAGTTGAGAGAAGCTTCCTGTATTAGTGACTTTGTCCAATTTTGAACAAAAAAGTTATGGCCCGCAGAAAAGTCAATGTTTTTGTTTTCTTGTCAGGGATAAAACTTTTGTAGATATTTTTTTTTCGCTTTTTTAAGTAATTTTTTTTCAGCTCAATTGTTTCCAAAAATGGTTTCTTGTACTGCAATGTTTTAATTGTATCGCGAAGCTGCGTTATACTGTGTTGCGAAGCTCCGTTATACTGCCTTTGTGTTTATACTGTCAACTAATCTGCATACGCCTTATTTTTTCTTTTCAGCCGAGCGATCGGTGTGCGTGAACTCTGACGAACTGGGCACTTCTGGCGATTTCACTTCGGGAAAGGAGATCTACCCGAGACAGTGTGAGCAATACTGCAGTTCTAACTTTATCCCTTTCAACTGGTGGGCAATCATCCCTGGAAAAGGAGAGGAGGACGATTTCTGTGAATGCTACGACAGCCCTGTGACCTCAATTCCAATTGCTGTTAGTACAAATTGGTTAATGCTTTATCTTCATCGTTCCCCCATTTTCATTTTTTAAAAGTGTACTTCTCCATTTTTAGCATTCTTTCTATATTTATTTAGCAATAACTTTACTTTCCCGCCCAATAGCCTATTTGTTTTGTCAGACCATCAAATTATATTTGATGTAAAAAAAGTGTTTTTTTTTAGCAAATAACTAATATAGCCAGCGAGATTAATGCATCGGGGTGTTAGACAATTAGCCTAACAGGATAATCGACCTTTTGAAAAGATATTTTAGATTTTAGTTTTCAGTCAGATCTTCTGCAAAACACATCAAAACGAATCTTGAAACTATGCGATTCTCTCGTCAAATTTAGATTTTTGTTTGTTTCTGCTTTCATTTTTTTTTCTATAGTTTCTGAACTGGAAAAAACTTCACATTTGTTGATTCATTACAAGCTTTTGCCTCAAAATAGTCCATGGATTTTTTAACTAATTATTTATTAATCTTTACACAAGCCAAGCGTAGTGTATTATTACGAAGAATTTTTTTCTAATATAAGTCGCAAACAAAAGTGCTCATTTGATGGCACTTTTGGTTTATTTCAATAAAGCATTAACAATTGAATGGCATATGTTGCTGCTCTGTTTTTGGGCAGGTTAGGTCCAGTTTTAAAAAAAAATGTTTCATAAAAATGTATGGGATTTGTTATTTTTAGTGTTTTTTGCAACGCCTAGGAATTTTTTTGCAATTTCTGCAGATTTTTCAATTTTTCTGAAATTCAAAATAATGTTAGCAATGGAAAAACCGGCTGCTTTTCTATGTGTCTGCCTATTTCGCTAATCTCTTTTCATTTTACCTCACGTACTACGGCCTTCAAAATTTCCATAGGTGGATTTTTGGCCTATTTTTTTCTCAAAACTCAAATGCACAAATTTTGTTGAAGGTTTCAATCAAAAGAAAAAGAGATGGGGGTGTGCCCCACTCAAGTGGCTATTCCCCAAATTTAGTTTAAAAAAAAAGGTTATGGCCTCAAAAAAGCCCATTTTTTGACATTTTGGTTAGTTTTTAAAATTTTTTTGACTTTTCTCAAAAATTAACCTGACAAATCGGAGATAAAGGATCCAACCAAAATTTAAAAAAATCAGGTATGCGCTAGCGACTATGCTTTGCGTTTTGAAAAAAAAATGTGGCATAAAAAATGTCCAATTTTCAAAACTAACCTGCTGATTCTGAGGTTGATAGTTCATTAAAACTAACATGGTGCTGACATAAAGACCTCAATCGAAAGAGCAAGTAGTTGTTTTTTTTAGAAGGCTGTTTATACCCTACTCCAGCAGAGAAACATTAAGGTTAACCGTAAAATCCTTTTTTTTGAAATTTAGAAAAATAAGCCTTCTCGCATCAGTAAAATATGTGATTAAAAATATCAGAACAGCAGCTGACTTATAATTCAAAGGTTAATTTTTACACACGCGAAGCGTAGTGTGATAGGATGAAAAAACTTTTTTTAACCCTAATTCGATGACAAAAGTGCTACGTTTGGTGGCACTGTGAATCAGGAGCCTGCATTGGCACTATGCTACCATCTGCTTGACATTTAATTTGTAATGACTAACACAGCTGCATTTTTATTTCATCAAATTGAAGCGCAAAAAGCAATTTGTTTGATACAACAATACAATAATAAAATTATTTTTCAGAAATTTTCCAAATCAGTTTTTTTTGCGAAATTTTTTAAATGCATTTATTGGACAAAATTTGTTTTCAGGTTTTTCTGTTAATTGCATGTAAAGTTAGCGTGGCTGCCTTTAGTTTTTTACATTCCAAATTATCGCATGGAAACTTAGTCTTCCGGGTAGTTTAAAGCTCCTGAATCTTTTTCCGCTTTCTCGCTTGTGTTTGCGAAGCTGCAGCTTTGCCTCTGTGTACTTATGACATCCCGATCACGATTGAATAGGCTTTGAAATGGTACCAATGCTAGCAATGCACTTGACCTATGCTAGCTTTTTGTGATAATTAACTTCAGACGTATAAAACACACTCCACACTAGAGATCCTTCCACTCTTTCGAGTGTTACAAACAAAACAAAAAATATGTAGGACAAATGCGTGAAAACGAAATTACTGTTTGTACCACTTCTTTTCCAACGTAATTTTTCAGTTCATGATAACTATTTTTTATTCTTAAGATCCCTTTCGTTTCTGTGTGAACTTTGTTTTCCCCTAGTTCTATTTTTTTATTTGAAGTTTTTAATTGAAACGTAATAGAAGTAAAGTTTAGTGTCCTATTTCATTGAGGTTTTTTCATTTTTTTGCTAGCTGTTTCGAGAACAATTATAAGGAAAGCGTATGTTTAGATGCCATGGGAAGACTGTAGTGAGCCTTGTTTCTATGGCAATGGACTTATCCCTTGTGGAAACACTCAGTTCGGAAAGAAACGAGCAGTATTCGGAATAATCCGACCGCAGGAAACCCGACCGACATACTCTGACTGTGAAGTGCAAACCCCTTCGTGTGTGGCACCCTTCGCTACTGTTGAAATTAACGTCACGTGTTCATTTGAAGACGACATGGAGATGTCAGCAGTCGTGAACGAGAACAGGTGTCTCGTGTCCAATCGGGATATGGATGAGAACAAAGTATATTACGTCATGCCCAACCCACAGAAAGATGAGTCTGGAAACATAATTGCTGGCGCCGAAGAAGGAAGCATTGCAGTTAGTAATATGGAAATCTGTTTCTAAATAATTTACATAATACATTAAGTAGAAATCAGTAGATCAATTTATTCAATCTACTGGAATTTCAATTATTATTTATTCAATTATTAGGAATTTCAATCTAAAATGTTCTGTTTTACATTGATTCTTTCGACTTAATAATTGTAGTACTAGTATCGATAGCAGTTTTGAAAAGTATATTTACAAATTATAGTTTTAAAGCTGTGTTGGTGTGGAATGTCTGCGATACTTGATATGTTTTCAGGTTGAACTCGCAACTTCGTACGGCATCATGAAGGTTCCCAAGTCGTTCTCTCTCTGTCCCAGAGAAGTGGTCAGTCTGGAGATCACTGGCCTGCAGTACCAGCCAAAGGGACATAATACGGACATGATGCTGACCTTGTATGGCGGGGAGAGCATGAAGTTGACACTATGGACCGAGACTGCTTCGGGAAAATCGGAAGTTCAGACTATCGCAGAGTCACTCAGTGAGTTTTTGGCTCTAGGTTCATTGTTAAAAAAATTTTCCAACTAGTAATGAGTTCGGTTTCCAAAAGGAAAACATGCGAAATTTGTGCAGACTAGTTTAAAGTTTAGAATTTAATGAAAAAATAAAATATGTTTATGTTTGTATTACTTTGAGTTTTAACATTTTTCCAGCTGTCTGATGGTGGCTGTTCTCATTTTTAGACAAAAAAAGTGTGATTTGTTTTTAGAGAGCTTTTTTGATTTCTTTCTGGCCAATCGTTTGATTTCTTCTTTGAATCACTTCGGTTCGCTTCTGTGTTGAACTTTGTGTTTTTTTTTCGAGTTAACTGGTGACATTGATCATTACAGATCTGGTGCATTCCATGGGTCAGTGTTTCTGTGAGGCAGGCAACCCCCTCGCAGGTCAGTTGGGTGACATCATGCAGCAACAGGTGAAGGGGGAGAAGATGGTGTTCCCTCATGCAGTGCAGAAGGCAGGATACATCTACGGAGCGAGTGCATGTATCCACACAACCGACAACTTCGACACCAAGTTCGCAGGCGACGTCGATCTCAAAATACAGGTGAGCAAAACACAACTAGGAAGTTAATTAAGATGGCTAATTGTCAAGTTTCTATAGCGTTGAGATGGTTGGTTTGTCGATTGGTATTGAAATTTCCAGCTCGCTGAGATTATTGTTTGGCATTGAGATTTTATGTCAGATCAGCTATTTCAAAATCTGCGTGCAAAAAGAAATCAGATGATTTCCTTGTTAGTCATTTGAAATTTGCATACAGTAAAGCACAAACAATTTCATTTATGAATCGATTAACTAAAAGTTATCTATTTTTTATCTATTTTTCTAAGTAAAACACTCGACAACAAAAAATGGCTCAACATTAGCCAGAAAATACAAGAAAACTGGAGTACATTGAAAAATGTCTTCATCTCAACTTGTCTGTTTCCAGAAAGTTAGACCTGAGTGTCCGACTGAGGGCTACGAGTTCTGTGAAGCCACTGGATACTGCCACTCTCCCAACAGTCTGTGCGATGCAAATTCCGCTGACAAGGAGAACCCAAGTTTCGTAAAGGTAATTTCTCAGAAATTTCAGATTTTTGTTGACCATTGTCGAATTTTTGGGGACCCACTGAGTGTCTTGGGATTCACTGAATATTTTAGATCTTCATGTCTGCTCCTTTCTGTCGGCTTAGGTCCCGCAGAAAATTTCAGTTTCTTTGAACATTTTGAGAGTTCTTTGTTTTTAATATTGCAGGAAGTTTGTTTTAAGATTTGTTTGTCATTTTTTGCAATTTTAGTAAATTTTAATAAAGTTTTTGACAGAAAAATATCAATTTTTGAAGTTTTTTTTCAATTTTTGATTGGTCTTTTTGTTTTCTGGTAATCATACTCATACATTTTTGTGTCCCAAATGATATGAAACTCCGCGTTGACTCTGTGACTTTAATACGTACTACACTCGACCCTTTTCGAGCTTTCTTTGAGGCCCTTGAGCTGAAAGCTCACCCTACGCCATAAAACCTTCCGACCCTCCTGGATCAAAAATTTAGGTTCAATGCACGCTCGCTCAGATTTTCCATCCATTTTTTTCATGATTTTTTTTGCGATTTTAGTTCTTGTTTCAACAACAAAATGTGATATTTTAGCATTAAAATATGATGAAATCTGTTGCTTAGGTGATGAACGGAGAACGAAACAACCAAATGTATGGCCTGGAGAGGTTCCTGGACAGTTGTGGCTGCGACACTGTCTTCTCTGACACTGACAAGAGATTCATGACGAAGGTGGAGCCAGGAGACTACCTGCTGGTGGAACTGTTCTCTCTCTACCAGAAAATCAGCTACTACATTGAGGGCGATATCAGTGCGAACGAGGAAATCATTGTGCTCGACACTTCTTTTCGGTTAATAATTTTAATTTCAGCTGATGACATTCATTAACATCAATAGAAAAAATGCAACATCTAGGACAAACTACAGAACATGAAAAAATGAACAAAAATGAAAAAAAAAAAAACAATCAGTTGGTAGCACGACTAAAGTGGCATCAGTTTAATACCTCACTGTTTATGACGTGCTAAAGGTAAATATGGTTAAGAAAAGGTAATCGTGAAAAAAATACTTGAATTCGAAGTGCTTTCTTTCTCCGTTAGAGTGACCGGAACTATTCGTCTGTATCAACGTCTTCACCGTTTTTTTTCCTTCTTATACACGAAAGTGAAAATTAGGGTGGCACTTTAAATGCCTTTTCTCTTTTTCTCGAAGTATTTGTCATAAGTGTGTGGTAAGTTTTAATGCTAACTTAAAATATTTGTTGTTTTAAAGCAAAATTTAGATCCTATTCATTTAGGTTTGCGAGGAGGATGCAAGGAAAGATGTCTCTGCAATTGCATATCTATGAGGAGCACACGATTGATCTGAGTGAGGCTGCAGTCATTTCAACTGAGGGAGAGGCGGCTGTGTTTGCACAGATCGAGTACAGCTACGGTGCGTTTTCACAAATTCCAGTCGGTTTTTGTAGATGAATTTCAGAAAAATTTTGTCAACACTTTTTAGGTGAGCCGAAATTTCATATTTTTCAAGCTCTGCCGAAATCCGAGAATGAGGTTTTTGGTGAAAATGTCTGCGCACCCGAATTTGTGTTTCCTGTTGTTAGGCTGTTGTGGTCCCCTTCTGAGTGAGAAACCAGTGACCGTCCAGACTGTTCCTGGCTTCGTCTCTATTGAAACTTCTTCGCTCAGAGGGTCTGTGCTGACAGCGGCTGGTGATGAAATCGAGATCGGGCCATTCAACTCAGGTCCAATCAGTGTCCAGGCACTGGGATCGTCATTGAACTATTCATTCTCAACTACCAGCTCAGAGGTTTGCTGCATTATATTTCTGATTGGATCTCATGTTTGACTGTTTCGAAAAGTGTTTATTTTTCCGATATCCATTTTGTGACGATAGAATGACATGCTTTATGCTTAATTTGGGACTCAAGGGAAGAGAAAACCAAAATGAGTAGTTTTAATGGAATGCTTTGAAACTCCTCGAAAAGTAATCCACTTCCAAGCCATATTATTTTGTTTTTAAATAAACGAAAACTAATAGTTCATTTTTTATGAAATTTACAGATCACTGTGACAGCAGAAGAGGGCCAAAATTTCTTTGAAGTGGACTGTGGATGCTCAGCCGAAGAGCAGTCCTGCCAGCACGTAGTCGATATCCACATTACAAACAACCTGGAGGAGAAATACGACGTGAACAAACCAGTGACCATCCACTGTGACCACTGCAATTTGCCCAGTCTGGAACTGATTCTGAAGATGGAACCAGCCGCTGGAGGCGAGTCATATCCAGTGCCTCATTTGGTCGGCAGGGATGAGAATGTGTTGATTTTCTTCGAGAAAGGCCAGAGTTGCAACAGGATTCAGAGGTGCGTACATGTTAGTTATCATTGAAACTATCGTCGACAAAACTTGGAAAAAGCGTTCCCCACGACTCCAAAAATCTGAAGTAGCTAATAATTCTGTCATAAAATCACAATATATCGATTTCTTGTAACTATTTTAAAAAGAGCCCCAATAAGGTCATGAGCCAGAAACCTTGACTTCTTAGTAAGTAGAAATACTGTTGCGATGAAGTAAAATTGTTGCGGCAGATGCAATGGCGCCGAAGCTGTGTGGACTGTGAACGGAGTGATGGATCCTAGATTCGTAACTTCCGAGCTGCCCTACTCCCAGCTGAACTTGCTGCCCAACAACGAAATGGAGATCCAAGGTGAGACAAAAACACTAGCTATATGAGTTAACTTCCTACATTTTTGTCTTTATTTTTTAAGCCGAAATTTTTTAAGAACTGCTATATTATGCCTTGAAATTTCAATTTGTTACATAGTTTCATTTTAAAAAAAGGCTAAATTAACATCATCCGCTGAATAAACCAAGTAAGGACTTAAAGATTTCTATTTATCATGGATCAAATAGTTACGCTTTGCATATAAAATAATGACTTCAATAGGCTCAAATTTTGAAAAACCAGAAATTAATTGCCGTTTTTCTTTGTTTTCTTCCCAAACCGACTGGATCCAATTTTAATATTCTTTTTAGTGTGTCAGAAATACTGCAAAGATGATAATCAGGACGTAGGAGTGGAAGCCTGTGGGAGTGTTCGTTTCGTAGTGTCTCCTTCCAAGTGCAGTCTGACCAAACCCTCCTTCACCTCAATCGTGCTGAATGAGGCCAAAGAGGTGACCATTGGCTCCTCTGACCCGGATGGACAAGGCGCATGTGACGAGTGTTCGATGAGTGTGACATATCAGTCACATGCCATGACTCAAGGTAGAAAAAGTATATTGATGACATCGGGGATCAGGGTTCGAATAATGGATTTCGCTTCAATCATGAAATGTTAAACGCAGACAATGCAGCAGCAAAATTGTTTTAAAAATATATAAACCCCGGACACCAATACTTCTTACCGTGATAATTTCGATAATTTTTAATTTTTCAGTCGGGTTCGCCTTTTTTCGATTGATGATTTTCTGTCGTTATTGGTCAGTCCAGAAGGCCATTGATGTACATGGAATGAGTAAAGGATTTCGTTAAATTTGAACTCAACTGAATAAACAAAATTAATCTGCTGAAATGGTCCGAATGTTAATTGTGTTTTCAGCATCGGTTGCCGAAGTGATGCAGAATGTCACTGGAAAAACTGTGACGGTCGATTCCCCGAGTCAGTACGAGTACTCGAGAGGCGAGTACATTGACGTCGACTTCTGCTGCTCCGACGCAGTCCCGAACCGACCTGACTCGTGTGGCCATCACCAACTGGAGGTAATCGCTCCAGGGGAACCCGAGATTGAAATGATTGACTCGGCTGAAGTCGAGAGATGCGACCTGGACTGCGATGAAGATGCGAGGTCAATATTGTTACAATATTGTTTTTGACGTGTATATTCTGATTGTACCTAATGTCTAATCAAGCATGGCTAAAAGAGACCTTCGATTTGAACATTGTTTCAGTTTGAAAATTTTCTCATGATTTGAAAATTTCAAAGCTTCTGTTGGTCAAATCCTCTGAACAGTTGGCTCATTGTTTAGTTCAGTTTAGTTCAATTATCTATCCTACAAACTGGGTTTTTCGCTCCAATTTTTTGTACTTCAAAACGCGTACTGTACTTGGAACCAGGGGCGGATTTAGGGGGGGGGGGACGCCTTCCCCCCTCAGGGATACGACCCACTGCCGACCCAAAGGGTCCCCCCTTTGTAATATTTTGAGATATCTATTTTTGGTGATGGACCCTAAAATGTTTCTAAAGGCGCCTTCGGCGCCAATGTATACTAATTTTGAGGGGGGAGCGCGCACTGAAAAAACGCAATTTTTTGGTCAAACATTTTCCAAAAAGTGCCTAAAAACCCCGTTTTTGGCCTGTTTTTTCATAATGTCAAAATGGGGTCTTTATAGTGATTTCAAAAAATCAATTTGGTCGACCTAAAAAAAAGGTCGACAAAATTTTCGAAATTTTTTTTAAAATCCGCCCCCCCCCCCACCTCGCCTAGATCCGCCCCTGCTTGGAACTATTGCGTGCTACTGAGGATACAATATGAGCGTATCCTTCCGGTGAATAAAAATATTCAACTTATTTGTTGTTTTTTCTAGATTCGAGGTGGATCTTAACTGCGATAACTGTGGTCCTCCCGAGGAGTACGACAGAAGTGGGATCAATGTCCGCTGGACCATCCGACATGAGGACTCCACCGACTGCAATGAAAATGCTCCTGTCGACTATGAGGTCAGTCACATAGGCCATGGTACCATGATATTATAGAGAATTTTTAAAAAGAGCAATTTGCCAGTTTTGAGCAATTTTGCATGCAAATTTGAGTTTTTAGGTGACATTGAGACATGCTTTTTGTCTAAAGACTTAGCTTTTGTATGCAAAAACTGTCTGAAAAGGGTCATTTGCTGTTTTTAATTATTTCTGTCTGTCCGAACTTTTTGCTACTAATTATATACATCAGTTTCATTGCTGTCTACACTTCAGCATCATCAAACCTTTTTTTAATGAAAATACAATGGGAAACTACATTGTTTCAAAAACCACAAAAATCCGATGAAAAAAAGTTCTCATTAGTGCATTTTCCAAACTATCATCCGAGGGAAATCGTAGGGAAGTTCGACGAACATAAATTTTTGATGGGATCGTTTTGTGTTAACTGCTCACAAGAAGTTTTTTTTGTAGGCTATGTCCAACCTGTACAGATACAAGCTGAGTGATGACAACTGGACCTTCAAGTACTCAAATGTCTGCTCCATCTTCAGACAACCAGAGACAACTGTGAGTTACTTGGTTCTATTTTTCAGTAAATAACAATAATTAAATGATGCTGACTATAAAGCGTTATCAGAATGCCAGTGGCAAATAAATTCATTTTGAATTGCTCCGTAAAATAATCTACAAAAGTATTCAGTTTCCATGAAGCTGAATGCTTAAAAAAATTATCTTCTCTGGTCTTGGTTTTATCTATTGTATCAAATGTTCATTTTTCGTCATCGAGTTTTTGCTATTCTTGTCTGGTAATGTGTTTCGGAGTTTCTTATGCTTTGCAATACAGGACGGGATCTGTCTGTGTGTGCAAGTGCAGTTCCCTCGTGGCCTCGGAGGCCAAAAGAGGACCATCTGTCGTAAATACATGAGGAACTTCGGACCCATTTTCAACGAGACTCTCCTTCAACCGTCCAAGATCACCCAAGTGCCGATACCTGCCAACTGTATTCCCATTGCGAACACGACTAACTTCACGTTTGACCCCATGTTGGCTTATGGGCCCTATAAACCCATCAAGTATAACGTCGAGTATGGTTAGTGCTTTTCAGTGCTTTTTACGCTAGCGAGCAGCTTGTGTTTTTTGTTTCTAAACCTAACACGCAAATGAAAGTTTTCATTGAAAGTGTTCACTTGTGTGCCTTTTTGTTATAAACACGATCTGTAGCATTGAAAATTTCATAGCATCTGCTCTCTTCTTTATTTGTGGCTGAGTGGTAGTGCGTGAGAGTGATTATTTCTAGGTCGCAGTAGTTCGTAGGTTCGAATCCGAGACGTCACCGAGTTTTTACTAATTCGAGGCTTATTTTTAGTTTTTTTATTGCACTTTTTAGAACTCTAGAGCTGCTTTCTGTCGTGTTCTCGCTAGTGTTTGCGACGCGAAGCTTCGCCTCTGTTTTCAAGCTTGATTTGATTCTCCTTTTTGGACTTGCAAAGATAAATGAGATCGATAACGAAATGTTTTTGTTTCAAACTGGGTAAAGTCGGGAGATGAATATTGTTGGGTTCAATAATTTTAAAGAGTCAATTATAACAAAGATAGCCGGTCACTGTGCAAGAAGCACAAAATGCTTCGACTATAGTCTTAAAAAAAACTATTTTTTTTTCAAATTAGTGTAATTTTTTTCTGCGTGGCGTGATGAAAGGATCTGAACGAAAAACTAGAACTTAGGCATATTCGACAGTCATAATAAAACAGGCAAATTGGAAAATTGTTATCGAAGAAATACGAAAGAAAAATTTAGAAAATTGCAATTTTCACTAAATCATTTTTTTCAGAAATTTTTGATTCCTAAGATGGCGCTAAAAACTTCAAAAACTAATTTCAATAGAGTAAAACTAAATTTTCACGGCTTAAACTAAGCATAAGTTAGCTATTGTACAAAAATTTCAAACCGGTTTTTCTCGAGACTGAGGAAATATTTTGGACTTTTTTTGTCGTTCAAATCACGATTCAAAGAGTTTTAATATGATATATTACTGTACCCAGTCCGATGATTAATTGTGGTACCTGATTTCGCGTGGGAAACAAAAAGTTGAAGAAAAAAACTTAAACACCCGAATGCAAAGTTTCTCCCCATTTTCAATGGTTGGAACAAAAACAGCAGTTTTTTGTTGGTAAAACCGATAAAGGTTTCAAGAAATCCTTATCTTGTGGTTTTATTTTTTTTCTCGATTCATTAACTTTTTTGATAGCCAAAAAATTCACAAAGGATGATCAATTGAATCGAAAATGTCCTTTCTAGACGGAGTGCCGCTAAGCAAAGAAGATACGGCGGCTCCCAAGTTCACAGTGTTCTTGAAGCCAGGAGTGTCTGAGATCAAGATCCGAGCAAACGACTCCTGCAATGTTCAGACGTACAGGGTCATTCAAGTCTCTGTAAGTTGATCTCAAGTTCCCGAATACCAATTTCCTCTGGTGTGTTTTTTCAAATGTCAAACTTTTGGATTGAAGTTTGTAGTCCTTGGTTTATTTTACAGCAGCCGAATCTGCAATTTTTCTCCAAAGTTTTTTAAAAAGAGTTGTTTGTATTATTCGTGGATGTGTCATCTGATTCTGATTTCTTTTAAAGTATTTTGCTTCATAACAAATTGAGACTAATTTGTTGCGTCTGTTTTCATTGTAGTGTGAGCAGGACATCAGTGAAGACCAAGTGGAGGGAGTGGTGGATGGGATGGGGGAGATAGACAGTCCCGAGACCCAGCAGAAGACTCTGTCTCAGCTGAATGCCGCTTCTGACAAGTGCAATGCGGGATGTGCGGACAAGGTTTCTATGGTGCTCGAAGGAGTGTCAGTCGAGGACGACAACGCTGCCGCCCAGGTACGTTTTATCCTCGTTGGAGCTTGGTGCATGCCCGATGCCCTGATTGATAGATGCAACTTCAGAAATTACAATTTTAAATTTTCAATTTGGAAATTGCCAGGCCGCCATAACTGCAGAAGCTGATCATAGAGTTAGAAGCGTGGTTTTCCGTTTGCGAATTCTTCAAATAAAATTATCAAAAAATTACCCAAAAACTATTTAAGTGTGCGATAAATGGTAGTTGGTTGAATTAATTAGCAACGAGGATCTGTACACATATACGAGCCAGTCTAAGAAACTAATCAGAGAAAATAGTTCAATTTTTTTAGAAGAACTATCTGAGCTGCGTCTTTTTTCAGTTACAGATCATAGACCAACTAAGATCGATATTTAAAAAATTTGTTTTCAGGAAGAGAGCAATTTGTTTAGTTACAAAATTTATCCAGAAAATCCCATCTTGGAAGAACACCAATCAGGCCTGTTAGCTGCCTATCGAGTCATGTCCTCTTTTCTATTATTTTTTCTTCTTCAAAGAAATATTCTAAAAAAATATTCCTTATCAAAAACAGGTTGCGAGTTTTGCGGCCGCTGCCAAAGTGGACACGATGAGTTCGGAGTCGCAGGGTCGCATGGTGAAAATGGTTGAGAAGTCCTACAAGGCACTGGGGAAGAAGAAGGGAAACACAAAGGGCAAGTCACGTGCTCTAAGACAGGGAGCCAATTTGCCCGGCAAAGTGATGCTCTCCGGATTCAAAAAGACCTCAAGGTGAGAATTCTCCTCTAATTCAATAGAAAATACTCATAATTTTAATTGACAGAAACATTTAGTGAAGCTAAAAATTGACAAATTTTCACTTACGAGAGCAGATGTTTTGTAATCGGGAAGTACACTTTTTCCATTGAACAACTTCTCTTACAAGTCTGAACTTCACCTTGGGTTTCTGAGGTCTGAATTTCAGTTTTTCTGGGAAAACTTGAATTGGCAGACCATCGTACGTTTGTCTGCTTATTTTTGCGAACTTACTTTCCAAATCTTGGAATTTTCTTCTTATTAGGCAATGTTTACTGTAACTTAAAGACGTTCTGTAAATTGTAATTTTACTAACTTCGTTTTTTCCCGTTTTTTTTTGCTAAAATGGTATCGGCTTATATATAACGGCTTAGCCATTTGAAATGACGTCGTTTGAAAGGCAAAACAGATTTAAATGTTTTTGTGTGCTTCGCGAGTGGCGAAGCGTAAAAATTTTGATTTTCAAAACTTAAAAGCTCAAATTTTTTTTTGTGACAGCTTTTTTTTTTACTCCTCGGCACCTACCCAAATTTCGTCGATTAAATTGTCGCTCGGTAAACGTTTCTGAGTGTTTTTAACGCTGGTGGTTGTGTTTTGTTTTGTTTTGCTTCAAGTGAACATCATTCGAGACAACGTATGAAGTTTTCGTAAACGTTTTTTTTTAAACATTATTTCAAATGTAAATGAACACACTGAAGACACTTATCAAGTTCGTGGGATGTATTGAGAAAAAATCTTAAGAGATGTTCACAAGCTAATTTGATTTTGTTTTGCAATTTGACATTTGATATGTTTTCAAAATCATTTCATGGAGATATTAAGTCCTTAGTTCGGCAAATTTCTTCGTGGTATCAATTTTCTGGCATGACAATTGCAATTTTTTGATCCAATACAATGCTTTATAGTAATTTCACAAAACGAATAAAGTACGAAATTTAAAATAAGTGTTTCTCCAATTAAAATGACTTTAGTCTGTCGAATTGTCGAAGATGTCGAATTTCGCTTAGATTTTTACTAAAAATAATATAGTGAAATTTTTTTACTGAAATAAAACTACCGGCTTCAATTCTGACAAAATTTTATCAAAGTAAGCTTCCAATGTAGGCTAGCAAAATCAGGGTTACCAACTGGTCTCTGTTATAGTGACCGGTCACTATTGGTCTTTAAAAACTCTCTACTTTTTTACTGGTCACTATTTTGTTTATAGAGTACATCAAAACTCCTGAGGTCCCCCCTTTGAACAATTTTGAGATATCTATTTTTGGCCGACGAACCCCAAAATTTTTATAAAGGCGCCTTTAGCGTCAATTTATACTAGTTTTGAGGGGGAAGCGTCCGCCAGAAAAACTTTTTTTGGCCTGCTTTTTCAAAATTTTGCCTGCGGCGCACTAAATTTGGCCAAACCATGATCTTTTTAGTTCTTTGGGAACTTGTTTTTTGTTCATTTTGTGATGATTTCGTTAGATTTTGATTAAGTCTCTACTTTTTTGGCGACCAGATTGTAACCCTGAGCAATGTTGAAGTAGAGTTTAATCTTCTCAATTTTGCTTAAATAAATTTATTTTCGTTTGGTAACCGAAAATAACATTTTTACTTAAAAATGCCAATTTTTGAATTAAAATTTATTTTACAACATTTTGTGTAATTTTTAAAACGTTATTTTGGAGATTATACCCTTCATAAACAAGAGGCTCACTTTATAAAGTTTTTTCGGCAATTGATTTTGTATTTTTGACGTGAGTTTTGTTTGGCTAAAAACAGCCAAAATTGATCCGTTTTTGGGTTAAAAATTTGCGGGCCAAAAATTCGCTAGATACACTGCTAAAATTCTAAGCAAATTTTGACTCAAATCCGAACTACTCTCTTTTTGTCTAAATTTCATCCAATTTGAGAAAAACGCGTTTTAACTTTCATGTTTTTCTAGTTTTTCCGATAATTTAAATCAGCACTGTACACGTTCAAATCAAACAAATTTTGGGTTTTCTGTTGTACACCGTCTCTGATTTGATGAAATTTATAGTATGGTATCTGAATATCTGACTTTACGCGAAAGCAAATTTAAAAATGCCCGAATGCAAATTTGTATCCCGTAAAATTCATGGTTGCATCAAAATTATCTGATTTTCTAGTTCATAAAAGTTATGATCAAAATGCAAAGTTTTTGGATGTTTTGGATCTTCTACCCTCTATCGCGAACAATGTGGAAAATCAAACTGGTTTCTCATTTTAATCATAATTTGTTTTCACCAGTGGAGAAGCGACTACTACCACAACTACTACAACTACAACTTCAACCAGTACTGTGTCTGCCGATGGAACCGTGATCAGTATCCAGGAGCAGCCAGATGTCTGTGGAGGTCAATCAGGACAGGTAATGTGAATTGAACTGATTCCACTACTGCCTCTTTTTTTCTCTGTAATGATAGATTTGTTCTCCCAAATTAGTTCAATCTTGATAAAATTATAGTATAATGTTGTTTGACCTGCATGAATAAATGTGAAAAGATTTTCTCGGTGTGAGCTAAATTTCTCTGAGTTTTTACTATTCAGACTCAATGATAGAGATAACAGCTTTGCAGCAGAAGCACTCATTTGTGCGTATACAGCAACCGGGTAATCGTGAAATATCTATTTTTGTCATTCTCATCAATTTTTGTATCAAGTTTTTTTAATCATAGGTTGGAGTTTGGATCCCCTTGTTTCAAATTTTACTCATCCGCAGTTTTCATTTGTCTAGAGTGCCGATGTTGCGACAATGATCCGCAGCTCTCTAGGAGATCTGGCTGCAGCCATTGTGTGTGGACTAGCAGAGGGGGAGAAGTCACCGGCTATCAACGTCACAGAAGACAACCCAGTTTTCTCAATGTCCTGCACCCGGTCTAAGAACCAACTGTTTCCGGACACTGGAACCCACATTCCAGAACTGCCATCCGATTGTGACGGAGACTCGTGTGCTCTATGTGTAAGTTAAAGCATGGCTGGAGTTAGGCAAATGGACGAAGATATAAACTCAGTAATCATGTCACGCTGTTAATTGATTATACCCTGTGAGAAAGTGCATTCACATTCGCATAAGATTACCAAGAAGTATAACTCTTTTCATCTGTGTTCTGATTTTTTTTAAGAATGGAAACAGTAATGGTTTCGTTTTTAGAACATCAAGTTCTTGGGCTGTGCGGATGCGATGCCTGCCGACAACGCTCCGAGCAGTGAGAAAGTTGACATCAAGCTCCTTAAAATCACATGGAGCGAAACCGACGAGGATGAATGCAATTTATCTGTGCTTAAAATCCGAGACCTCCCGATCGAGTCGGCGATTGAGTTCTCGAACGAGAACCTTGCCAAACAGCCTGTCGTGCTAACGAGCGCCAATTTGACCCAGCAGAAAGATTTTCTATCTGTGGATGTGAACGTTTCAGATGAGAACTCGGCATTGATTGTTGATTTCTGTTTGGATACATTGTCTATGCAAGCTACCCAGATTGTAGTGCGAATGAGGTATAATTTCTCGAGTCATGATTGGACCACTATCGGCGATGACCAAATGGATTTCGCGAACTTGGCTGTCAATACTTCCGCTGTCGAAGACGACTTCTTTTTCGTTAGTATTACATTCAAGTGAAAATCTACATTTTTGGGATTGCTCATTTAGAGACGCCATTTTCCACTGTTTTTTGTTCTATTCAAAACGAAACACTGACAAGTGAAAAATAAGTTAGCGTCTATTTACTTTCTCGTTTTAATTTAGCTATATAATTTTTCCATTTTTCTTCAAACATTGATGATTGAGTGCAGGGGCGGATATAGGATTGTCTCGATTGGGGTGAATTTTGTCGACCTTTTTTTCTTTTTTTTAGGTCGACCAAATTGATTTTCTGAGCTCTCCCAAACCACTATAAAGACCATAATTTGACCAAATTTTCTGCGCTGCAGGCAACTGTTTGAAAAAATGCCAAAAAAGGCGTTTTTGGGCACTTTTTAAAAATTTTTAACCAAAAAATCGCGTTTTTTCGGCGCGCGCTCCCCCCTCAAAATTAGTATTTATTGGCGCCAAAGGCGCCTTTAGAAAAATTTAGGGGTCCGTCAGCCAAACATGGATATCAAAAAATACTTCAAAGGGGGACCCTTTGGGTGAGCAGGGGGTCGAATCCCTGAGGGGGGGGGGGGCGTCCGCCCCCTCCCTAAATCCGCTACTGATTGAGTGTTTCATCTTGTTCAAGTATTTTCTTTATTTGAGTACATATTTAGAAATTAAATAAATCAAGTCGAAATTACATTACTTTGTGCCTGTGCAAAATTATGTGGGAACATGAATTGGAAATCTTGAGAATATAAATGCTGAGCGTTCAGATATTCGATCCTGCCAACTTCACCGGACTCATTGAGGAAGTGTACCTTGACGGGGTGGGTCTGATCTCCAACGAGACTAGGGATGAGTGTCTGACTTCGAATATTGTGGCCAACAACTGCTTCCGAGCATTCCTCTCCGGCTTCACATTGGCAAACAGAGTGGGCCCATGGTCTGTTGGTGAGTCATATTTAATCACATACCAAACGGTTTTGACGGTCATGGGTTGATTTCTCAGGGAAGTGTCTCTTTTAGAGGGCTTCCTTATTTCTAGGAGAGTTGTTCTACTGTAATTGTATTTTGTGAATGGTATTGAGAAAAGATACATTGACTAATTTTAAAGCTTGTAATATAATTACTACCATTTTTTTTGTCTTTTTGAAGCCATCATGGCAGGATTTCAAGAAGAGCCGGATGATTCAATCGTGCAGGAGATAGACACGATTGTGTACCAGACCTCGTGTCTGTACTACAACGAAGTGCTTCAGACATACACGACAGAGGGCACCTCGCCCAGTCCCAGCACCAGTTGTGCCCAGATCAAATGCAAGACCACTCACTTGTCCTCTTTCGGAGGCTCCTTCTTCGTACCACCCAACAGCCTCAACGTCATGGACTCTATCATGGTTCGCTTTATATAGTTGTTTACACAAGCAAGCTAGCGTACGTAGTGTCATAGTATGACTCGACTTTTTTTCCAGCCGAAGTCGCAAACACAAGTGCTCATTTGGTGGCAATTTAGCTATAATCACTGATTAAAACTTTCAATTTCACACTTTTATGAACATTTCGTTGCCTGTTTTCAAAACAGATTTTTTTTTCGTTGTGATGATTACTTTAAGTTGTTCTGTGTTTAAGATGCTGAGCAGTCTGCATGAGAACCCGACTGTGTTTGCCACTCTTGTGTCTGTGCTCATTCTCTACATTCTGGTTGTCGTCTGGTGCCGAAGGAAGGACAGGAGAGACGAGAAAAAAGTGAGTAGTATTATATATTAAAATAAGCAGTTATTTAGGTGTCCGTATGAAGATCGATTATGTTTGTCATGGCCTAATTAGTCCGTATGTCAATTTTGACAGCAATTGAACAATGTGAAAAAAATTTGCCTTCATAATTTTGCAGGTGAGGTAAAAGGAAAAAAAGCCGCAATATTTTGAGATGCTGCAATTTTTTTTGCTGCGAGTTTATGGACTCTGTGCCCGACGTGGAGACTTTTTTTTTGGGTGTCTTTGATTTTTTTTTACTCGTGTGAGCGTAGCGTATTATTATTACTCTAATTTTTTCCAACCTAACTCTGACACTTTTTGGTATAATCACGATCTGTAGCATTAGAAAATTCATTACATCTGTTCTCTGATTTATTCGAGCCCAATGTTGCCAAATGTTAAGCGTTTTGTCTATAGGGAAGAACGTGAGACTCCAAAATTCGAGGTCGCAGCTTTGAATCCGACAAACAGCAAAAGTTTTACGAATTCGAAGCATGTTTCAACCGTTCTGTTTCTTTTTATAGAGCTGCTTTTTGTCAGTGTTTGCGAAGCGCAGCTTCACCTGTCATTTAAATTTTTCCCGCGAATCTTATTAAGGCTCGTTTAGTCGTACTTCGACAATGTTTCAGGTTTTGAGAAAAGCCAGGTTTGGAAGCTTTGATCGATAACGGTTTAAAGCTTCAGTTAGCGCTCTCCTGGCACCAAAATCTCAGAAGTTCTTAAAGTAAATCTGATTTTAAAATTTGAAAATTTTAGATTTTAATAGTTTATTGAAAATCTTTTCTTTTTCCTTTTTGTTATTTAATTTGCAAAATCGACAAGAGCTTAATTTCAGCCCAGGGTACACTTTTTTCCAAACTACATTGAGCCACGAAAATTTTGGATTTTATTTCCTTTTTTTTGTTAAATTAACAGTCATTATTTCGCATCCGCCCGCTGTCAGTTGTATACCCTTGTAAGTATAAGCTTGCATCATATCTCTGGTTCTCATGTTAAAGAATAAAGATCTTAAATTAAAAAAAAAAGAGTGATTGCACTATTTAAGTCTCGTTTTTTTTTCGCTTTAAATTTGCCTCTTGACCTAAATTAATTATTGAACTTTTTGATCTGATGTCATATGATGTGATTCCTTTACGGGGCAACCTTCAACAAGCCTCTCGTTGGCTTTCTGGTTGTCCTATCATGAGTTATCTTTGAATTTTTGCATATTGTGTTATGATAATTTGATTACTCATGATGAATATTTAAATAAATAAATAAATAAATAAATAAAAGGCTGTCGCTTACCGTTAATCATCGGTTGCTTCAAAGATTATGTAAATGGAACTTTGTAAAGAAAACTCTTAACGTTTATTTTTCAGCTTGGTATTACATTCTTGGCCGACAACGACCCTCGGGATAATTACCAGTACGAGATAACTGTCTACACTGGAATTGGAGGTGACGCCGGAACCTCATCAAATGTCACAATTATCCTGTGTGGCGAAAAGACTAACTCAAAGCCTCATGTGCTCCTGGATGAAGACAAAGAATTGTTCTGCTCTGGTAGTGTGGACACGTTTATTCTCACTACACCGGAGTCACTGGGAGAACTGAGCTCGCTGCAGATCTGGCACAACAACAAGGGCAACCAACCTGCCTGGTATGTTTTTTTCAACTCTTGCAGATTTAGCAAAATTATGTAATTATGGTCGAATATAGAATTTGACAGACGAGTGAAGTTTAATAGACGTTTTTTTTTGCAACGATTGATTCAAAAATGATAGTGGATACATGAGTTAGAAAAAAATTCGCAGCTTTTTGGTGGTATATTTGAAACATCTGTGGCTCTTAGTGGTAACAAACTTCTTCGCCTTATGTTAAATAGCACTCTCGCTACAGGGTGTTTTCAAAACATGTTTTTTAAAATAATTTTTTGTTCATTTCACAAATATTTGGGTTACTGAAGCCATTCTTTTTGCAAAAGGCAGTCAAAATATGCCGAATTCTGATACAATATGTCATTTTTTGGATTGCGATTTTGATTTAAAATTTCGCAAAAAAATGCATAATAAAAAAACTGGTAAATATCCAAGCATTTTAATAACCCAGATATTTGCGAATTGTAAGATAGTATTTAAAAAAAACACGTTTTGAAAAACCCTGTAGATGATGCAGATGATCGTCTTGTTTATCCATCTCTTTTGTGGCTCAAAATTCTTCCTTCAGGCCTCAAACCTTGATCATTTAAATGTTCCACGAACCAGCAAGGGAGAGAGCCTTTGGAATTTCAAAAAACTGGATAATATTTAAGGTATCTGAAACATCTGGTCGCAAAAGATCTCAATGACAACAACAAGCAGTACATCTTCTTGAACAACCGATGGCTCGCAGTGGATAAAGATGACGGACAAGTGGACCGAGAAATCCCAGTGGCGTCCGAGGACGAACTGAAAGACTTCACGACTCTCTTCAAGAATAAGATCGAGCGTGATCTGTGGGACGGAAACATCTGGTTCAGCGTGTTCGGTCGACCCGTGCGAAGTAGTTTCACTCGTGTGCAGCGTGCATCCTGCTGTCTATGTCTGCTCTATTGTACCATGTTGGCTAATATCATGTTCTTCGGAGCTGCAGAGGCGGATACGAACACCATCTCGGTCATGGGAATCGAACTAAGCTGGACTCAGGTAATGATAAGCATAATCATGATAAATTGTTTTTAGGCGTATATGCCATAATTTTTGTTACAAAAAACAGCATTTAAAATCATTTGAGCTATAGCCTGAGAGATTGTCATGAGACTTTCTGGTCCTTTTCAATTTTGAGGTGAAATCTCAAGCCATGAATTCAGAGTTGTGGTGATTTACACAAGTCAGCTGAGATCTACTCAAACTTTTTGGATATTCCTTAGCTTGGTTTTTTGTTACACAAGCGACGCTTGTATTAATTTGATTCTAAACGGATGCCTGAGTCTTTTCAGCGATAAATACCGATTTCATTTTGATGTTGGAAATTCTGATTAGAAAAAAAACTGGTTGAATAGAAATTTTCATCTTATAAGCATTGTTATTTTTAAGGTTATGATTGGCCTTCAATGCAACGTCGTCATTTTCCCCGTCAACTTCCTTGTCGTGTACCTGTTCAAAAATGCCAAGCCAAGGGTTCCCAAAGAACTTCGCGACACTGAAGCCATGAAGAGCGGCAAGTCCCTGACGGCTGCACGTGGACACCATCGCAGTGCGAAGAGTCAGAGAAGTTTCACGAATCTGAATTCGGCTTCGAGAACGAGTATCCAGTCTGCGGGACGCATGACAGTGTCGCACACGTCCATGTTTAAGAGCAAGAAGAGCAAGCCGAAGGGGCTGTTTGGAAAGCTGAAGGCGATGATGCCTGGCCAGAAGAAGACAGCGAGTGAGTCTTTTTGATTTTGGACTAGATCAGGCAAAGTTTTTTTGTGATATTCGCTCGGGTGATAAATCTCTACCACTAATTTCTGCGTGAGTGGTGGGGTACAAACTTAACCATCTATTGTTTTTGTGAAAAATTGACAAAAACGCCCCTTTCATCGATTCGAGGCTTAAAGCTCATCGAATTTTTGGTTTTCAAAATTAGAAAACAAACATTTTTGTACAAGCATGCCATTCCTTTTTTATGTGCCATTTGTAAAAATGTCAATTAATTTTGGATGCCATGATAATGTTGGTTCAGAGGATCAGCTGGAGGCGTCTACATGCAGTATTGAGAGTGTAATCAATGAGCCCCCTCCGAGTGAGATGGAAGAGGGAAAGAAGCCCAAGGGACTGCCCTGGTGGACTGTGTACATTGCATGGGTACTTATGGTCATGGTAAGTAACCCACTCACATTATTTACTAACCTTGAGTTTAACGGTTTCTGTAAGTTTTTATGCAACCTGTTGAATTGCACGAAACGCTTTTTATATTCGGTTTGAATGTCATTTTGTTTTGAAATGTGGCATAAAAAAATCATTAACTTCAATCGGCCCTTACTGTATATTTTGATTTATCTGGAGTCATAATTGATTTGCTACTAAGTAGACATCAAAAGTCATTTTGAGTCGAAAAGTTTTAAATGGCAAGTCATACAACTTTTGCCCATTTTTTTCTGCGATATTGAAAAAATAAGTGGACGATTTTTGACAAATATGCTTTTTATTACCCTACAAAAAGTTGAGTAATTATATTTGAAGTGTTCATATACACATACACTAATGCTGCGTTAGGGGTCCTTTCTCGTCGCTTCAATGAACTTGGAGTGTTTCCAACAATTTTGAGCGGTACAGAGTTTTAGCTATTTGTTTTTGGAATCCAAAATAGTAAAGAAATCAAAGAAATAAAGCAATGTTGCGGATTCCGCGACAATTCTGATTTTGGCCTGTTGCGGCCTGTCACAAAATGCACAGTTTGGTCTCGCAATGAAAAGCAGTTTTTTTGCAGGTATCTTTCGTGGCGGCCTTCTTCACCCTGCTGTATGGTATGGCCTATGGTAAGAGTCAGAGCAACCTGTGGCTGAAGACATTCCTGATGGGCTTCTTCGAGAGTCTCTTCTTTATCCAGCCTCTCAAGTGCATCTGTCTTGGTCTGTTCTTCGCTCTGTTGATCAAGAAGCCAGAGCAGCCGGATCCGAAGGAACAACAGAGGATGGAGATCATAGAGAACACGTCTGAGAGAGGAAAGGCTATTGTAGAGGCAAGTTTATTTATTCCCTCTTACTGTTTTTAAGTTTTGTGATTATGCAACATGTATTATAATCAAAACGAACCCAAACTAAAGTTTCCTGTAAAGAATGAGGCAAAAAACAGGCATTTGGAGCATTGGGTGGCTATATCAAGATTTCAATGAAAAAAAATTTTGTTTGAAAAATTAAGTAACAACATAATTTTTGGTAAACTTTGCAACAAAAATGTCAAACACATCGGAAAATCAGTTACGTTTCTTTTGTTAATTCCTGCACAAAATAAAGGCCAGCGTCACAAACTTGCTGTCCATTAGGATAGGATGTTTTTGTCAATCACACTCCCTTCAAATCAGCTAATGACAATTGTGTTCATTTTTGGAGTTTTCTGGTTATACCAAAATGTTTCAAGTCGACAACCTATCAACAGAATAAAATAGTACATAACTCCTGAATTGCTATTTATTTTAATCAGGTGACGTCATCTTTTTTGATGTTTTAGCTGGACTACAGCGACTACAAAAGGCAGTACAAGAAACTGCAGCAGGCCTATTCGAAGCCGATGGCCACAGACTTGGAGGCGGCCAAGAAGTACCGGGAGAAGATGAAGAAGATGTGGGATGCCCTGTTCGAGATAGGGAGGTACTTCATATTCCTGTTCCTGCTCAGCACCATATGCAACGCCCAGACCGATCCACAGGGCTATCTCATGACGGAGAACCTCCGAAATATGTTCACAACGGGTGTGTTAGCTTACATGTTCGGTTCTTATTCACTTCAGTTTTCCTCAAAATCCAAATGGACTTTTTTGACCTTTATTTCTAATTTTTCGTAACTTAAAACACTAAAGGAGATCGGTTTTAAAAAAAATCAACCAGAGTTAAGAATATAGGTAGCTACTGTGCTACATTTTTGATATTTTTTTCTCATGCTAGCCGCGTCGTGAAGTAAGATATTAGATTTTTTAATGCCATATCAAGCTCACGGTTTGAATTATTTAGACGCTTTGAAAGACATAATTTGTAGCCAAGGATTTATTAGTTAGTTTTGGGGAACTTTCATTCTATTAATACTTCCTTCCTTATCTAGGTACCAAGTGGCCAGGCATTACCAAATATCCCGACTACTGGGCTTGGATGTACAAATCTCTCATTCCGAACCTCTACAGCCAGCAGTGGTACAACGGCAACGTCACCGATGACATCCAGGGATTCACTAGTGACCACCAGTCGTATCTAGTCGGCGCGGCTCGTATTCGGCAGGTGCGAATGGACCCTCTCGCTCACTGCTATGCGCCGAAGATCATCCAAGATACTGTGAATGACTGCTATCCGGACTACTCGTTGGGAGACGGGGATGTTGCGGGCTATTACGAGGGCTGGATTGTGCCACCCGAGAACGAGACAATCAACACGGACGAGTACTACTTGAATGAAAAAGATCACCCCGTTGGATCGAACCCCTGGGTCTATGTACCACAGCTGCAGGCCGACGGTGAGTCATTTTTTCTCATTTAGTTTCACCAATTTTCTTGCTTGACAAATTTACCGCCTAAATAGACGTTTTCTAAACAGATATTTTTCGTACAGTTCTTCGAGTAACTAAAAACGGTTTGAGAAATGAACGGTGATTTTTTGTCGATCTTAATTTTTGGTCAATTTAATTGAATTTTTGAGCTCTCGTAAATTATATTCTGATCCCTTTTGCCATAAATTTCTGCGCATAAGACCAAATTTTGAGTAAACGTGCAAAAATTTCCGCTTTGGAGCGTTTTGTTTGAGAAAATTGAACGAATGATTAACCGCCCCTTTCGGTTAACCAGCTTTTTTGCTATCAACCGAAATCTAAAAAATATTCTATGGCGATTTGCGCTTCTAGGTATTCCGATTATGGGTGACCTGAACATGTATGGACCTGGCGGCTACATCCTCACTCTGAGCACTGACCCCGAAAAGGCGAAGGAGGATGTGGAACGACTTCAGGAGATGAGCTGGGTTAGTATAGCTACGACAAATGCAGTGTCAATTGCAGACAATTTAATTAAAATGAAAAATAAACCTTATGAAAAAAGTTCGCAGATGTTTTTTTTTCATTCAGATAGAACTCGATTTTAAAGGTCGCCAAAAACTTCAAATTTGCCTGAAACTTGCATGATAGGCGAATAGTTTTTTGAATTGGTTAATCTGTCCAAGTTTTTTGCAATCCTTAGCAATAATCGATAGTTGAGATGTTGCAATCCTTAGTAATAATCGATAGTTGAAATGTTGCAATCCTTAGCAATAATCGATAGTTGAGATGTTGCAATCCTTAGCAATAATCGATAGTTGGTGAAAATTGATATGTTGTGTTAGGTGGACACCTTGACTCGTGCAGTGATTATTGAGTTCACGGTGTTCAACCCCAATGTGAACCTGTTCTCTGTGGTCAGTCTGGTGGTGGAGTTCAGTGCACAGGGAGACGGATACCCCTACGAACAGGTGCCTCTTTCACACTTCATAATCTGTCCGTTTTATTATGATTAAGCGTTTAATTTTTAGACAATTCGATCAAAGTAAGATAGTCAGAAAATGTGAGATCAACTTGTGAGTCAGAACTGGGATACACAGTTCGGTAATAAAACGTAGTTCGGCTGTATATTGCTTGAAGTCGAGGAAAAATTGCAATCCCAGAAAAATTGCCATCCCAATTTTTTTAGACACATTTTGAAAATATTTGATTAAAAAATGCGTTTTTAGCGGGCGTCCTTCCTGAAAGTTTGAAGGCGCCTTTTGAAAACATATAGGGACGGTCAGCCAAAAATGAATATCTTAAAGTAGCACCAAAGAGCGGACCCCTTGGGTCATCAGGATTTCGAATCCCCCTTAAATCTGCTACTGGGTACAAAATCGGTTCTCTGCAATGAGCTGAAGTTTTCCCTAAAAGATTAATTGCCAGTTTATTTCTTGTGCTTGCTGATTTTATCTGTAAACTTGCACTATCATTGAGAGAAGTTGCACTATCATTGATCTTAACGATGGTACAGCTTCTTAACTTTACATTTCCCTTTAAAAGAACATTTCACCTTTTTCCTTCAAGAAATACATTTGACCGTAGTGTTTGGTTTATTATGAGATATTGATCACGTGTAATGATTATTGTGTGTTTTGCTGCGTGTGAAACCAGATGAAAACGCTGCGTCTCTATCCCTACATGAGCAGTGCTGGCTACTTGGTACTGGTATGTCAACTGGCATATCTAGTGTTCCTAATCTACTACATGTGGGTGGAAGGTACGAACAAACAACACCGCCCAAAACAAAATAAAACGAGACACCAACCTTATCATAGACAGACAAACTCCGTGTCAAAAAACCAAAGCAACGACACCCCAGACCAAAATAAAGCACCATATCTAAAATACCAGCGCCATAAAATCATTTTTACCTGTAGAGTCAAATAAATTGTAATGATCATCCAATTAGAACTTAGATAGTGTTTTGTAGGTGTTTGAGAAGGAACGTTTCATAGTCGGATCTGAAATCAAAAGTTTAATCGATATGATGCAAATTTAACATTGCACAACCTGTGTCGTAGATCAACCTGTGTAATTGATTATTTTTTCCCATTGACCTTAAACTTTCGAACGTTTTTGTTTGATTGCATGGTTGTGATTGAATTTTATGCACTTTGAAATGCAATTTTCTAAAATTAATCAGGTTTTTTTTTCTAATTTACAGCTAAGGAGGTGAAGCAGCTGAAGTGGGGCTACCTGAAGCAGTTCTGGAACTGGGTGGAGATCGTCATCATAGTGCTCTCGTGGACCTCCTTCGGTCTCATCATCTCTTACGTCATAGGAGTGGAGGTGACCATGAACCAGATCAAGGAGTTCTCCAACACCCGGTTCATCAGCTTCGGAGGACCGGCAACTGTCAACGAGACCTACAGGTAACTAAGAAAATTCGCTAAATTTTGGCGGTATAGAAATCAGCCGAAATATAGACCTCAGTTCCCATATAAACCTGCCGGAAATATGTAATTGTCCTATAATAGTTGTATAACAGTTACGAAAGTCATGCAAGTTTCTGACAAATGACGTAACTTTCGGATGATTTATACTTCGGCTGATTTATTGCACCACTTCACACTCGAAGTTTTTATTATATGAAAATTCTTGCCAGTAATCATTTAAAATGCCTTTTTATCACGCATTGCAACTTTTATCTTTTCAGTTTTATCGATGGAATGTTTTCGGTATTATCACAAAAAAAAACATTTAAATCATGTAAAACAAACAACTCTTTTTTGCCCAATTTTTCTGATGTGTTGTAAAAGTTGTGGAAAAATGTGTAAATTTTGGAATGTTTTCACCGCTTTTGTTCTTTTTTTCCATTGGTATTGTTTGTGTTTAGAGTGGTATCTGCGATCACGTGTTACTTTGGATATATCAAACTGATGTACATGATGCGGTTCAACAAGAAGATGTCTTCCTTCGCCTGTGTGCTCAAAGTGGCAGCCAACGACATCACCAACTTCCTCATCATGTTCACCGTATGCATAACTTCCTCAAACAACTTTTAAACCACAATTATTTTCTGCTTTGTATTAATTGTTCGCTAGGTGAGAAGAAGGCTTTGAAGAAACTCCTTAATTTTTTTAAAAACAAATAGCCGATTAGGGTTTTTTGTGGACTGATGGGACGGTTTTCCCGGGGCATTGAAAGTTTCATTTCATTTTTCCTCTGTTTTTCGTTTGGTTTCATTAAGGGAGTAAGTGGCAAATCACGAACTCAAAGAATTTAGTACGTGCTTGACTGGTACTTCTTATCAAGTTAATAGATGAGTTGCAAGCAACTAGCAAGGATCTTTGCAGCTTGATACTGCTTTGAGTATGTCGCATTTGAAATGTTCTGCTACTGTGAATAGCATAACGGATCTTTTTCTTCCTAATTGACGGTTTGTTGTGTTGGATGCAGGTGGTGTTCATTGCGTTCGCCCAGTTCGCCTACCTGGTTCTGGGCTCTGTGGTGTCTGGCTACAAGTCCTTCGTGACCTGTTCCACCACCCTCATGGCCATGCTGCTTGGACAATGGGACTTCTACGAAGTGGAGGAGGCTGACCGAATGCTCGGTTAGCATAATTTACTACCGATGTTTTTTGTTTTTTTTTTCTATCCGCAAAAGTGATGGTTTTACTTAAAGAGGTTAAAATAAATTGACTCCGAAATATTTTACATATCACCTGAGGCTAGTGAAGTTGTGCTTTTATGCAATAAATTTGATACTTCAAGCGTCTTTGGACTTCACGATGCAAAATGTGTTACCCTGACAAAAATTGAAATCCAGAGTTTCAAAATGAACTCTTTGTATATAATAAGACAAGGGTTTTGGAGTTGCATATTCTTTGGATCAAATACTTCGAAATAATTTAACCCTTCAGACTCCGAAGTTGTGCTTCGATTGATTTCGTAATGATATCATTACATATTGCAGGTCCTGGGTTCTTGTTCACCTACATAATCTCGGCCAACTTGATCCTCCTTAATGTGTTCCTGTCAATCATCTGCGAGGCATGTGACCAGGTCAATGGTGAGGTCGCTCAACAGGAGAACGACTTTGAGGCAAGTCTCCCTCTTCATGTATTCTTTGCCTGCTTAAAGCACGCTTAATCCGAACTTGCATTCATAGCATGGAAAATTCAGAGACGATTTGGCCCCGATGCTTGATTTTTCACTTTGTTTATGGAAAGGATGTAGATTTTTTATTGTATCATTGCTCTGGCCATTGAAAATGGGGAGGAACTTTGTATTTGGGCGTTTAAGTTTTTTCCCCGCAAAAATTGTTAAAAAAGGGTCCCAGTGCTGCGAAAAACTAGTTTGATATTTTTGATTTTCACTCCAACTTCGAGCGAGTAAAGCGAGCGGGCTGACTTTTTATTAAAAAAGGATAAGCCATGAAACTTTTATTCAAGCCTCTGGAAGTTTAGTTTAACTCCAATAAAATTAGTTATCGAAGATTAATGCGTTATTTTGAGAATAAAAAATTCAAGAACTCAAAAAATTTCATTTAAAATTCAATCGTAAAAATAACTTTTACGATTATACCTCATTAAATGGATAAATGATCTTGAAATGTCGATTATAGCCAGGATGCATGCTATTGATGTGAATAAAAACTAGGAATTTAATGAGCATTTCAATATTTAGTTTTTTTATATTTTTCTCCCATTTCTCTTATTTTTTTGTTTGTTTTAAGAAACGATCTTAGTATGATGTTTGTTTATGAGTTGAGTTGTGTGGTGTTAGGTGGTCGATTTCATGGTGGGCCAGGTGAAGATGCTGATAGGGACTAGCAGACTGACTCAGAATGCGGCCAAGAAGATGCAGGACGACCTGGAACAGGAGAAGGAGGACGAAATGGATGGTGAGGTGGGAGAGGACGGGGTCCCCAAGAAACCCATCGACATCGACAGTGTAAGAACGCTTTATTATCTTTCGATATTCATTCTTATAAGTATCTTCTTAGAAGTTGTTCAATTTGCGAAATCATGCTAAAATTAATAAAGTTATTATGCTGAAGGTTTTTTCCTGAACATTTTCAAGGTTTCATACCATACAGTTGAGTTGATTTTGGTAAAAGGCGCCTCTGTTTAATGTTTTGATGCCTTAGTTTTGGTCTAAAAGATGTAGGTTTTGTCATCAATTCTAATTAAAGTACAGAAAACTTCTTGTGTTGGCTGAACGGTGAGGCATATTCGCGTTTCTGGAAAAGAAAACGCATGCAAAATAGAATGTTCAAAAAAGTCAATCTGGTAGTCATAATATTTCAATTCGTATGTTTAAGCATAAGTGTTTCATTTGAATGGGTACTTCTTAGGTGTTGTGTGACTTCGAAGGCCAGATGAACTACATCAGTGGCCACTACTGCGGAAGCAGCTCCGAGGACGAAGAAGATGAGGAGTTCGGCAAGATGCTCTCCGACTACGGCAACAGTCGAAGCCAACTCCTCAACGCCTCTGGAAACTCCAATGATGAACACTCCTTCTCCGCTAGGAGTTTCAACATTGCAGTCCAACGGTGAACCCCACCTCTCTTCCCGACATGATCCCCCACTCCTTCACTGCACCACTTTACCCTTGACTATGTTGAGGCAAAGGCAGGTTGATGAAGATGGGATCAAGACGAGGTATCATCATAGAAGATAGAAAAACTTTACAAAGCGAAGACTTTCAAAGAAGGACCAAAATGTGTATTGGACCTGGGAGTCCCTCGTTTAAAAACGGCAGCTATATTGGTGCTGACATCTGTAGTTATTAAAAAATATTTCGTTGAAACCATGAACCAACCTTTCCTCGTGTTACTAAAATCCGAAGTGTCTGAGACGCGAAAATACTGATATTTAATGTTTTCCGGTGAAAAAAATACTGTGAAGCAATGTGACAAACGAAAATAGTCATGTTTTTATGAAACAAAAAACATTTTGATTATAAACACTAGAACCAGAAAAGAGTGATACGAACTGGTCAAAATCAAAAAATGAAACTAAATTACAGTTGTTCGGATTACCAGAGGAAAGTTAGGCTTTTCAATTTGAAATGTGAAACCAAGTAAGGTAACCAAGTTCTACACAGCTCTTTAAATAAATGTTCTAGACATTTGATGTTGAGTAAAGCTAATTAATAAAAATGCTTTTGAATTGAGTCCTAGAAGTGCAGAAAAGTTCGCGGAAACACCATAATTGCATTGTACCCTTAATTATCAACAAGCATACATCTAATTATGGTCGCTTTCTATTTGAAGGTCTAATAGTATTTGTTGTATTTTGTCACTTTAAAAGACAATGACGAAATATATATGCTTGAGGTGGTTTTTTAGACCAATTTCGATGTTTATTTATTTTTTTTATCAAGTTCTATTTTGATCATGTTCTAGACAAGTATATTTTTCGCAGCGCATCATATTTTTGCGCATTCTACCTCTCAGGGACCCCCTCGCCACCCAAAGATCTACCTTTTAAGTTGTTAAGGACTATTTTACGTCATCAATTTGTTTACTATGCTTTTCTGAAAAAAATTTAATCATTCTGCTGCAATAGCTGCCGCAATTTACGCGTATTTTTGGAGCGAATATCGCAAAGTAAGTTTGTCCGAAAATACTTTGTGAAATTTTGAAAAATAGCGTTTTTTCCTTTGAAAATTATACGAGAGCTTGAAAAATCTAACGAACTGTTGTTGAAGTAGCTACCGTTTGAAAAATACGTTTCGTACCGAATTAAATTAAGCTCTGCAATTATGACTCAATTGTTTTTGATTTGAAACGAGTATAAAATTGCGTAAAACAGAACCAATTGAACTCATGACGCAGTAGGTCAAAACTTTGGTGTGATAAGAGTTAAGCTAAGGAATTCATACAGCATTAATATTAATAGTGAAATGACTAGTTATTAAAATGTACTGTGTTAAACTGGAAAATAGGAAATATATTGTTGTCGATTTAAATTGCTTAGTAGTGAAATGACTAAGTGTTAAAATGTACGGTGTTAAATTGTATGTCATTACATTGTAGGACACCCAAAATGATGGCAAGCAATGAGCGACCTTAAAAAGCGTCGTGTGTTACTATACTAATTCTTTTTTAACTGGGTTCAACTACACAAGCTCCTTACTGAGTTCAATTTTTGAGTTCCATTTTGTACCTGTATAGTTGAGGTGGTTTTTCAGACCAACTTCGGCAATCGAAATAGTAGTTTTTAACGCACGATTTTTATACACCCAAGCAGGGGCGGAACTAGGATTTTCTCGAGGGGGCGAATTTTCAAAAAAATTTCAAAAATTTTGTCGAGCTTTTTTTATTTTAGGTCGACCAAATTGATTTTTCGAGCTCTCCCAAAGCACTGTTTTGTCCCTATTTTGGCCAAATTTTCTGCGCCGCAGGCAAAACTTTGAAAAATATGCCGAAAGGTGGTTTTAGGCCCTTTTTGGAAGATTTTGACCAAAAAATAGCGTTTTTTCGGCGCGCGCTCCCCACTAAAAGTTAGTATATATTGGCGCCAAAGGCACCTTTAGAAAATTTTTAGGGTCCGTCACCAAAAATAGATTTCTTAAAAAGTACCAAAGGGTGGACTCTTTGGGTCGGCAGGGGGTCCAATCCCTGATGCAGGGGGTCGAATCCCCCCACCCCCTAAATCCGCCCCTGCACCCAAGGAAGATCGACTCCCTTGACGCGCGATGTTTTTTTTTGTTTACTGTCAAGTTCAATTTCGGTCATGTTCTAGACAAACTTACGCGCTTTGAAGATTTTATACAGTGCTGCTTTAAATTATCCGGACAAAATGAACAAAATTTAATTTTTCAAATACTTTTTCTCTCAAATTGGGTTAAGATTAGAAAGTGAAGCGAACAAAAGTTTCTTCGAATTTCATTAGAAATAATACAGGTTTTTGGAGATTCAACCTTTCTAAAACTTTGATGGGCTGTGTAAGAAGCTTCGTGTGATATATATTTCTCAACAGTTAACAAAGTAGTTTCAGCGTAATTTTGATTAATTGAAAAATTCAATAGACCCAATTTTGGGGTAAAAATTTTGGCTGAGAATTTAGGAGAAAAAATTGCACCATATTAATTATGCTGAAATTTTAAGCTACTTTTGTTCTCTTCACTTTTAAACCAAATCTTAACCCAATTTGAGAAAAACGTGTTGGAAATTTCAAGTTTTGTTCATTTTGTCCGGATAATTTAAATCAGCACTGTATATACTGTTGAAGGAGTTACGCAAATTATTTATGCGTAATTAATGCTTCTCCAATCTATTAATGGGTGATCGGTCAGTGCTCAAAACACTGTTTGAGAGAAAAAAGTTGTAATGCAGAGGTGAGTCAACAGCTTTGGAACAATTGTTTGTGTTCAACGATAGAGTTTGGGTTGTCGGCTTATGTTTTATCGTCAAGTTTGTTTTCTTTCCGGACGTATGTGCTGTTTTTAGTCCTATTAAGACATTTATTTTGCTTGTGCTGGCTAAGTTCAGCTTCGCTTTTTTGTTTTGTTTCAACATCAGATAGAGCGTTAACAAAAAAGAATCGGACATGCGTTACTCTTGTTGAAAATCTGAATAAAAAGTAGCAAAAATATTTATTAATCTAGGTAAAAAATCGAAACTTTCAATTTTAAACCTAGTTTTCTGAAGACCACGGTCGGAACATTCTGTGCTACTTGCACAGTAACAGGCTATCCTTGTTTGAAGTTTATGTGCGTTATAGTTAGAAAATTAAAAGATCTCAACAATAATCTCACTTCCTGTGGCAAAAGAGATGACAACTGATCCACAAGTTTTTACAAAACCAGATTGCAGAAGTTTTTTCAGAAAACAGCCGTAAAGCTACGCACGCTTGCTTACAATTAAATTTAAAGCACTTCAACTGATTTGTTCCTACACATTTTGGATAAATCAGTATACATTATTCAGAATTTGCCAAATAGCGAAGATAACTGTAAAGAAGATCGGAAATTTCAATTTTTTTTATTAAATGTAAATTAAAATAACGATTTTTTTACGAAGTCGCAGTGAATAAACTTAGTGGTTTTTTATTTTCACGAAAAGTCTTGAAATTGTTCATACGTTCTACTAGATTGTTCAAACTCTTGGCTGAGCAAGGCCAATCACGTTCTTTAATAAAAGAAATTTTAATTTCCCAAAAACGCAAAAGTTACATATAACTCCAGTTTTTTCAATTTGGGTTAGTGTTAGTGAAATTTGTGTCAATCAGAAAAGATTCTTGAAAATTGTAGGACATAATTTGTAGGGCAATAACCAAAGCGCCGCAGGCATCCACATGATTTGGCTATAAAACATCTCATGTGTTTGTGTGCCCTATCCCGCTAGTGGGGTTAACCAGACCCCCTGCTTTAAGAGAAAATATAAAAGTTCTCTTGTTCAAAAGTTTTCCTTAGTTCAATCTTCCACTTTTCTCTTTTTCTTCTTGCAGATTCTGCAGATGCCCAACCGCTGGTTGTTTTTCATCCAGGGCATTTTTCTAGGTCTAGTAGGTTTATCCCATCGAATTTTTCTCTATATATACTCCCTGGGATGAATCTGTCCAGGATCTTTGTTGTCGTCTGTCCCGATAGTAATGTAACTTCAGATTTTTTTTCACGGTTTAACCGTAGTTTCCGTATGTGAAACCTTGTTCTGTCTGTTGGGGCCGGTTCACTTCGCTTGCCAAAGAAGTCGTCTGCCATTTGCGCAAAAATCTCGAATCCACATATACTGCTGGCAGCGAACTACGAGGGACCTGGTTCCAGATCGTTGTCTTCGCGTAGTCGTTTCTGGCTGATTTGATTTTCTTTGATCTTCCTTCGCTTTTCCTCTCCTTCTTTCGACAGCGGATTTTCGTGGACCCTAAGTTTTTTCGCAGGTGTTTTGATGAAGATTTCTTATTGTTGAGCCTTGGTTCTAGTTACCGGGCATGCTCTAATAATAGGTTGATCCTTGCTGCTCGGCGGTGTCCATTTTTTAGCTGCAAATTTCCATAGTGGAATTTTTTCGGTTGTCGGAGCTAAGTCAGAGCTGCTGACTATCACCTTCTTTTCCCCCAAACCCTTTAGTGGGGTCCTGGAGCTTGTGGTTTTCTCTATTGTCTTTCCGGAATTCACTCCACTTCTAGCTGGCAAGTCTGTTAGACTATAACAACCCGTCTAAAATTAGTCAGTGCTAATTGCATCCCCCCGCTATGTTGAAATTACTTCAGGACCAAAATAGGAAAATCGTGTCCTTTCTTGCAGTCCTCAAAAAGGTCAATGTTCGGCATCTGGTAGCGGTCCTCGTTTGTCCTTGTTCAAATTTGTCCAACTTTTTCATGTCTTTCATGTTTTGTAGTCGTCGTAGTTCTTGGTCTACTTTGAATTGTTGATTGATTGAGATTCATCTCCCAATTTGGATGCGTGTCTAGAAATGTCCGATGAAAATTTGATCGTGCTGGGAAATAATATGGTAATCGTGACAAGGCAAGTAGCCTTTTTTTGTCAATTGCATTTTTTGCTACTACATAATTCATAGAAATATTTTCATCATTATCTCACCCGAATCCATGTTTCAATTCGTGCGTCATCTGGAGCCCTAATTTTTCCAGCTGTCTGGCGTCATCTTCAAGCTGTCTACGTTCTCACATCATCTCCAAACTGTCTAGGTTCTTGCTTCCGTCATCAAGCTGTCAACGTTCTTGCGTTATCTGGGGCCCTAGTTTCTTTAAGCTGTCTCGTCCCAGAATCGATTTAATTCCGTTGTCTGTAAAATGGATACGAGCATTTTCACGTACCACGCAGCTGGTTGGGAGATCGTTGATCAACATTCCTTACGTCTTGATGGATCCATGGTTATATGTTTGTAGGTCTTGATGGTTCCGCGGTTGATGGTTCCCTGCTAGTGGGTTCTGCTCAGTATCCCAGAAAAAAATTGTTCCATGTTTCCACCAAGTGTTCAGCAATCATTTTAGGTAAAAACGTGGCAAAATGACTTCTGATGACTTTTCCGCGTTCAACTGTAGGTCGGTGATGGCCACATCTTTCTCAATGTTAGAAGATAACTCGTGTGTATCGGATTCATCGTTGCGATTATCTATTTTTAACCGACCTCTGTTTCTTTTTGTGGGACGCGGTTTGATATGTTCTGTGTTTTTGAGTGGCACAGTCGAGTGAAGAGGTTTTTCCTCGCAATTACTACAATTTTTTTTTCTTTTAGCCGAGTACGATTCCCTAAGAGTACTCGACTCTTGTATTTCACAACCCCCGCACGGGTTTCTAGCCTCTAATCAGTTTCCCTATTGTGTTTATGTCGATTTACCCGGTTCGCGCTCATTATCCACATAGGAATTTTTTTTACCATCGTGCATTGATTTTCCCAGTATTCGGCTGTTAGTCTCTCGTATCTTTTCCCAGTTCTTATCATTTGTTTATTTTGTTGGCTAGCTCTAGACATGACAAGGGCTCGAACGTTTTTTTATGAGGCTTCTTTTGGATATCTGACTGTGCTAGACTGAGGGTAGAGATATCACGTATCCATCTATCTTCAGATGTGCTCAAATTGCATACATGTGCCGCCTTCCGCCTTTGTTTTCTCGACAGAAGAGTTTATATGTTGATCGCCATGCTTCGATGGGATTTGAAGGTATCTTCCAGCGTCCGAGGCTTTTGACTTTTGTTCCGTAATCTCAACATTAGCATACCTGCGTTGTAATTTCCGTCTTCCTCCTTTCCTCAAGTATAAGAAGATGTGATTTAGCGACATCCCATGGAATTTTTGAGATAGTTACGCCAATGGCTCGGATCCCTTGGCATTTGTTTTGCCATTTGTTTTTCGCTTAAAATTTTGCTTTTCCCGTTTTTTAATAGAATGATAGGTCGGGTGTGCATTTTCCGGTTCTTCAATAGGTCGCTCGAGCAGTGCGAGTTCTATCAACTTTTCTGTAGTAATTCATCAGGTTCTGTTCCGATGTGGCTGATAATGGCTACATTGAAATGTTGTTTGCACTTTCCCCATTTCACCGCTGGTTCTTGCGTAGGTCTTTCCCCAAGCGCATTTATTACCAATGGAGTTTTCTTCTTTGCTGGCTGCGCCATGTGGTGAGGGTTTTAAGGAGCGTGTGGTCTCTTCCGCTAAGGGTATCAATTAGATCAATTGAATCATGCAATCTTTGAGATAGAATTAATGTTAGCGTAGGTCTAACGACAAAAAGCAAACTGGAAATGATAATTTGCATCGAGCGGGACCTGCCAGTCTGACCGTTGATAGCTTTTTAAAAAACTTTTTGAAGCATTGTGGTTATTACAAATAAAGGTCATATACGCTCTAGTGGTATATTATACTGAAATTATTTTAGTCGTAATTCGGTTGCCTAAAATGTTTACTTAAATTTTTTGACGTATAGACAAATTTAGAGCGGAAACTGATATGTAGTCACTCCCTCTAGATTTCTTTCAACGACTTTATCAATTTCAAATCAAAACTTTAGATCCAGTCTGCCTACGCGAAAACTTGATCATATATTGATGAATTTTCTGACTTAAGGAGATCAAATACAAAGGCGAAGTTGCACTTCGCATACACAAGCAAAAAAATGACCGATAACGCTTGGGAAAAACTGAATGACTTAAAATTTGAGTCTACAAAATTTCTTAAGTGACGCACGCCAATAATGAGTCTACATATTTGCTAAGTGACGCCAGCCAATTATAACTCATTAGCAGTACCCGTCAATTTGAAAAAAAAAATTACATTTTAACAGTCTCAATGTATAGAGCAGACGCATTTTAGCTATTGTACGAAAAATTTCAGTGAAAACATGCGACCCAACCCAGGTTTGAACCCTCTTAATTCGTTGCTGATCTCCTTCCCTACCCCTAAAGTGCTATTTGTAATATAGTAGTCTGTGTTCATATGCTTATCTTTGGCTGTACTTAATAGCTGGTTATTGATCAAAATGAAGGCTTTCAAAATGAACACATTTTGGCGCAACAATATTTGCCTCGCAACAATGCTTGTGACTTAGGTTGAGAAACAAGATAGTGCATGCTATAACACAAGCTTTGCATGTGTAACTAACAGACATCAACGCTTTGTTAATTAACCTAATATTTAATCGTTTTGCCGTTTCATTTAAATTGTAAGTCGAACTAATATTGAAATTGTGCAATTAAACTATTGGCGTTTTCTTTTAGTGGTTGTGACAAAATCGAAGCTTTTGACAACAAATACTTGAAGATGTTGGATTTTGTGCAGGCATCGAGAGACCGCCATTATGAAGCACGTGGCCATTATGGTCGAAACTTTTATAATAATATTTTTTGATCTGAGTGACGTTTCCTCTGGGCAATTCTTCAACAACAGTCTTAACTCATAGTTAGATATTATTTCAAGTTCAATTTACAGAAAAAAAATGTAAAAGGGAAAGGTTTTTTGAAAAGGTATTCGAAAACGATGATTCAAAAAGATTCAAAAATGATGAAAGAAGTGTACAAAAATGACGATTTGCGTGGGGAAAACACATTTTACCAGAACAATTTAGCAAAAGTTATATAGTTATTTGGAAAATTGTGTAGAATTATATCAAATATTTTTGCGCGACTCGACAAGCCAAATAGCTTTTTTGCTTGTACTTCCTGCTCAAGAACTGTTAAGTAAAGTTTTCATTTTTAAAGGTAGTCTGATATCGATACAGCTTCTAGCTGGTAGTTTTCTCCTAATCTTTTTGAAAACTTCAAGTGAATTAAAAACAGCTGAGCTTGAATTTCACTAATATATTTCAACCTGTTCATATCATCCGAATAAATGTATTCTTAAAATCAATTCTCTACAAATAATTCTTTCGTTGATTTGTACAAAATAGAATGTTATTCAAAGCAATTAATCGTAAGTACTTTCCGTCTATCTGCCACTCTGCATGATAATTTCAGCAATGATTGTGCCGACGTTGTTAGATCCCAGTGACTCTGTCAGATTGGCTTTCATATCTCCCATTCTCTGTCGAAGCTCATCCGCACGCTTCTCTAACTCGTTTGCATATTTTTCTTGGTATGTACCTAAATGAATTAGATTGGTAAGAGGGCGGCATTAGGAGGGGGTGTCTTTTCTCAAGGTGCCTAGGGCCTAAAACGTTTCTTAATTTGAGGGGAGCAAGTACCAAAAACCTGATTTTCTGGACAAAATCTTCCCTAAAACGCTCAAATTTTGGCTGTGTTTCTTAAAACGATGCTTGCTGTCCAGAAAGACTTTGAAGTGTTGTGATAAAACTCGGAAGACAAATTTGGTTGACCTAAAAAAGCGAAAAATTGAAGTATTGGAAAATAGAATATTGCAATATTTTTTGAAAGTTTACCCCCTTAAGAAACTCGCAGGTCTGTCCAGATCAGTAGTTAATAAGCTGACCGATCGCAGATCCACCCTTGATAAGTTGAACATGTATTGAACATGAGCAGGCAGATTTATCAGCCAGCTAGTTCATTTTTCTTTTTGTTCTCCGTGGTAGGTTTGTGTAAGACCACAAGATTATACTTTACAATGGTGTATAGGACACAATAAAACCATTTTTTCTATAATTTTTAGGAATGAGTTCAAACAGCGATTATGAGCCAATTACAAACTGGAGAGTCAATAGAATTTCTCCGATAGAAGGGGAATATGAGTGAAGAAAAACAGCACTCGAGACCAGCTCAAGAGAATTTTAAAAAAGCGACAACAGGGCAGCATCGAAGCAAAAAAACTAACTAAAAGACAGGCCTATGGAGAGGACAACTAAAAGTTTCCTCTCCATAGACGATGGAATACCTAAAGAAAAGAGAAAATTTCCATCACTCCAACAAATGTTACAAATTCAACAACAGAGAGGCGTGATTAGCCTGAAATGAAACCCGGCTAAAATAAATGGAAGCCACAGAGAAACCTCGTGCTTTCAAATAATTTAACAGAGAAAACCATAGCCCTGCCAACCACATCCCTCCTTCAAAAAGATCATTTTTCAATCGATGAAAAACGAACAACTGATGGATAAAGAACCGCACTGATACGTGTTATATCCTCGAGAATGGAGAAATGGGGATCAAAATTCCAATCGAAGGAATAACTTTCCTTCGTTTCTTTTCAATTTCATTTTTTTTTCAATTTCTCCAGCTCATTGATACTGGCTGTCTTTGGTAAAAGAAAACGGCAAACAGCAGAAAGAAATATTGAGATCCTGAATCTATTCACTAAATCAGATAATGACTGATGTACTCTTATTCAGACAATAAATTCTTATTTCGAAAAATGGCAACTTTTAAAAAGCTAGTCCAGCTTTTCTTAATTTATCATGCTCAGTTTGTTCAAAGTGCTTTCCATTCAAAAAAGATACACTGAAGAAGGGACTCAGTCCTTAATGAAAACGTGCTATAGTTTAACAATTATCTCATATTCAGCTCGTCAGAAAATTTTATTAACATGGGTTATTTAGGAGGCTTCAACTGAAAGTGAACATAAATCAAACGAGGGCTGAAAGTTAATGTGGTTTTAATGTGGAGGATTTATACTTGATCTTTTTCTGGTTCTGATTACTTTAACTAGCTGATTCATGGGAACTTACCGCCTTGGAGCTTCATATCCGCCCTCTGGGCTTTGTGGTCCTGTAGCATTTGCAGAGTTTCTGCTCCATAGCTCTGTACTTTTTTGTTCTCACTAAAACATCATTCGTATAATTCATTGTCTTAGCCTCAAAAACTAGTCTCGTTAGAGCGCAAGTAAACTACCACAAACTTAACGTTCAAAATTGATAAGCTTCAATCTCTTTGTTATTTTTTCGAAATCAAATGTCTTGTAAGTAAAAGACGAGCGTGATTTCATGTTTGCAGATGCTAAACAGAAATTAAAATTTTAAAATTACAAAATGGACTTCAAAACAAGGTTAATGATTGCTTCGACATACTTCTAATGGACTCAAACGTGGCTCGTGTTCAATAATTGGTTTTAATATATACCATTAATAAGCTGACAGTTTTAAACTGGTTAAAAAACTGGTCTTCTCTAACTGGTTTCACGAAGCTGCACTCACAACAAGAGATTTGGGATTGTGATAATTTCCAATCCTTCGTGTACCACTCGTCTCAGCTGTTTGATTCGGTTGTGCATGACGTTCAGACGTCGAAGAAGTTCTCGCTCTTCGCCTGAAGTTAATCGAACCAAATTATTAGTAGAGCTTTTTTACTCAGGTGGTGTACATAAAAATGGAATATTTTCGAGGCGCAGGAGCAAGTTTTTATTTTTCGAATTTAAAAAAAAAATTAATTGTCGACTTTTTGGCCTTCTCAAACATCCTCTCTGTCTAAATATGATCCCGTTTAAAATACTTGTCACCTGTTTTGAAAAATTAGTAATAGAATGATTATTTAAGCGTTTTGATGAACTTTGTTACTTACTTTTCTGGCTACGTGCTTCATAATGGCGGTCTCTAGATGTCTGCATGAAGTCCAACATCTTCAATGATTTGTTGTCAAAAGCTTCGATTTTGTCACCACCACTAAAGGTAAACGCAGATAGTTTAACTGCGCAATTTCAATAGTGACCTAACTTACAATTTAGATGGAAATGACACAATAATTAAATATTAGGTTAATTAACCAAGTGTTTATGTCTGTTAATTCACCTTTGGGTCGTCAGTGCGTCGAACCCCTGAAGATGAAGCGCACCCCCCCCCCCAATCCGCTTCTGAATTAGAACCAAATAAAACCAAGTAGAAACCAAGTTAAATAAGCAATAAAACTAATCAAGTAACTACTTTTTTAAAATTGAAATCTGAATAGAAAACAACTCACAAAATCAGATTAGCAACGGTGATCGTTTCCAGTCCCGCTTCCAATATGGCCGCGATGTTCTGCATTCTCTCGTTCGTGAAATTGACACGGTACAGCAAATCTGCCTCGTAATGTTTCTTCAACCATTTCTCAATATCCAGTTCGTCTTCTATGAACTCAGCTTCCGTAACTGCCTCTGTAACATGGTCGACTTCTGGTATAACTGAACCGGAACCAAAAATAGTCGAAACTTCTGTCTCTTCCAGGTCGTGATTAGCTGTAGTTTCCACTGGAATCTCGGTTGTTATTTCTAGATTCACAATTTTACCTGCTGTAGATTTCCGGGGCTGCTCCGTAGTTTGATAGAAACCAACGTAATCTGTTTCAAGCTCAATTTCTCCAGACGCAGTTTCAACTTCTTCCTCGTCATAATTATCATAATTAATTGCAGAAAAGTTAGTTTCTTCAAAAACCCCTCCTGATCCAAAATCAGAGTCATTTTCCGCGACTTCCGGTTCTACGGGCTCGTAAGTTTCCCACACCGAAGATTCGGTCGTAGTGACCTGACTCACGTTTGAGTAATTTGTTTTTAGTTTTGACGTTTTCGTTTGTGGGACCTCAGTGGTTTCATAATTAGCTTCTTCTATCATTCCTGATTCAAACCAACCAGAATCAAACTCATATTCATTATCATCTTCGGCCTCCTCTTTTTCCCATTCGATATTTTTGCTGTTTTTCGGTGCATTTGTGCTTAATTCTACATTTGTTTTCGTCAATGCAGACAACTCACTATATTCGTAAGTGTCTTCAGTTATTTCACCAGAAAGTAATTCGCCCGAACTGAGTCCGATGTCGCTTTCATCATAATCATCTGCTTGTTGTTCCATTTCCACAAAATGTTTGGAAGACTTGCCTGATGACTCATGCTCATAGTAATCTTCGCCTGAACCGGAGGCCTGGACTAAAAATTCACTAGAAAAAATTTCACCAGAATAATCAAATTCAGAGTAGTAGTCTTCTTTGTCCATTATTTCTTCCGGCTCCCATTGAATTGCATTTGTTTGCGGTTTTTCACTTTCGAAATCTTTTGTTTTCCGTGCTTTTTCAGATTTCTCTTCGAATATTTCCCCTGAGGAATAGATTTCGCCCGATTCAAGTTCGTAAAAGTATTCGCCGGCATTTTCACTCTCCCACTCAATTTGAGGATTAATCGTTGTTGTGACTGAGGCACTCAATGTAGGCTGAGTTTCTGTTTCTGTAGTAGCATAGTTGCTAACTGAGATTTGAGGTAGAGTAGTTCCTGGATAAAAAAAATCAACTTCGTGATTTAACCAAATAAAAGATGTTTATTTTCATCCCCGCCTCAAATGCATCTCATGATGGTTGTTTTGCGACCTTCATAGGATCAAAACAATATTGTGCATAATATGTATGTTTCTGAAATCTCTAATTACAGACTTTAGAAACAAATGCATGTATTGCGCGCGACAGTACATGAGGAATCATCAGCGGAATCTCTTAGGAAGCATAAGCAAAACAAATTGAAGAAAAATAATCCTCAAAATGATTTTTTTCCAAAAAAAATAACTGCTCCATCTCACCAAAAATAATTCATTTCCCATCCTCTTCAAAAGCAAATTACAGTCAGTGGGCAAATAATTTTGTAAAAATTGTTTTTCAAAAATGAGCGATTTCTTTCAAGGCGTATAATTTTTTTTAAGCTAGCGGTCTTTAGTGAGCGTAGTGTAATGGTACGACTATTCTTTTTTTTTCTAACCTAAGTCTCAAATATTGGCGCCACTTTTGGTGGCACCTTTACGGCTTTTTAAGAGCATGTGCTTTGGCATTCAAATAGTAATAAATTAACTCAGTGAATTTATTTTTAATTCATCAAATGAACCGAAAACAGCTATTTATTCAAACAACAAAACAATAATAAAAACTCGATTTCCGAAGTTTTTAACTCAATACATCTCGCAATTTTTTCAAATTTACAATTTATACGTAATGTGGTTTTCTGTTTTCCAATTTATTACTTGCAAAATTGTGTCTACTTGTATTTGGTGCCACTTTTGCTGCATTGCATTGGCAATTTAGTAGCATATCTAGCTGCTTTATGCGTGACTAGTGTTTGCCCATTGTTAAGCGTTCGTGGCCGAGAGAAGAGGATTGCTAAGCGTTCGTGGCCGAGAGACGACAAAATTTTCAAATTTACTAGTGAGATATTCTTCCAAATTTACTTTCATTTCTGTATATTGAGTGAAATTTGCAAAATTTATTCTCAACCGTAATAAAGCCATTGATAATTTTCCTAAAAAAACTTTTAAAGCGTACCCCAAACGCTCAAAGAAACAAAAAAAATTGAAAACACAGGCAAACCGGATTTCGAAAACTTTTGGTTCGTCAAACGAATCAACATGATTTTGATCAATTTATAAGATGATTAAATCATAAAGGAAATGTTTCCTTTTGAAAGATCTGCTAACTTGAATTGATTAATTTTCAACCGTTACCGATTTAGCTGTTTTGAATTTCTTTTAAATTGCTTCAAACATAGCCGCTGTAATCAAATTTTACGCGCAAACGACAAAACTCTCTCTCTCTCTCTTTCTGTCTGTCTGTCACCCTCCATTTCTCGCCCTCCCCCCCCCCTCTTTCTCTCCCTATTCCATGTTTTTTGGTCAAGAAAACTGTGATAGAAACAATATCTGCTGCCTGCACACTGTCTGGCATCCGTTGTTTTTTTTTATTCAGCACAATCACGGAGTGCAAGCAATTTTTCTAGTTTTTATTTTTTCTAAATCAATCAAACTAATATTTGGAGCTCCGTAAAAAACAAAAATCTTTGAGGGAATCATTTTATTGTACATTTCCGCAGTGAAAATTTATTTAAAATCTTTTGGGCAATTTCCATCTTTGCTTATAAAGTCTCTTATTACAGAATTCAAAAAAAATGCAATATATATATTTATATACATCTCCAGAAAAATTTTGAGAAATTTTTTTTTGTGTAACTATTTTTTCTATGTTTTTTAAATGAGCGATTTCCGAAAATATAATAAGTTTTTTAATTACAAAATCTAGAAACAAAGAATGTATTATGCGCGATCACTTTTCGAATTTTTTAGCAATATATCCTCACTTTATTAATTGCAAAAAATTGCAAATTGCATCGTTAGCATTTCTGACGTAAATGTTAAGCCCTACCTCCCCACACAACAAACACAAAGTTTCAAAACACAGAGGTCAAGCGAAGCATCGCAACAGTTGCAATACAAAAAAACATAGCATGGGAAAATAGCTAACAGAAATTGAGACGAAAGCCGCTAAGCACACTAAAAAATAAAAATTTAAAAATAACCAGATATATCATAAGTCTGATTGTGTGTCTTGATTGGTAAGGAAAAAGGTTTATTTTTCAACGTTTATTTTTAAGCCCTACCTCCCCACACAACAAACACAAAGTTTCAAAACACAGAGGTGAAGCGGAGCATCGCAACAGTTGCGATGCAAAAAAACATAGCATGGGAAAACAGCTAACAGAAATTGAGACAAAAGCCGCTAAGCGCAATAAAATATAAAAATTTGAAAATAACAAGATATATCATAATGCAGATTTTGTGACTTGATTGGTAAGTGAAACAGTTTATTTTTGAAATGTATGTCCAGATAGTAAAGTTAATCTAGCGTTGGAAGGAAACTTACCGAGTGTTTACAAAGTCAAAAAATCTTCTCAGAAAACTTTGAGCTGAAAACTTTTTAAAGCCCTTCTGACGTTTAAGACAGAAACAAAAAGGCTTTTTTTCTAGTCAAATGAGGCCACTAGGTTGATAAAATAATGGTTGAAACCTATTAAGCCGGATGAAAAGCAATAAAAAAACGAATAAAAAAATGAAAATTTAACAAATAGAGTTTGTAATTTACAACAAAAAATTAAAAAACGCAAATAGGATATGTTAAAAAGTTGATATGCTCAAAATTGTATTTTGCCGTAAATATGTTGCCAATAGAGGTGTTCAGCAGATGACTTTTGATGTATCCATTGAACGAGTTTACTTATCGGAAAGTAGCCTAGTACCCGGTTGCCAAGTTGCCAAACGTTTGCTGAACGCAAGGGTAAAAAATAAAAAAAAGCAACGCAAGTTTGCAAAAACATTCAGCTTGAACTTGCCAATTTATTAGCAACCTATTTTTGCGTTAACTTTTTGTTTACGATACTGTTTTGTTTCCGATAAAAACCATGGCTCAAACTACTAACCATGGCTATAAAAAACCATGGCTATAAACCATGGCCACTAAAAATGGCTATAACTAACCAATCATGGCCCATTACTAAAACTTACGAGAAATTGTAATGCTGAAACTAATCATAGTTTCATCCAGAGAAAAAATCAAAACAGATACAAAACAGCTGCTTCCTTCTCTCCTCTAACCTCGCAAGAATACCAGTATATTCTAGATCTATTGAGACTAGGAAAAATAAGAGTAAGATTAGGATTGGTATTAGACTAAGAAGTTGCACGAATCTATCATACCGAAAGCTTGACGAACAGACGGTGTGCTTTATCCGAAACTACTCTATGAGAAGGCCACCCAGACCTAAACTCAATAAGAGATCAAACATTTACGACGCGAATGCTAGACCAGTAGCTACTATAGCCATGGGGAACAGAAATTTATTTTTTAATGAATCCAGTAAAACGGTGGGACGTGTGAACAAATTATCGAGCCAATTTATGAAACAAGGCGTGAGCTGCTTCAGCGAAATTTTCGAGAAAAATATGTGAATACAGTAGAGGAAAAAGTGGACGAAGAGTGTTCTCTGAGCAAATTTTTTCTGGAAATCGATCATCCGATAGTAAGTTCCATTAGACATAGTCGATGCATCAATGAAATACGTGACATAGTCGAGGCATCAATAACAAGAGGCATCAATCATCATAAAAATTCTCTTTTTCCGCTTGAAATGTGAAATGCGTCAAAAAAACTGTTGTTCCCTCTCTCTCCTCTCTTCCCAGCTTCTTTCCTCTGCTCTAACTCTTAGTAAAAAACTGTTCTTGTCTGGTTCTGTTTTTTTTACCTTCACCAAAGAAGCACACAGTCAAGTTTGAACTGCGCCCTCACCACCATGACTAGGGCTGAGAGAGGACTACACGTGAACGTTTTTTTAGCTAGTTTTTTCAAAAATTTATCTGCAGCGTAGAAAATGTATTGTAAAAAAGAGTCTTTATATTGTTTCGGAAGGCATCGGAGAAGCAATTTTATTGACCGCAAAAGTGGTTGAAAAAACTTGAAAAACTTTTGAATATTTTTGAAAATCGAACCAGTGCAAAATACTAGATTATCCACCCCTATTTCCAGGTAAACTCATTTTTTAGATTTTAGCCCACAGGATAGCCATCTTTTTCAAAACTAAAAAGATTGTTTTGAGCCTATTATGAGAAGTTAACCGACGTATTTTGATACACTCTCCTCTCCTATCAAGTCTTGATTATGAATTCGGACTGCTATATTGTAAAACCGTTCTATACCTGGTTGCAGAAAATCTTGCAGCAGCTTCGTTAACTGTTGTTTATCAATTCCCTCTTCGCTGGTCAAGTTAAGCTTCTTAAGCGTCCATTCCACTTCGTCTTTGATCTGGAACCACTCAATGTCTTTCTGATGATCCAAACGAAGCAGGTCGAACCCCAGAACGTCTAGAATATTTATATTTATGAAGAGTTTCAGGTGCCATAGGTCAATTGCAAAACACTGTTCAAATGAATCAGCGTAAGGCTGAGGTAATTAATGTAAACAGGATAAACTTAAAATTTGCCAACTCCCCATTTTTTGACATTATCCAAGTTTGGCTAATATTTAAAAATCAACTTAGATGAGTTTAAATTCGCAATTTGAATTTTTCACATATTATTTTTTGAAATTGTTTCAAATAAAAAATTATATGCGAATAACCTTTTTATTTCAATAAAGCTAATTTAAATATGTGTAATTCTTACTCAATTCCTCGCCATCAATTACTCCATTTTCAGACCGATCATAGTACGCAAATACTGGGTCAATTCCATCTGGACTGTAACCGACACTCAGACCATCCAACACGTTTGGCTCTATATCCAGAAGAGAGGCCATCTCAGAGTAATCCAGACTTCCGCTCTCGTCCTCGTCAAAGTTGTTCAGAGTTGTTGCCGCCAGAATTTTGGACTGGACATCACTCTGCACCCCAGTTTCCAGCTAAAAATGTTTTCTTTGAACTTGAGTTTGACTCATTTTGAATTGAATTTGTTCTTAAGCATTATTGAAAATCCGGTTATATGAAATAAGAAAGTAAAAACATTCCATTTTTTGGAAAAGAGACTTCAACCAGGAATTGGTGAATACAGTGAAGTATCAAATTAATAAATCAAAATTATTCAGAGAGAATAGAAACTTAGGCCTTCGACTTTAGAAGGCAAAAAACCTTCACCTCCATAAGTGAATATTTGAAGCCTATTTACCGATCAACCCTTTGCACTTCCAACAGCGCCGTGATAACATCAGAGGGTAAGATCGAGCAGAATTAAATTTCAGGCAGTTTGTCTCACAATGAAGCTTAAAATTGACAAAACCTTCCAAAACATGCCCTAACAAATTTTGGGGTTTTTCAGAAGCTCTCTAAAATAACTAAAAATCAAGTTGAAATTCACCAAGAAAATTCATTTTTATTTTGTGTAAAGCTGTACTCACCTCCAGCAAATCATACATGTAATTATGGACTTCAGATTCTTCCAAATCCCCGGAGTTGTCGGCATCATAATGGTCGAATATAAGCACCGCTTCCATGCTCGAAATGGTAGACAAATCTTCAAATATTTGCAAGAAGTTTTCTTCATGTGTGGACGCACCTATTTCAGTTCTCTTTTCTGCTATGGTTTCCAAGTGGCCATTAATGGCTCTAGGATCACGTACAATTTTTTGAATTTCCCTGGGCGAAGCTCGTCTTTGACCATTATTATGACCATTGGATAAAACTGATTCAATCAAGAACAACAGAGAAAAAAGAAAACAAAAACGCTTGCGTTTCATTTTCGAACTTAATTGAATCTGTATTTAGTTCGTTGTTTGTTTTTACATTGCAGCGTGGTGAATAAGATATGGTTGCTCAAAATATGTTCAGTTTTGGCGCTTTTGGATCGACGAACTTAAAAACAATATATTTATCTCGATTATTGAATACTCTTTAACTTTTGTAGAGTAAAACTGCGGTAATTTTAACTGTAAATAAAACAAACTTTGACACAAAAAGAAAATTCCTCTGATTTATTTAATGAAAATTTCCGGTTATAACACTTCACAAATGATAAAATTTTAAAAACTTTCAGGCGAAAACTTTTTGAAAAAAATTGAATAGATTCAAGTAATTGCTAAAACTTGAATCGGTATAAGGAACTCAACCAGTTTGTTACCGCGGAGCGATAGTGTGTTGCTATTAACCAAGACAAGAAAAGCCGCATCAAATTAAGACAAGCTAGGTACATATAGACGACGTAGCATAGTGGTTTCATACATCGTTCAGGTCGGTTTCGACTGAGTTCGGTTCCCACTTGGGTCATATCGTTTATGAATCATAAAAGAATGAGTTCAAAGGAACATTAAGAAGCTATGGTTTGCCGGTTGAAAATTTATACAAAAATTGAGTTCAAGCTGTGACCTGATTTTGATTACTGGATCATCTCATTAACATGACACCTAGAAAAACCCACGATATTGCCAACTGGTTTATGTTATTGTCAAGCTCGTTTGTTAGTCTACTGACAAATTTTGCTCTGAACTGATTGAATTCTAGTCTTTCTGTTTTTTTTTCGAATAAATCAAAATTATCATATTTTTATGGGTAAATTTGCAGTTGGTCTCTTCAGAGTGTGGATAATAAATAATACGAATGATTCAAACTATTCAACTCCTCTCAAAATTTACGCCTCGGCCAACATCGATAACAAAAATATATATTTGAAGTCTAGTTACAAAAAATTGTTCGATTAGTTTGATAGTTCTAATTGATGATTTTTTTGAGCGGGAGCAAATGTCACATAATTTGGAGATTTGCGTTAAAAGAAA